TATAAAACGTAATTAATTATACTCTAAAAGGTTACTAGTATATTAGTAAGGCTAAAGGGTATAATGAGGGTTTTAAAATATCCTCTATATATTTAGAAGGTAGCCTTCTATATATTATTATCTTTAATATAGATTAGGTTATAGGCTCCTTTAAGATTAAGAGCTATAAACTAGTTTACTCTATATAGTAGGTCTTATAGTTTAGAGATAAGTAGCAATAGGTAGTAGTTCTTAATAGTAATATTATTAAGTTTTTAGTAGTCTATATATAGTTATTTCTTCCCGTTTTTCTTAGGTATAAATAGGATTAGATATCCTACTAGTAATATTAAGGGTCTAATATATCCTTTCTTAAGGTTCTCTTCTAGCTACTTATCTAGGTACTATATCTTATCTTAAGATAGTCTATAGATTAGGCTATATATTAGTTCTTTCCCTTCTTTTAGCTTGATCTTACAATTAAAGGGTCTATATTCTAGTAGTCTAGTCTCTAGTTCTTTAGTAAATAATTTATTATAGACTTAGTATTTATTTAGGATAGATAGAAGATAATTATTCTTATTAATATCTATTACTAATAATATCTTAATATTCTTATCTTTAATCTTTAGGTAGGTAATAAATCTTCTTACTTAAGGAGTTACTAGATACTTATTTAAAGTACTCTTTATAAGTTACTACTTAATAACTAAGTCCTATTCCTATTAGAGCTAGCCTATTCTCTAATCTATCTATAGGTTACTATTATATAACTATAGTCTTCTGAAGATAATATTATACTTATCTCCTATCTCTATTATATTAAAGTTAAGTTATTTATAACGGCTATAGATCTATATAGGGAGGTATACTATCTCTACTATAATACGTCTTCTACTATACTAGACTTATTCTCCTTTAATAGTACTAAGTTTATAGTAGTTTTCTTCTGCCTTTCTTTACTAGGTTATCTATTATCTATTTACTATACTAAGTAATATAAAGTTACCTTAGGCTCTACTATCTATTATAGCAGTAGCTAGTCTTCTATTAAGTTATATTTAAACTTAGATATACTTATATTATTAAGCTAGGTATACCTTAATTATACTATATAGGGACCTTATCTTATCTACCTATTATTATCCCTTAGTTTTAGTAGGTAATCCTAGTTTTTTAACTAGTTATTCTCTTAGTAAGTAATCCGTTTTCCTTTACGTTATACTTTCTAGAGTTAGCTTTCCTTATATTTTATTATAGGAGGGGTTACTCTATTCTAGCTGAGTTACTATACTTTAGCTTTACTTTCTCTATAGATTATATACTTATCCTATTAGTAGTCTTATTAGCTTATATTAGTATTATAGAGGTATTTTATAGGGTATTTTTAGCTTAGTCTAAAGGTTATAAATTATCTATTAAATAGTTTAAGTTCCTATCTATAGACTTAGTTAGTATAGTAGACCTTCTTAATAGCTTTATTACTATGCCTTTAGGGGTAGAATTAGTAGTTATGCTTATCCCTAAGGTATTCCTTATAGTTATTAAAGAAGCATTATAGCTAGTAGAGGTATTAGTAGTAGTAGCTTTCTATATATAGGTATAGATAGTTATTTAGTCTAAATTCTAGTTTATAGTATCTATTACGTTATTCTCTTAAGGTGCTAAAGAATTTAAGTATCTATTTATCCTCTATAGGATTAACTTTCTTATACTAAAGGCGTTTACTAGCCTTTATAGTTTTATTATTAGAGTCCTCTTTAGAGCTAGTATTATTAATATTAGGTTTATACCTATAGATAACTTCTATCTAAGTATATCGTTATATAACGTTATGAGGCTTATCTAAGTTATAGAGTAACTCTTTATAGTCTTCTATCTACTAGTTGATTTATATATCTATATAAAAGTCTAGTTTACTATTATTAGTTTTAATAATATTATTTATCTATTTAAGGTTTATTAGTTTTATAATTATTATAGTAGTTATAGTCTCTTCTAGAGCTCTATACTCTAGAAGACTATTAAGTTATTCTTATATTTTTTATTCTAGCTTGCTATTATTTTAGTATCCTATAGCGAGAGTTTATTAGTTTGGGGGTCCACTAACATCCTTTACTCTAGTAATATTATATCCTATCCTACTAGGGTTCTTAGGGTACTATCCTATATATTCCTTAGAGTCTAAGTAAACTCTATAGTTATTATTAAAGTAAGTAGTCTAGCTAAGCTATTTATAAGGGATTACCTTAATAGTAGTACTAACTTATCTTTTTTTAGGTACTAGCTAGAAGTATTCTTTCTTAGGCGCCTTATATTCTTTTATAAGGTATCTATTCCTATTATAGTTATAGCACTTAATATTCTTCTTCTAGCTATTATCTCTATTATTATTATTACGCTAGGCTATACTAAGGTCTATAGGCCTGCTATAGTGTCTATAGGTAGTGCTATTACGTTTATTATGTTAATTATTATTATAGTACCTAGGCTGCTATTAGTATTTATAGCTAGAGTTAATAGGTTATTATTATTTACCTTTCTCTTTATATTACTTATATAGTTAATTATTAATTTTAATAATAAGCTTAATATACTAGAGGAAGTCCTTAGGTCTATTAACCTTAATAATTTTATCTTTAACTTTATCCTTAAGGTTATTATAGAATATAAAGATCTTACTTTTATTAATTAAGTCTAGCTAGGTATAAATCTATTAGAACTCTATAGTATAGTCTTTAGCTAACTTAATCTACTTAAAGTAAAGTAAGTCCTATTTAGCTTATTATTTCTTATTAGGGTCTTAAAATAGAGACTTTAGGGCAAACTTAAAGCCCTAGAAGCTACTAAAAATATCTCTAACTTTAGTAGAATAGTAGTTAAGTATTTCCTTATTAAGATACTCTTTAAGAAAGGGTTTAAACTACTAGAGGGCTTATCCCTTAAGGAAGGTAGATATATAAATAACTTTTTTAATTTTATTCTTAAAGTTACTATAATAGAAGTTCTAATAGTTCTTAACTTAGATAAGGAATCCCTTAAGCTATCCTAAGGATCTATTAAATAGATTAAGAGAGTTAAGTTAAAGTTTCTCTCTTCCTTTTATAATTAGGGTAGTAATAATATTAGTAGTAGCTTAAAGAGTATAGTTCTATTATTTAAGTTCCTAAGTATGCTAGTTAGATAGGTATATAGCATTCTAAAGTTCCTTAGTAGTATAGGTATTAGTATTAAATATCTCCTATATCTATTAGATATTATAGTTAGCTTAATTAAGCTATTCCTTAAGCGCGTTATTATTATTACTATTACTATTATCTTTTATCCTCTAGTCTCTAATTTCCTAAGCTAGGTTCTTTATAGGGGTTTTACCCTTACTAGAGGAAGAACTAATGCTAGGGGTCTTAATAGAGGGTTAAGAAGATATTATAATACTATTAGTAGTTCTTAAAGGGTAACTTACTAAATAGGAGTAATTAAAGTATTATAGCTAGCTAACTAATAATAAGATTTATATTAATAGTAAGTTAAGTAATAATAATAGTAATAGTTATTTATTATTCTATAGGTCTAATTAAGTAATTATAGGTCTTTAAAGGGCTTAGTAATTAGTTAAGTCCTTAATAAGAGTTATAGAGTAGTTATTACTTAGGTATAGCTAAAAGTACTAATAAGGGTAGTTATAAAGTTAATTACTAAAGAGCTATAGAAGTCTATCCTTAAGCTAGGCCTAAGTCTATTCTATATATAAGTCCTAAATAGTATCTTTACCCTTCCTACTAATTGCATTATTAGTACTAGTGAGCGCTTAGTGATTGCGGGTAAGCGCTTAGTAGTCTTAACTAAGCGCTTAGTTCCCTACTTTCCTCACTTAGTCTTATCTTATTATTACGTAACTTATACTATAGTTCTTCCGTCCCGAGGGATCCCTTCTATTCCCGTGATCCTACATACAAAAGTGTTGTCATAACCGCCTAGCTCCCTGTGGGCCCTGGCCCTGTTGGTTATGCCTAATGGGTTGTAATATCTTATAACCTCTATAATATTATATATAGCGCTATTATTAATATATATTAGAATTTTATTAAGTATATCTTTAATCCTCTATAATATATTAATATTACCTATAAATAATATAATAATAAATCTATACTTAAAGAGTAAGATTTAAACTCTCTATTAATAAGAGAGGTTATTATAAATTATTATAAGATATTAAAGCCTCTTAATACTAAAGAAATAATTAATAATATTATAATAGTTATAACTAAAGATATATTATAGCTATATTAAAGGGGTAATATTATAAATAATTATAGCTTATAGTTAGGTTTATATTATTAAGAGAAAAATAAGAAATAGCTATAATAAGAAATAATAAGGGGGGGGGTATTTAAGAGATAAAGATAAATAATAGAAATAAAGATATAAAATAATTATCTTTATTTAGTTAGTATAAAGGCCTCTTTAAGTAGGGATAATTTAGCCTATCTCTATAAGGTTTTCTCCTTTTTAAGGTTTTTAGCTATTACCTTAAATAGGGCTAAATTCTATAGTAGTTCTATAGTAGCTTAAAAGCTTATTAAGAAACTTTTCTAAATATTAAATATTAAATATATACTTATTAGGTATAATAAGATATTTATAACTAAATTATAAGGGTAGCTATATTATATTGCGCAGCGTATTGTATTTATGATGCGACTTACAAGTTGCTCCGCTCACGTCGAGACTTCGAAACGAGCATCGCCAGCATGGGAAAATGCGAAACCGAGGGTGACAAATGGATGCGGCGGATGCAAAGAACAGCCCGCCTGGAACAAACAGCATCCGCCGACATCCACGATGCTATCGCGCCATTGCGCAGGGTTTGGCCGATGTTGGACTATATATCAACCTTCGCCCAGCACCGTCGTCTCAACGGCATGGACCATATCGTTCACGAAGTCGCCGACTAGGTACTTATATTTCCAACAATGGGTTCACTGGCTGGAGAACGAACTGTCCCGGAGATTTCATCCATGAAGCGGTATCCTTCGACCGGAATATCGGCCATAGTCGTCGGCGGCGGCATTGCTGGCCTAACCTTCGCCATCGAGGCACACAGGAAGGGCCATGACGTGCGAATCCTGGACCGACGACCGTTCTTCGATGAGCTTGGTGGGTATTTTCGCTTTCCACTTAACAGCTAGGGATCTGTACCACGAAAAACTGACACACACCTTCAAAACCAGGCGACATCGTCGGCATCCAGTCCTCAGCCCTACACACCCCCGCACACTGGCCAGGCTTCCTCGAACGCGCCCGCGCCCTCGCCTACGAGCCCGTCCTCCACGTCAAAAAACACGACGGCACCCCCGTCGGCTCCGGCCCCCTGGGCACCCCCGGCGTGCCCACCATCATCATCAACCGCTCGCAGCTCCACCGCCTCCTCGCTGAGGCCGCGAGGGACCTCGGCATCCCCGTCGAGTTCAACGCCGCCGCCGCGTCTTACTTCGAGACGAAGGACGTCGGGGGCGTGCTGCTCGAGGACGGGCGCGCGTTGACGGCGGATGTTGTTGTCGCTGCCGACGGGGCCGGGTCCCGGGCCTGGGGGTTGGTGCTGGGGAGGAAGGAGAAGGCTTTCAGTTCGGGGTTTGCGGTGTATCGAGTTACTTTCCCCGCGGAGCCTGCACTGAGGAATCCGGTTATTGCGAGGGAGTTTGAGGGGTTCAGGACGCGGGATTCCGTGCATATCGGGCCGGGGACGCATATCGTCGTGGGCAAGACGGAGAAGGAGATTTGTTGGATGCTGAGCCACAAGGTACGAAACCTAACCCGAATCATTCGCGGTCCCTCCGACTGACGGGATCACAGGACGAAGGCGACTCCTCGGAAGACTGGACCGCCACGGCCTCCATCGACGACGCGCTCAAGTACGTCGAGGGCTGGACGCCCTTCGTGACGGAGCTGATCAGGGCGACGCCCGGCGGCGTGGTGACGAACTGGAAGCTCATGTGGCGCGACCCGGTTTCGAAGTGGGCGTCGCCCGAGGGGCGTGTGATACAGATCGGGGACGCGGCGCATACCTTCCTCCCGACCTCCGGCAGCGGCGCGACGATGGCCATGGAGGACGCGTACTCGCTCGCGACGTGTCTCCAGCTGGGCGGGAGGGCGGGGCTGGGGTTGGCTGTCAGGGTTCACAACGAGATGAGGTTTGTCTCTGTCCCTGATTGTATCAAAGTGTGAGGGAACAACTGACGAGGTGGTGTTTAGGTACGAACGCGTGTCGTGCGCGCAGAAGATGGGGTGGAAGACGAGGGAGAATTTCAACAATACGGACTGGGATAAGGTGGACGAGAACCCGCAGATTCTGACGAAGCCGGTCGGGGACTGGGTTCTGAGGCATGATCCGGAGCAGTACGCGTACGATAACTACGGGAACTGCGCGAAGTGCGTTTTGGAGGGGAAGGGGTTCGAGAATACGAATGCTGTCCCGGGACATACGTTCAAGCCGTGGACTATTAAGGAGTTGTTGGGGGTTACGGAGGCTGGGGGGGAGATTGTTGATGATGGCGATTGGTCTTGAACGTGGTTTCTCTAGAATGTACGGCTTTGCTAGTGAGTGGGTAGAAGATAGATTGATCGAGGCGATCTGGGTGGTCTTATGACAGTCCACGGCGATGTTGTTAGTAGAGTTTCCGTCATCCAGCGCGGCATGAGGTACGAAGCTGTATGGCATCGGACTAGACAATCGCGCACTGCGAAATCTGCTGTGTTTTCTATATATCTACTAAGAAAAAAACAACTATTTTATCCAATTAAAAGTTGGCAGTTAAGCTCGCGGCGGATTGGAATCATTAAGACTTGCTGACGAAATCAAATGGGTATTCCAATCATTGGCGTACTACTCAATAGGTCTAAAACGCCTGCAAGTGTGCCTAGCTCAGCCTGCCTCTTAGCACAAGCCCGCTCTTTCTCTGCCCGGCAGATCGTCCTTCGGCCGAGCGGCGAGGATATAGTTTCCATCAATAGGATTCTAGGGATGACCAGAATTCGGATTCGTCGAGGATGTTTGAGAACTCGAAAGCTATATCATGGACTCACAATGCTTTTCCTAGTTTCGAAGTCGGTGAGTATTGACGGTTCAATATCGATGCAGGAAGTGGTGGTGTCGTCTGACATATGTATGGCGGCTCATCACAGTACCATGATTCGGCAGGCACAGTTCACGTGCTGATCATGCCTTGTCGATGTCTAAACCCTTAGACGTATGACTGCATGATCCAATGCCAAAAGGTGCGCGGATTGTCTTGTTGGGGGGAGAAGAAGGCTACGAGAGCCATCTTAATCTCGGGGCGCTTGCTAATGCCGCCTTCCTTTCTCGGTGGACATACGCAATCTTCTAGATTTGACCAGTAGAATGAGCGTTTACTGCACCTTTTTAGATGCGTGATGCTGACGTTGATTGGCAATTTACTGCGCGGCGGCCTGTGGCTGGAAGTGCCTCTGCGGCGCCTAGATCAGCCTGCATTTATACAAACTGTGCACCTGCTTGCAATAATAGAACATACCTGCTGCCATGCTGCCTAGTTTCTCTTTTCTTAAATTTGGCGGCACTGCTTGACTGACTCTGCTTGGCCACAATTTCCCATCAGCACAGCATAAAACAGACGTTGGGGCCGGTCAATATTGATACCTAACACACATCCAGGTTGAGTTGTTTCGTGCGTTGATTGTATTGGCGGCTTACTCATTCCCAGTCATCAGTGCTGACGCCTACTTGCCCCTCAAAATGTCGACAGGTTCAAGCCTTGGCCACTCGGTAGGGCCGGTCTCGTCAAGCCCAACGACGTCCTCGGAACCAACGTCGCCAGTTTCCTTTAGAAGGTCAAGCCAAGACCAGCCAACAGTTCAAGAACCGCCTCAAGATCGGTCCAGAGAACCCGCCACGCCCCCAAAGCCGAAGAGATCCAATACCGACGCCGCCTTCCTATTCCTCCGGTCTTGGTTTTGGAAGAACCGTTTTGCCGCAACGGCGTTGGGTATCCTGGGGCTGCTCCTGGCTGCCATAGGTCTATATCCCACGTTCAAAGGCCAGGCGTTTTCGACGGCAAAATGGACCGCGCTCAACGAGTTTGTTGACCGCTGTGAAGAATTACAGGTATAATGCCGGCGCGATCAAGCAAACGCGGGCAAACCATCTGACTAGGAGGTTGCAGAAACACGGCATAGTCTCGGCGGGCTGTGGAGATGCCATGGCCACGCCCATCGGGCCACCTCCCCACGTCCCGCTGCCACTACACGATCGACTTCGCCGAGGGATCATCGAACAGCCTTGTCCACGGACAGAAGCCGGCGGCAGGCTTTCCAAACGGATATGCTGGAGATCCTGGGTACTGGTCTGGCTCATTCTAGGGGGAATAGTTGTCATCCCCTTTGTATCCGTCTGGTCCATTTCTTTCGCCTACGATAGGTTGAGTGGTCAACATCGATATAAATCGTTCACGGATGTTTGGGCGTCGCGTAAACGACCAAGGACTACCAGGCGAGGCGATCTTGACACGCCCTACACAACCGGCCGCGACCCTTTCATTAGCCCCGGGGCGAAAGTCCAAATGAAGAAATCAATGTTCCAACGAGGTCATAACAGAGGGAATTCAGACAAGGGCAGAGACGTGAAGTAGTGGGGTTCTTGTGATTCATTCTCAGAAAAATTCTAGGGGTCAGTAGATTCCGCTACTTTTATCGATGCGTTCCCGACTACCTTGAAGGTCAGTTGTCAAAGCTTCATGGCATGAGCTCTGAATTACTCCAATCCGAAAACTCTGGGATCTTTTGGGAGAGTAAAACGACATTCAGGCCACAAATTACTGATTGCGGAAATTAAAGGCTTGGTCTTAGTCAATCAATGAGACTTTGAAAGCATACAGGCATGATTCTTAGATATATATACATAAAGCAAACATTGTACGTGAACAAAAGCGGCAGCTTGAAAGCCCAGACTAACCGCCGTTTCGCATTATACAAGAAGAAGAGAAGTATCACACCAATCTCCAAGCAATCGGTCCCCGAGAAAGCATGGCCAGTGCCCGTCTACAACTAATCCCCGAAAGAACAGTCAAGACCGACACGCCCAAGCAGCCAAATTCAGGAACCGAGACAGCAACCGCTTACTCGAGGTCCTCGACGTCGGCGTTGGCGTGGCGACGGTAGTATCCCTTGTTGCCGCCCTTCTTGTCGTCCTTCTGGTTGCCCTTCTGGTTGCCCTTCTTCTTATCATCGTCAGAGTCGGAGCAGTCGCCCTTCTTGTTGCGCTTGCACTGCTTCTTCTTGTTGTCCTTCTTCTTCTTGTCGTCGTCCGAGTCGGAGCAGTAGTCCTTGCTGTGGGTGCGCTTGCACTTCTTCTTCTTGTTGCGCTGCTCGAGGGCGGCGTTGCGGGCGAGGACTTCGGCGCCGCCGATGGCCTGACGGGGGATTGGGGGTTAGTATGTGTGTTCGTGGGGAGCTGGATCTTGTGTGGAGGGGAGTGCTTACTGCGATACCCTCACCGCGGGCCTGAATTGTTGATTAGATGATTAGTGTATGGTTCTTTGTTGGCCGGTTTCTTCAAAGAAGCGAGGGGGGATCCTCGTGTGGTGGTGGACACTTACGACGATGTCGGCAGAGCGCTGTTGTACCAGTTAGACTCGGATTCTTTGATATTGGAGAGTGATTGTAGACTTACCTCGACGATGTCGGCCTCAAGAGGCTCAGCAACGGGGTTAGCCAGAGCTGCGACGGCGAAGAAGGCCATGCCGAGGGTGGCGACCTGTCCGAAAGTAGGCATATGCATTTTGGCTGGGTGGTGTGGTTGAAAGTGAGGGTGTTTTGTTGAAAGAGTGAGAGTAAAAGCGAATGAAGGAGTGGAGTGATTGTGTGTTCAAAGATTGACTTGGAAGCTTGAGATGTGATGATGAGATGGAGTAGTAGAACAAAACAGCCGGATATCGCGAGCATTCTTATACTTACTTTTCGGTGGCATCTCAACACACCAGGGTCATATTTGTCTACCTATCGTGTCGGTGCGGCTGCACACTATTGCGATTTGGACGAGGGAGAAAGTAAACAGACGGTAGATCCAAAGAAGATCGTGGTCTAGGCGGGGCTTGGCTTGCGATGTGTAGGTACGGCGTTGAGCTAGAACGAAGTCGAAGAGTTGACTCTAGGAGTCCGAGAGCAGTGCCAAGTACACAGTCGCGGACAACGGAAACGAGCTTGGGCAGTTTGATATCCATCTACACGTATTTCACGTTGTCGCAGTCAACATTAATGCAAAAAAACTCCCTAAATTCTATATCTTATTGACGAAATGGTTCATTGAACTTTTGAAGCCATTCATCGGCATGACACAGGGTACGACCGCTCGATAATTGCATCTTTAGACAACCTTTTTGTTGCCAGTTCAAGTACACTGTGCTGAGCCTTTGGGAGCTCAGAAACACTACATACCATCAAACACAGCAGATTTTAGAACTGTTCATGGCGACCGACGTAGTTTTGCAACTAATGTTCCAGAAATTGTAGTGCTTCTTGGCATCTCGTTCGCGCAAGCCTCCAAGGCCATGCGCCTCCATCCCACCAGAGCCAAGTTGCCTTCAGCTGAACGACGCTTTAACTACCTACCGTAGCTTAGGCCAGCCTTGTCCGTGAGCCCAACTACGGCTAAAACAGTACTGCCCACCTAGCGCCTGAAAAGCGGACGCCGTCGTTTGGATAAGAACTTAATCTGGATGTCTGGTCACTAATTTACAGGCTTGTGATTGGTGAGTAGCGCTAGGTGCGTAGCTCTACTAGTATTGGTGTCCGTCTGACCATCGACAACAGGCTTCCTCGAATATCGGAGGTGCCCGTGTTTGGGGTTAAGCTTAACTTGGCAGACGTCAATGATGCTCGAATATGGGGGAGATTATTTGGAGCTGAAGCGCCCTCGCCTGCGAACCACGGTCCCAGGTCCCACGCTCTAGCGAAGCTCATACTCACAAAAGACTTTTTTTCAACAGCCAAGCTTTTAGATCGGCATGCATAAATCGTGCGCACTATTTCGAGGAAGAGCTCTTGGTTGAGTCAATGAAGTTGGAGGGGAGATGTTGGTGATGGGGTCAGTCTAGAAGGTGGAATATCTAGAATGGACTTGAGAGTTGTCCGAAAATAAATATACGTGGTAATGAGATGCCGTTGCCTGTTAGGTAGCGGGAGATAGATCATGAGTTTGAAAACTTGGTAATTGTTCAACATCCATACTTAGTATAGTTCAAAGATGCAAGTCTGCGGCTTTGAACGTCCAGGAGCCGGCCGTAGCAAGACCCTACTTTCACCAACTCACCAACACTTTGACATAGGATGCACCCGCTATTACGTAGAGCCTTAAGCGATAGGAATATCCTCGAGGGAAGTAGAGTTTGTGATGAATAATACCAGTGAAGCCTGAGCCTGGCATAGTAGTAATCATTTCTAGCTATCCATTACTTGATAGCTTGCCGTGCTTCAAAGACGAGAGTTCTTCATTGCTAGCTGCTTGTCAAGAGACTCAACTCTAGCCTTGAGAGACATAGGGAACCTCAAGTACTCTGCCGACATAAAATCACTGATGATGGGGACTTTTGCCAAAATCCACGTAAGTCGCCTGTAGTCCTCCAACATCACAAACTTCGACTTTTGAGGGTTGCTCTCGTGGGGCTGAATCTCAAACGTCATGTCTCCCGACAAAACCAGGTAAGCATCTCCGGTCCAGCAAATCCTAGTATCGGACACGTCCTGCAAGTAAGTCAACACAATGTCAATTGTGCAGGTTCGTGAAACGGCTAACCGTTACAGTGACGTCGGTCGTCACGGACCCAGATAAGTGCGCTGTCACAATTTCCCCGACGCGAAGAGGGCCGGACTCGCCAGGTTTCCGCTCAATACCTCTAACAAGACCATCCGCCCACTCAGGAAACTTTGGCCAGTCGAAGAACTAAGATTTCAGTCATTCTGTGTAAATGGGTTCTTGGACAAATTAAGCATGATATGCTACTCACAACGCTCCTAACTGATTCCGGGGGCGCATCGATGTCTGCTTCCCAGCGTCCAGACATGCTGACGTTGAATGCGTTCTTTTTCGAATGAAACTATATGTGCGCCAGGGTAAACGGCATACTCATTGCAGGATCCGAGTTTGTTTAAATGACATGCTGCACACTCGATGGTTGACTCCAAATTCACAGAGTCTATGGTGATCTCTAGGTCCGTGACCAACGTGGGCTTTGAAATCAAAGTCCGCTCCGCAGTGTAGAAACCGGAAAGCCGCGCGCCCCGTCAGATCATAATCGATTGCGCGTGGCCGAGGTCCAACTCGCGAATTCTGATGAGCCGCCATGCTGCGGCTGAACATCATGTCCAATCGCGCCCTGTCTCTGGTCGGTAGTAGGTCGCTCAAAGTACTGTAGTCTCGATTGGCGCAACTTTTTAAGGTTTCTTCGGGGACGCAAGATAGGGTCCTCTCGAAGGAAGACACAAATTTAGGCGATGTTCACATTATTCATGCTTTGTTCCTGGGACGTGAAGGTTCCGCCGGCTGTCCGGAGCCTCGGGACGGGAACGAGTGGAGTTGCCGTCCGGAGGCAAATCGGCGGGAAGATTGTCGAATCGGGATAGCTTGGCGCGGACCGTTGAACGCAAGAGATGAGTAAGAAAAGAATTAATGCGGCCAAGATATCTCACAGTCCGTATTTCAGAAATATCGTCCGAGACAATATCACATGTAGATCTGCAGCAATCGGAATCCTACGCAGTCCGTCTCTGCAAGCAGCTCTGATATTGCGGAGCGTGAAGTCAACAATGAAAGGACCGCAGAGGACTGGGCATATAAAAGAAGTAGGGGCAGATTGCGAGAAGATGCACGTCTGATGCATTGCAATTGTAATACATGCTTTCGCTTTGCCTCTCCATCAATCCTTCCACGTACACCGTTCTGCTTCTCACCAGCTGATCTTCTCATCGAAATATGTCTGGCATAACTGAATCCTACGACGCAATCATTGTCGGGGCAGGAATTGCTGGCATCAATGCTGCTTATCGATTCCAGGAGGCGTTTCCTCTCAAACCGTATGCCATTTTGGAATCTCGCAATGAGCTCGGTGGGACATGGTCAATTTTCCAATACCCAGGAATCCGGTCTGACTCGGACTTGTATACCCTGAGTTTCGGATGGGACCCTTGGAGTGAAGGTCAGTCTCGCACTCTCCTTTGAGGCTGGAAGGAACTTATCTGACACGTCTTGAAGCTGATTCGATCGCACCGGTTCAACGCATCATGTCTTACTTATGGCGCATTACGAGGAAGCACGGCATTGAGCCACACATCAAGTTCAATCGCAAAGTGCTCAGTGCGAATTGGGATAGCCACGAGCATCGATGGACGCTACAGGTCAATGCGGATGGATATGTCAAAAGCATGACTGCGACGTACCTTTACATGGGAACTGGGTACTACGACGGCACGAATGTGAGATTCTTCTCCTTCTTGCAGGAATTGCATGTTTAGTTTGCTAACGCAACGCAAACAGCCTTATGAGGCGCACATTCAAGGTATTGAGAGATTCCGGGGAGCGATCCTACATCCCCAGTTCTGGCCGAAAGACTACGACTACAGTGGCCAGAAGGTGGTCATCATCGGCAGCGGAGCCACTGCTGTTACCATGCTACCTGCCATGCATGAGAAGGCCGAGAAAGTAACCATGTTGCAACGAAGCCCCGGTTACGTCTTGAGCTTGCCCCAGAAGGATTGGATGCGGACACTTACTCGCCTGCTATTTCCGAGGTTTATAGCCAACGCTCTCATTCGATTTCGCTATATTGCATCTGCCTATGCCATATTCATTCTTTGCAAGATGTTCCCAGCCGCTGTTAGGAAGTATGTTCAGGCAGAAGCCAGGTCGCAACTGCCGGAGGATTTTCCCGTCGAAAAGCATTTCGCACCCAAGTACAACCCATGGGACCAAAGATTCTGCATTGCACCTGACGGAGACTTTTACAAATGCTTGGGAACGAACAAAGCGGCTGTTGTCACTGATGAGATCCAAACGGTGACGGAAGATGGGATTTTGCTAAGATCCGGCAGCCACATTCCGGCAGATCTCATCGTTACTGCGACCGGACTGCGGGTGAGGTTCCTGGGCAACATCAATATCACCATCGACGGCGGCCAACCTGTCCGCATATCGGAGGTCTCCTTCTAGAGGGGTTGCATGTTGCAAGACATTCCCAATATGTTTGTGTTTAATGGCTACTTCTTAGCCTCATACACCCTTGGTATCGATAATGCCTGCATTCGGATCCAGCGCATCATCAACAAAGCAGAGAAAAAAGGCGCGAATTTCTTTGTGCCTCGAATTCGGAATCACACTTCCATCAAAACAACAGCCACTAGCCCACTCTCATCAGGGTATCTGAAGCGTGCGGAAGCAGATAAAGCGTTACCCAGATCAGCAACGAAACATCCATGGCGTGGTGAGTGGTTGTGGTACACAGACTGGATCAAGAGTCGTTTTGGATCGGTCGAGGATTCTCTTGAGTATTTCTACTAGCTTTAAGCTATAGCAAACCTTGAGCTGCAGGCTACATATATCCTGGAATACAAAGAGAACCAATTTCTAGTGTCTTAATTTGATCTGTGAGGAAATTTTGGACTGTCTGAAATACCAAGCCGGCGATAAGTGACAATGCTGTATACTATCTATAGCTGCTTAAATGTTTATGGTGGCAGTAGTATACTATCTTATCGTCAGCTAGTCATTTCAATAATGTTCTACCTGTCTATGCACGTAAATTATAGATGTTTCTTGGTTTAAGTGATGGTGACTTTAGTTGTGGGGCGTAACATCTAAAGATTACCTAGCTGTGAATTCTTTTCAAATTATCATCTCATAACACGTAGTGACATTCAATACTAGAGCTCAGTACTATAATAGGATGTTACTTATTAACTGCAGGAAGTGGACAGTTGAGCTTCAAACTCTCCTTTATTCGGGTTTATAATGATCGAGCGATACCCTCAATAGCCTTAACGAACGGTGTCTACCGACGATCTATTTTCCGTAGTTCCTAGGGCTAGGGTGTAGGGAGTCAGCTAGCTGATCAGGTATCAATACCTAGTTAATTATAGAAGCCGGCTCAAAAGCTGCAATTTTAAGGTAAGCAGCCAGGTGAGGCAATAACACCTAAACAACAAAGCGAGCCGCCAACGGTTGACTAAGGAGGGGAAATATTTAGTCAGCATTCAGACACCCCCCTTATTCTGAAAGCAGTACGTTAGAATCACAACGCGACCGCTCGCAAAGGCAGCAGCCGCCTCGCATCCGTGTCACAGATGCCTTGTTCATCCACCGTCTCAGCTCGAATGCATTGAAATTACAAGAACGGCAAGGAACACTCTCCTGCACGAGCAATACCAGAGTCTATTATCACGGGAAGCTTCGAAATCCGAGCCAAGCTCCAATGATATCATCTAATACCTAATGTTCAAGCATCAAGAACGACGTAGTCATCTTCGTTACTGGAAATAGAGATTTGGGCTCACTGAGTGTCAAGATATCAATTTTGCAACCCCTCCTACCAGCCCTGAAAGCCAACCATACCCAGTTACGGCAGATAGGAAACAGCTCCGACCCGAACCAGCCAGTCAAGAGAGCAACATGGTGGTCGATGCTGTCTTTGACTATGACGTTTGTCATAGCTCCCAGGATCATCAGGATTCCCCTTCAATTGGCGCACACTCTCGCCAGACTGCGGGCCCCATCGAGGTGGTCCAGGCATCATTCCAGGAAAGCGAAATACCCGCCTGCAAGCCATACGATGGTAACATTCCTAAAGCCCGCGCCCCATCTCCTGCAACACCCTCTGATTAACCGTGTCAAGGGCAAGCCTTGGATGATACAAGCAGCGCATCCACCCATGTCGGGTCCGAGGCCACGAAGGCTGTGTTCAGTTCCGATGCCGAAGTACTTTCCACGTCGCCGTCACTTCGTCGTTTTCGCCACAAATTCTCGCAGATGCATAAAACCATGCGGTATGAGGACGGTGACGCAGGCAATGAAGATCCAGGAAACGAGGACGGTCTTGACAGGCTAGGATCTCGACATAATGAAGAGAACTCTTCTTCTCCTCTAGATGTTGAGGATTCTGGCTCGAAAGGCGATGATTCAGATGACGTCCACCAGGGTCGCAAGCGCCGCAAAATCTCGACATCTACTTCCTGTTCGGTCCGCCGTACCGCCGCCAATTCGGGGCTCTCGCAAAAGACAATCGGCAACACATACCGCGCAGTCACCTAACGATATCCGAGCACCAGAGACAACGCCAGCCCCGTCTGAAGCTAGCGTGTTGCTTACTCAGTTCGAGGAATGGTCTCTCAAAGATGTCTTGCTCAAGCGCATTGCTGAAGGCGGCAAGACAACATTCCAATTACGGTTTGAATGGGACTAAGATTCGTGTCAGATCCATATTGATAAATCCGGGTCGCATCTAAAAAAGCGCAGAAGGTTGCCCAAGACTTTGCGTTCGGCTGCAAAATCATCTAGCGGAAGAATAAAAATAAAGAATCAAGATTGATAATAAAGGGAAATAGCAGGCCGGCTGGTAGAGTGAGGCTTTTCTTGCATTCGTTTGTGTAAAACTTCTCTCAGCTAGCCTAGAGAAATGCCAGGTTCTCGACTATTTCAACGGTGTATGTATGGTGAAGTCTGAGTGCCTTGTATCGATATGTAATTAAGTCCCAGCGTTATTTTATAACCGTGTAGGGAAATCGTAGGTATCTTCTGCCAGCAACATGGGCAGTTGCCAGTCGTCGATGCGAGGTCATCGTTATCTAGGGTCCCACGTCCTCAATTATTTGCCTCTTATCTATATCATTGTATAGTATAGTGAGGTAAACAAGCGTTTCAATCAATATCGTGCTTAAGATATCTTTGTATATATCCTATGGTCTAGGTTTGCTTATACGCTTCATCTTGTAAAATCCCGTTGCTATTATCTAACAAAAGCTTATTACGGTCTTATGCCTATATCTCACAGCCTGGGAAAGTGGCGTCTCGTAATACCCATCCATGAAGTTTGAATTGACGCCATCTACACTAAGGAGGAGTCTGACCACCGCCTCGTGTCCAGCCGCGGCGGCGAGCAACAGCTATATTCACTACTATATAGTAATTGAGAACCATTAACTCGCTCTTCATCAGTTTGAGGGCTGTCGGGCGACGCGATATCAGGCAATCTGCTTATTAGGCTGAGCATCTGGGCCTAAGGTCGCATTAGAGATAGTAGAGATAGTAATATTATATGCTTGCCTGATGCTTCTGTAGATGTGCTTTCACGTCATTTTTCGTAATGGATTCAAAGCAGACATCAAGAGTCATGTTATAGAGGTGTCAAAAGAAAGAAAGTTACACGTTCAATCGGCATACTTACTTATACCCCGCCCGTGCAGTATTAAGTTTGATTTCCAACGTCAAGACACATCACGCAATTGCGGACAAGCAACCTTTAACAAATACAGATACCCTATCACAATGCATAGACAATCTATATTGTAGACAATAGACCCCTTTATTTAGGAGCTTTCTGTTTTTAGAGAGCATTATTTGCTGCAACTCCGTAATTAGTTAAGTAGTAGCGTGTCGTTTTGGGCGTTAATAACTGAATTTTATACTTGTGAATGATTTTTTTCTTCTTTTCTCTTCATTATAACTTTACCTTTTATTGTCTACTTTTCTTATAGTACCCAATTAAGCATGCATAAATAATGTAGTCACTCTAGGGAACGTGATTGAGAATACTGGCAATGCAAAATTGCTTTTAAGATTTGCTTCTATATAATTTATTGATTTTTTTTTAAACATCGCTAGAATAAAGTGGTAATATAAAAATAAGAGTCCTCTATTCCGCGCCAGACACGTCGTAAAAATGCAAGCTTCGCTGTGGACTTCTTCCTTAAGGCTATGGGACTGATTTGACTGATTTCCGCCTCAAAAATCGTCCAAGAGAGCGCAAAAAGGCTAGTAGACGTTGGAAGAGACTTGTCGGACTAGCGACATTTCTCTTGGTGATTTATTCTGACGATGCTGGTGGATTTGATGGTCTAGTTTGGTTGTATGTGCAGTTAACCTCCCGCTAACGACCAAGCCAATGTGGGCTTGCATGTCATGGCTTTGTCATTCATCAGCAGGTTCCACCCCACCCCGGAAACTCGTGCCTTCAAGGCTGCTCTTGAGGGTGCTCATCTCGTCCTCAAGTTCCGAAGGCAAACAGTCTCGCTTCGCCGTCTCAAAGTCTACCAGAACCACGTCATGCCCATCCCGCACAAGAAAGTTATGTTTGTTGATGTCGCCAAGCTTGATACCGAGCTCATGCAACCGGCCCAAAGCCTTCTTGCAGTCGTCGATGTCCGCTGGCCCAGCGGCTCTCGCGCCTTCCACCCACTCAGCGACGAAGCCAACCACGCGCCCATCTTGGCCCTCGGTGAGATGGCCCAGAAAATTAGGACCGACCCCGCTGTCACTAATCCATTGATAGGCGGCCGTCTCAACCTCAATGGAGGGGATTTCCCAGGGCCAGACCGCGAGTTTGATGAGCACGGGTTTGCCGCCTTTAACTTTGGGATGCGTTGAGACGTGGACTCGTTGCCTCACTCGCTCTTGTCGCGTGAATTCCAGCTCGTTGAGCTTCATGGGATGCCAACAGTTCTTAACCCCGGCAAGTTGTACTGTCTCGGCCCTGACGAAGGTAGCCTTCCCCGTCTCGGAGTCCCTAGCTACGTAGCCGTGGTTCCAATCTCCAGTCGGAAATGGTGGGAGGAGCTCGCTAAGCAGGATTGGCTCGAAAGTACGGTCGTCCTCGGCCCCGCGAAACGTGCCTGGCGCTGTGGATATGTACTTCACATGTTGCCCGTCGACGAGGAAGCGATAATCGCTATCGTCTGTGTCGTCGTCGTCGATGAGACATGCGAGAAGCCGGACGTTGGTGTTCCTTTCTTGAGGGGCAATCATTGCGGAGAAGCGGTGTTGAGGCGATAGGAGATGGCTGCGGATCAGTAAGGAGGTGCTCTGGATCCAAATGGCGGCTGCGCAGCATGACTACTTGAGAAGGCGTGATCGGACAGGAGCTGTTGAGAATTGGATGGTGCGCCGAGCTGAAAGATCAGAGCCTGGGAGGGCCTGGAGCACGAGACAATGAAATTGGCTAAGAGGCTCAGCGTCCGGCTGGCGGAATAGACTTTAAAAAGGAGAAGTGCGAGTATACGCGCTGTGGAAGTTGGTTTCTGATGGCGGGGCTTGCATCTCCCAGGAGTTGTAGCCAATCAACTTACCCTACGGGCGGTACGGAGTGATGAGTACCCGAGGGAACCTGCAGGCCTCCACATCCCAGTCAGTCGAGGTGACATACAGTGCACGGGCCTGCTAGGACGTTGATATTCAGCTGGCAGCTCACCATCAGCACATTAGGTCTGTGCCGCTCGACTCTACCCATTGTGTTTTACAGCCGAAATTTACGAGCATCATTGCGTGAGAAATAGATAATTCGAACAAGTATGGTGGAATTACTCTCGGTAACTTTCTGCTTTCTGTTTTCCTGTTCTGACTTTAGAAGCCCCCGCCTGCCCACTTAACGGTTATGCTGATCACGTTAGCGTTGACCATTCACCTCGATAGGCCTTTCGCCTACCGTAACGCAACTCTCGCAGCGAGAGCCACGCACGGTCACCCATCCGGGGCAATCAATGCCGTGCTTGTATCTGTTGGCACAGGGGTAGCGGTCCATGGCGGTGGTTCGTGGAAGGTATCTGTGTCTGTGGGGTGTGGCTCTTGGGAAATATTTGGTTTGGCACTGAGGATGTCAGGATGAGCAGAGGTAAGCTATTTGCATTCAGAGCTTGTCCACTGGGGGAGGCAAATTATGTTAATAGACCTGCTATTCAAAGAATCCATCGCGCTGCTGGCCAATACGAACATGTGGCCATCTTGAAAATTGAAATGGCACCCCCTTCCAGCGCTCGATGCATCATTTCACGTTCTGCATATTCAGACTCCCGCCAGATGATCGTCGATGTATGAACTAGAGGGCCTTCGTATTAGTAGGAACGCCACTTGATTGACCAAAGTATACAAACCGAGAGCCTTCAAAAGAAGATGTCGCAGGGTGACTGCAGTCAGAGCGGCCATTCCAAGGGCAAAGGAAAAGTCCGTCTGATGTCATGCGAAGCTCCGAATACAACGGGTTCTCTCGTGTATGCGAAGTTTTGTGTTGCTCCGACTCAGTGCTGATAACTGGGAATGCCGGTCCTGAATTGAGCTCTCAAAAGGTGGAGGTATCCAGCCAAAAGAGGCGAAGAACATCGCTATCGATCTGGTCGAACGTGTCTTTCCTGGGTCGCGACTCTACTTGCAAGCGTCCGCATCCGTCTATCAACGGAGCTTCGAGGTCGGCCCATCGATACACAAAACTGTCACAGGTAAGCGGAGGGTAAGACGAAGACGCAAATACCGAACCCACAGGTGGCGGACTAAACCTCCGAGAAGCGGAAAGGCTTCCTTCACAGATTTGACGGTGCCAGGAGCAATGCTGTGAGCCGGTGGACTAACATATTGCTGTTCGAATAGTTGCCAGTAATTGCCATACGTGTCTTCGTGCGGGAGGCTTAGAGGAGTATTTCGACTCAACGAATGAAAACAGTGGCCGCTTTCAGGGTGGCAAACGAGATAGTCTACTTGACAGCTCTGGTGGCAGTCGCTGCAATGCTTCTTGTGGGCATGGAGGGCAACGAATTCCGAAGTTGTCATCTCGTATGGTCTGCGAACGTTGCTGGTATAATATGAAAGAGGAGCAAATAGTGTAGAAGGTCAATTTAGGAAGAACTATATATCTCTTCAGAACAGTTCCAGGGCAAACGAGACCGAGGCATGGCATCGACCAGGATCTTTCAATCCCCATGAGATGTTTCATCGGCGGGCAGGTACCCATCTCAGGCCCTGCTCACACGCACCAGCATACTAGTAGTTCCCAAAAGCAAGTTGTCTGCAGTGAAAATAATAACATTCTGAAAAGAGCGTATGTCCTATCTTCGAAACCAGTGATGCATCCAAATAGGGGCTGTATTCGCCCATGCGCCAAGAATGGTAGTCGGACGCGAAGTGTGCGTATGTATCGCATCGAGCCGGGGCAAAACCTCGATATGAGCATGATATGCGACTTCTTGGTGTTCTCCGTTCCCCGTCAACTGGAGCAACACCACGTCTCCCCACACTGGCTTCACTTCTGACTCGCAGCTGCCCCGAAAGGTTACAGGACTCGCACACTCCTGCGGCTCAAGGGCCTGAGACTGAAAGGACTCCGTCAGATTCCGGTCGACATGGGGCTTTCTCGAGCTCCCTCCCAGTTTCTCTGCTGACGCGGGCAAGAAGGGTTGCTCATGTTGCTCATGACCAGCACCGCTCTGCCACTCATCTGTGGATTCTTGACCGATTTCGTCGTCCGCCTCTCTCGAGATCGCACGGGATCTAGCGATTGTGTCTTTGACGTCTCTCAGAGATGTTCGAAGTTCTTGAAGTGTCGAAAGCCTCTTGGAATGCACCTTTAGCGATGCTATAGCTTGCCTTTCGTGTAATGCTGCAAGTCGCTTCTCCGTTATTACGTCGTTATAGAGTATGAACCCACCCAGTCCGACGGCGACGAGCTAAACGTGAGTGTTAGAGAAGACCAATTGCCTGAAAGGGCCACCAGTGTAGAGAGGGTCCTGTGCCATCGCCAGCAGTACGGTTTCAATCTTTGCCACGCGACAGAGGTGCCTTCGATGAACACACCCAAGCCTCAGGGCCCACGTCGCCTGTTCACATTTCTCGTGCCATAGAAGGGGCATGTAAACTCGGGACCGGATGCGACCTTCTTCGTACAAGCCGATGTGCTGACTTCTCACCCGGCGGGAAGTTGGCTCGGAAGTCGATTTGAGGACTCTTGACGTAACCCTAATCGCTTCTCGCATCTTCTCCTTCCTTTTTCTCGGCACAGGTGGCATCGTGGGGCGGTGATTTGTTCGATGGCGGCCAAAGCTTCCGAGTGATGTTGATGCCCGAGGAAAACGTGACGAAGAGGGTGCCACTACTTCAAGAAGTATGTAGAGAAGGCAAGAATTAGTAGAGGCAAGGCGGCAGTAAGGATCGGGTACTTGAGAAAGAAGAATATGGTCACTGGGCGTCGGCTGCGAGATTCTGCCCAGCAAAAAAGGTCGAAAATAAAATGAAGAGCTTTCATAAATGTGTAAGTTGGAGGGATCACAAATATGGAAACAAAGAGGAGCAAGAGAGAGATTCCTATGTTCAAAAGGCCGCTCGCAACCTCAGCCACGCCTTTGCGGAAGGGATCGAATGGACGCCAAAGCAACGGCCCTTCAATGGCCATGTCAAATCGCGGTCGTGAGTGGTTTTGGGTCGAGTAGTTGGGCGAGGGGCGACCGGTTTAGTACTGGGCCTAACGATCCTGATCAAAAGCGGAATATTCAGCAAGGATCCCTGATTCGAGTTTTCACCTGCAGTCAGCTGTATGAAAACCACCCTGGGGGCTCGATGCCGTCGAGATCCACCCCGGCTTCCTCTCAAGATTAAAGAGCGGTCGCTTCCCCTCCACTCATGTCGATTGCCTTCCTGCAGGAGCTCATGCACTTGTGTTTTGCCATCACCCGCCTGCATACCTCAACTTCTAACATGGATACTTTTCGGAGCCTGGAGGCTGCCAAGGTTAGGGAGTATAACCTTCGAGAGTATCACAAGCCCTCTGCCGTTCTTTTTATCAAAGCACTCCTCCAGGGATGCGAAATCACAGACCGCATCGAACACCTTACCCAGATGATTCTCAATCATATCTCAGAGGGCAATACAATCCAAAAGATTGGGTTGTTCGCCAGCTCCGCGGAGAAACACAATATTCTGGACCTCATTGAGCCGTACTGGCGATGGGATACCATCCATGAGTACAACACTGAGTACTTCGATCTTGACAAAGCGGCCTCTACCGAAAAAGCCTTGGTACGTCTCATGCTTGGTGCCGGAATCTCTGGATACTAATGTTAATAGATGGATTTGTGGAAGGCCTTGGCTGAAGTGACTAAGAGTGACAAAAACCCGGCCCTTGCTCAACAGATCGCGTCGGTCAATATTGACTTCACAGAGAACGCCTTGAACGCGATTTAATTGGATAAAATGCAGGCCACTGTGAATTCGCTTCAAGACGTGCAGATTTAGCATGAGAAACCTGCTTCCTGGCCTCTCAACTTGGGATAAATGACTCTGTCACCTCCAAGACAATGCTGCTTAACCCCAATGGCCTCGGCTGGAATCGGATAGTAACTCTTATACGGCTGGTATAACAAAGATAGTAGATAGATCAACACCCCTGTGATCACCGTCATTGTCAAGGTCGCAATGAGGCCGCTTTTGGTAATCTCATGAAAGTTAGTGTTCATGGCGGATCAGTGGCCATGATGATCACAACGAGGGAGACATGCAAATTTGTAATGCAAACCGGGCAAGTCGCTGGTTCATCCTCTCATACGCCAATGCTTTACACCAATTCAAGGGACAGGTCCAGCACAAGAGTGGCGCGACAGTTTTCATTACCCATGTCATTGGGCTTGCTGTAGGGTGAGTCCAGGAGAAACCACAACCATGGGATATCCTTGTGGATTGCTAACGATTGCCAGGTCGGCTCCGCGTTTGCCGGGGGTTGGAGGTAGTCCAGCGCATCATGATATGATCGCTATCTTGGTAATGGGAGGGGTTCCCCAATTGAGGTGTCTCGGATTTGGAACGGGCAGCATCATCCGGCGATGTTTCTATGGCTGCTCAACATCGGTGATATTGAAAGAGCCAACCTCAATCGCGTAATGGCTGCCTGGAATAGCCAAGTTCACCGTCTATAAAATCCGTGATTATGACCATGTAAAACATTCAAGTCGATCGATATTCAATTTATACACATATATTCCAGAAGAGTGTGGTCGTCGCGTGTCAATTCCATTAGTTAAAATAACCAGCGACTCCCAAGACTTAGTAGGGAATAATTAGGAAAATAGGCTCCTTTGTGAATGTAGCATTCTCTATATATAGCCATTAACATTTTGATTTCATTAGCTACCTTACGTTATTATGGCACCTTATTCTCCTTGACGCCACGGACACCATGAAAGGAGACTCTAATTGATCAAGTCCCAGGTACTAGCAGTCAGCCTCCAACGTAAGCAAAAAGCAGTAAACATCAGAAGATATTTGCTTTTATTACTCACTCTAGGGCCAGGCCCGTCTGCACATCAATCACGCACACAAAATCGCCCGATTTTATAATTCATTTAACGAGCACAAGATTGGTTTTTCATGACGTCTGCCAAACTCCAAGTCCACATCATTATATCCAGCCTCACCAATACCAACTGAACGCTAATCTTAAGATATTGTCTCAGCTAAATCCTGGAGCGGCAGTCTTCTAGCCATCAACGCAGACATCTGCCTCAACTATTAAACCTATTAGTAGCTAGTCGCTATCTCATACTGCAAGAGATATTTCTACTAAAAGAAAGTCGCTAAATATCCCAAGTGCACTGAATATCCCGTGTGCGGCATTCGCGGCAGGAGACTGCTCCTATGGACAGCACTGTGCTCTCTCCCACAAGGAAAAGCGTCCAAAACCACAAATATAGGATCTCATAGAAACCTAAAGGCCTTAGGTACCGTCTTCTTGACTCCATCAATATGCACGTAGATGACTAACTACTTCTAGTTGCCCAGAATTAAGGCCAAGTGCGTTTGAGAGCTTCCTAGAGCCTAGGTCACCTTTAGGCCGGGAGCAGTCGTCAAGAAAGCAATACTTCCAGGCAAATAGATCCAAGCGAGAATTTACTATCTTCCCCTAAACACTAAACCAGAGTTTATGTCTAACTTACTTAGCCGTTTTAGCATACACATGCCTCCAACTCAAATTTAAATGCTTAAGGTAGGACTTTAGTATAACCAACAGAAGGGGTATCAAAATACCACACTATTCAGCTCTAAAGACCCAAAGTTTCTAGACAAACTCTATAAGAAGTTAGAGGCAGATAACTACCCCAAGATGGACAATATTAACTTATTGAGGCTGTTTTTACCTTCTTCAAAACCAGAGGGTCCCACTAAGCCAGGGGGGTTCTCACATCAAATAAGCTGCGCGACTATTATCCTAACATAGCCTAGGCCAACAAGGGTTATACAACTTCATTACAAAAATGAGCGCCCTACCCAGGACGTAGCCAATAACTTTACAAAGGGGAATTACAAGATTCTCAGGTCCAAGGTGTCTTTAGGTCCTGCCATCCTTCCCAGCTGGATGCTACTTATTATGGAACTTAGGAAAGCGATCAATGGACGACTACCACACATCTGGATAGTAAGGCTTTTAGTTCCCTTCCAAATCTCTAAAGAAGACATCCTCCATTCAATTACAAAGTCCAAGCAGCCAGAAGCCATAGAGTTCAAGGAGGTCAAGCTCAATTTAACAGAGGACCCAACGGGAGTTACCTAGCTGGAGTCCTATCTCACACGTTTTGGTCCACTAGCAGCAAGACTCACCAGTTGCACTCCCCTAACCGAGAAGAACTTGACGGGAGTTGTCCGTTTCGAGGACGAAGATGCCGCAAGAAGTGCTGCTGTAAGAATGAGCAAAGGCCGGCTACCATGGGACACACATCAGGCCGCTATCCGACATAAAAGTGTACAGACAGCATTGGTGTAGACCACCACGTATCGCTTTCACTTCAATATACTCAGTACCTTATGGGGCGAAGTCAAGGCCTTGGGGTCTTCCTTCTTATCACAAGACAAACTCGTCGAATTTTAAATGTTAAATGTGTACTCGTTGGGTATGGCGAGATGATATTGATGGCCAGATTATAAGGGTGGCTGCATTATATTGCGCGGCGTATTGCATTTATCGTCGAATTTCAGTTTTACCCATGTTCGTTGGGAAGCTCACGGCGACCGGGTGCTCCTCCAGCCTTTATTATTTTGGAGATAAACAGTCAGAATCATAATGCGATGATCGCTGTCAAAGAGATCATTAACCCCATACTTTGAGGACAACTTGCCAAAAGCGGAACTGAGAGTATAACAGCATAACGTCCCGCAATTACGAACAGCGCGGCTGAATACCAGGTTATTAGTGACTTAAAGCGTCAGCTTGGGGCGATATTTCGTTATTTTACATTCAACAGGGAGATCAGGATCTACAGGGCTGCGCCAAAGGTCAAGCAGGCTCAAGACAAACCTTTAAATGTTATGGATGACAACCACGCGGAGTTGACACACTCTTTTCCAATGGACGAGGAGACTTACCATTGGGCTGTTTGAGGAGGCGTTGATCTTATTAACAAAACGATTCCAACTACAGTCGTGCAAATCAACACCCGTTCGTCCAAAAAAGCTCTTAACGTGTTCGGTTCTGCCGATCAATTTGCAGAAGCTATGAGACTATTGATCGACCGCCCGAAGGTTCCTTGGACACCTGAGTGGAGAGAATTCTACGGCCTATGCCACAACCCAGCTGAATGTGTTTTGGAAATAAGATGTGGACACATTTTCTGCAATAATTGCTTCAAGGACTGGTGTTACGCAGCCGTCATTGAGGATAGCACACCTGGACTTCGCTGTTCAGAGACATATGGGGTTATCTTCAGCCTACAGGATTTATAGGAGCTTCTTTTCATTCGCACTTGAGAGAGTCCTTGCGCTATCGTTCTCTGGTTATGTTTCCAGGCAGCCAGACCATCTTCGTCATTATCCAACGGCAGGCTGCACTATGCAGTCAACTCTATAAAGTGGCACTAGCAAACTCTCCGCCAATGTCTAAGTGCTCCCCATGTTCAAAGACACTTTGCCCACGGTGTCACGTACACCATAAGGGCGTCAGTTGTGCTATAACTAGGTACCAACTTAGGATAGGACCAGAGCCCGGATTTTGTTATAGTTGTTATGGGGACGTGGAAAATGACGAGCAGGTAGGTTATGTTGTGTGTGGTAATTGCGGAGTGTAAGTTTGCTGGCTTTATTACGAAGTGTTTCCAACTGAAGAGACCTACCTGGATCACTTATTCGAGAGTCATCAAGTTTCCTTCAACTTCTAGCAGGCCAATAGGGATTCGAGCCTTTTCTGGGGTAATTCGAACTAAGGATGGGGAATAGTGAAGTGTTTTCATCCAGGAGCCAGTCTTGTTTCGGGTAACAGAATAACATTATATATTTTAGGCATAATCAGAAAGAAATGCAGAACACAAGCAGATCACCTCTAAGGCACATCTCGCAGTACCTTAAGGGGCGTTAACGAGCCAAATATGAAGATGCGTTGATGGGCCACGCGCGCAAATAATCTAGCGAGTTAACGTCCTGAATTATACGATACTCCAACGTCTCGGTTGCTTGCGGGCTTTGCTTTCGGGCCGCCTTGTGCCACGATTTATTAGGGCAAGCTCGTAGGCCGTGTTTGTTCACAAGATTTGATGAGGAAGCTCAAAGTTTTCTCCGCACATAATCCAGCTTTCCTCCTTCATATGCTGCGCGTAAATCATCGGGCAGCGACAGCTCTGGTGACTAGCCGGAGAAGGGACGTCGCGACCACCAGCTATACCAAGTCGAGAATCTTGCCTTCCTCGAGCTGCCCGAGGAGCTTCAGCGCGAAATCATTTCAGAAATACCCAACTACGGGACATTTATTTCTCTTCGCTAGAGAAGCCGCGAGACCGATGACTTGTGCCTCTTAGCTAGGTCTCGCATCATCGCTAGCCTTAGGGACCGTCTTGTTGCACTGTTATTCGACTACTACGGCTTCCATCTGAGACTCTATCTTCCCGGAAACGCTGTAAGGCTTAAGGTGAGCTCTTAAAGGAAGGAAGAAGAACATTTCCATGACACTCTTGAATAGAATTCGTCAATTGAGCTCTGTTGAAGGTTGTTCTGCGTCTCCGGCATCTCGGTGTTATTTACCTGGACCGTTGAAAGAAACCAATTCCAGACAATTTTGAGTCCATCTAATGTTTCTTTGGGCACACATCCACAGCATGACGTACTATGTACTGCTCAATTCGTTGCAATGCGTAGACATTAGGAATGAAGTCTCGCTGACAACTATTCCTCCATTCCATTTCCCCGCGCATCGCCCCGAGACGCCGCGATCTTCCCCGCACTGCCCCGCCTCCGCATCACCGGCGCTCAACCGATCGACCAGATACGATCTGGTCATGAATATGGAGATCCCAAACGGCTGAACTCATGATTCGTGCAAAATCCACCAGACCAAAGACACGATGCTACTTTAATTTCCAAAACTGGCTAAAGCAGCGCAGTAGTCCAGGGCGACCGCACCTGAATACGACATCCCAGTCGGGCGGTCTCGGTCGGGAAAACCCCGACTTGACGATGTTGAACGAGTATTCAACCCGCCGCCGCCGTCACGTTTATCGTCAGGGAACAAGTGCCGGTGGGATGCAACTTGTCAGCTCATCACAAACGCACCACGAGTCTTAAGCCTGCTCTTGACCAACCGGCCTGTTTTAGCTTGATCACTCATCGGCAACCCTTGCTTGGTTTTGTTCCACTCAGAGAGCCTTGTCTCAACCAACTCAATCATGCGCAAGGCCTGGACTTCTGGGGCGCTCTGTGCCCTCTTGGCCTTCGTTTCGGGTGTCACCAGTCAAGAGACCGAGGATTCGACGAAGAAGACCTGTACCGTCGCAGCCAGCGGAACGAATGCCACCGATGACGCCCCTGCAATTCTAGACGCGTTCAAGAAATGCGGTCGACGCGGAAAGGTGGTTTTCAAACCGACGACTTACTATGTCAACTCGGCACTGAATGTGACTTGGTTGAATGACGTTGAGATTGATCTGCAAGGGACTTTACTGGTAAGTTACACAGCAGCCACCGCAGACACAGCCACCCTCGACTTTATGAAGTGACTCTGTGCCAAGACTGAGTCTGGACTGTTATTTGTTTATTTGATGACGGTATACTGACGATGCCCTTTCATCTCTTAGTGGAGTACCAATATCTCGTATTGGCTTGCCAACTCTCTGGATGTGGGATACCAGAATCAGTCCACTGCATTCATTCTCGGCGGCAACAATGTTCGCATTAACGGACGTGGAAAGGGGACCTTCGACGGTAACGGCGATTATTGGTACGAGTGGATTAGACAACAGGAGAACACGTCCAACTACCCCGGCCGTCCGCATGCCATCACTTTGAACGGACTTACCAACTCCGTTGTCCGGGGTGTCAACTTCTTGAGAAGTCAGATGTGGTAAGTGTGGATTCATCATGAAGAATGATTGCTCAGAGGCTGAAGAATTCGCAGGACGATGTCCATCATCTACTCTCACAACGTCGAACTCGATAGCATCCTCGTCAACAATACTGGAAACCGCTTCCAAAGCTGTGAGTATCAAGCCTTTGGCCGAGGCCGCTATTCTGACGTTTGATATATGCAGCTAACACGGATGGTGCCGACACTATCCGATCCTCCAACATCAAGTTCAACAATTGGACCGTTTACAGCGGAGATGACAGCATCTCTCTGAAGGCAAATAGCACTGACATTAGTATTACCAACTCCAAGTTCTACAATGGACTTGGAATCGCGCTCGGAAGCATCGGACAGTACAATGACCAATACGAGACCATCGAGAGGCTGAATGTCAAAGACTGCTTCTTCGACAACACCCTGCACGCTGTAAGAGACACCTGAAGTTACCAACGCTACGTGCAGATAATTTGACTGACAGTAATCAGGTTTACTTCAAGACATGGACTGATGACCAGAACGGCTACCCTCCGAACGGTGGCGGTGGCGGACTTGGCTGTGAGTCCTCACAACTTCACAACACACGTATATACCAGCAGACGTACTGACATTGTGATGCAACAGTTGCCTCAGACATTTCTTTCAAGAACCTGACGGTCCAGGGTATGCGCGGTGCCGCCGTGGCGATCTCTCAGTGCACACGATTCCGTGGTGCTCCCGGCGTGGGTAACTGCACCAATTCGCAGTTCCAAATCCGTGACATCACCGTCGACGGCATGGTGGGAACGACCAAATCTTCCAGGGTTGCAAGCCTGCAGTGCAGTGCCGTTGCGCCATGCACTAACATTGGTCTCTTCGACGTCGATCTGCGCTTCGCAAATGGAACTGAGGCCGCTTCGTATCTCTGCGGACACGCCGAAAACCCGAGGGGCTTCGAATGCACCGGCACGCCTTGCATTGGAGGTAGCTCGACTGGAGAATGCTAAGAATTGGAAGAAGTTGATGGACGTTTGAGATGTGCATTGTAGCTGCACATATGCGAGAGTTTCTGAAAAGCCGTAGCAACTGAGAAAGCTCAACTCCGGATCTTCCGGATAGTTGTTCGTATTCTGATTCAATGACTTGAAATAACCTGGAAGCCGATGTCGCCGGATCATGTCATGTTGCATGAGTTCTGAGAATTTGACAGGTCATATTGCAATCATCTGGGGATAAACCCGTGCATGCCCATCATCCGCACCTTCTTTGAACAATCTATGTCATGTCAAAGCCCGGTTACTGTAGACCCAAGCTCGTTCTTCTTCATCAGATTCCTGTGTCGAAACCTAGATTATCACACTCCAAGAACATACGGTCATGTTCCCTGCTAGTTGAAGTCTCTCGTACAACTGGATGTCTCTACGGTCTCGGTGAAGAATGGCCTGACCAACTCTCGAAACAATGCGCACATACCATCAACTGACTCGTGAGCTGTTGATGGAATCTCGGGCCGCAACTATCGCAGCTGGATCTCCCTACTGATCCACGCCAAGCGAGCACTCCCGTCTTTGGGTCTGTATTTAACTTTCATTTTCAAAGCTTGGCATTATTTTGACGTCGAAATAAGCCCATCACTCACGTAGATCGACTGACTCGAACTCAAAATACACGAACTTATGGGTCCATTGCGAGAATATTGTCTACAACTCGTTGTCGTACGGAGCAAGAGTTTTGAGACTAGGGGCGTCTCTCACGACGGGTAGAGTTGTTACTATTAGGAACATAACGTCTAATTCGGAGTTTCCAAACGAGACACTATGCGCGGTTACCATGCCTGAACCTCGACGGCATCCCACATTCCGCGGGCTTTTATTTGATCGGAGACAAAATCAGATCAAGCTGAATCCCGCCAGGACGTTCACTGCGGAACACGAAATCGTCGTAGGAATATTCAGTCTCTGTATTCTAAGCTGTCCATCATACTAGTGTAAGCAGTGTCACGGCTGTTTGTTAATCAAAAGTCTTGGAAGTTAAGGCTCTCAATCACATCAAAACACGGCGACTCACTCCTACGCTATCTATATTCATTTACCGCATAGCGATAACTGAACATGTCTCGCCCTCGGCCGGCTGCCGCCAACAAATCATCCAAATCACTCTGGTTTGAAGGCCGGCGATCAATGGAAAAAGGAGAATTTCCATCAATGATCTGCCGACCCCACCGCCACCAACGGCTTCAAAAGGGGGATTTGGCGCGTGCCAAGACACGGAATCCTCATGTTGCTTCTGCTCTTGGCCAATGTCCTCTCATCTTCAGTGAGACTTGGCAAGGGTCGGGGTGCAGTGAGATGGGCGCCCTCCACGCGCATTTTTTTCCCAGCCCGCATGTTTGACTCAAAATTCTTGGCATCGTCCGTCCAATTTCATCAGTTGACGGCTTTTGCAATTCGCCGGGCTTCGCCCCCATCCCAAATGCGGAGTGCAGGACCGAACCACCAACCATGGAGTCGGAGCACATCGGCCGGTAGGTGTCAATGATCTACCGAGACATGCCCCGGACCCATCATCCCTTTATTGCGGGTATCTGCGGTGCAGAAGTGAAAGGAGTCTCTGCGCCGCTGTGGTAACACAACGCATTCTCTGTGATACATTGAGTTCAGCTGTGTTGTTTTCTTCTCTATAATGTACATCATAGACGCTAGGAGTTGCCCATCGCGGGCCTACAGCTCGGGCTCGGAGTTGGGCAGAACTTCGAGCTACCTTAGCATCTTATCCATTGACAGCACGTCACATCACGTTGGTTCGATGATATCAGATATTCCAATCGCCCACCTGCCCTTTACGGACTTGCAGGCAAATCTAATCACACCTTGAAATAAGGTGTTTCCTCATGGAGAATCCATCCGACTGATACGACCTTCTCGGCCGTTTCCTCACGGCGATGCTCTGCGATTTGTCCCCAGCTATTGGATCACCAACTGATCAACCGTTCCCTCTCTCGTGTGTCTTCAGTGATGAGACCAGGTAAGCGGCAAGCTTATCCAAATGCAACTAGCTAACACGCGACCCCGGTCCTGAAGCTCTTGGCAGTCATCGAGCGTGGGGCTCAAGACGACCATCGGAGGCCCAGACCGTCGAATTGGAGAAGAATGACCACCCACTTACCAATTATTTCCAGCAACGATTGTAAGTTGCTCAACATCCGAGCCGAACTTTTCGAGATTCGAGAGCCTTTTCCGGCCGTATCCACCTACAACGACACACTCCAACACGGGTGCGAAGGGGGCTGTGCTCAACAGCTGTTCCCTCCTCCCTTGAGGTGTTGGATAGATTGTTTGCCAAGCCATTCGAGGGCAACAAGAACGGCGGTAGTGCGCTTTGATTGGAAGATCATCGCTTCCTTTGCCGTCAGGAACACACGAACTCATGATTTCTGCCCGCCACGCGGATGGACTGGGTCGCGGGCTAGCATCGTCCTTGTAGCCCCAAGCCAAGACTACAGATGAGTTGAGAAGGCCGTAGCCACATCCACCTATCAAAGCATGCCTAGGCTTTCTTTCGACTACCGATGAACGGTGTACGACTGCCAGGGTCTACGGAGTCGGTACATGAGGAACAAGGGTCGTTAAGGTACCGAGGCCAGTACCGCGGCAGCCACCCATGTGTATGGGCGAGGTTGCCAATGACCATTGCTTCTGGGAACCAGCGGTGCTGTTGTCTGATAATTCCACCAAGGAGATTATCGAACACCTGAATCATCAGGCTGTGGAGATGTGGGCTAGTCGACTTTGTGGTACCGAATATCGTGATCAACGTGAAACTCCTTTACCGCCGTAGTCTCTTAGATATCTTCCATGTAAGATTATCGCGATATCTACAGGCAGGACGAGGAGTATAAAGACCTCCAAAATTCCACTGAGGTTTAATCGATACGCTTCTGACCTCACCAAGCCACTCAAGTGTCAAGACATCAATCCAGCTACTTCTATCTTGATAACTCTAGCCTCTCAAGTCCAACAACTCTTTCAAGATGCAGACCAAGGTTCTCGTTTCCGCCATGCTGGCCGGCTTCGCCGCGGCCCAGACGCTCAACATCCCCACGCGCAGCGGCTCTATCGTCTCCCTCTCTGCCCCCAGTGTCATCTCTGGCTCTAAGGACATGGGCAACAAGGAGTTCGACCGTGGCCGTGCTTGCGACACCGACGCCGACACCGGCAGCGACTCCGCCGTCTTCATCCTCGAGAACGGCGCCACCCTGAGCAACGTCATCATTGGCGTTAACCAGCTCGAGGGTGTTCACTGCAAGGGTGCCTGCACCCTGAAGAACGTCTGGTTCCGCGACGTCTGCGAGGGTACGTTCAACTCTCTCCGCTTCTTGCAGCACTCGACATACTGACTCTGATATGTAGACGCTATCTCCGCCCTCGGCACCGGTGATGTCCTGATCCAGGGTGGTGGCGCCCAGAACGCCGTCGACAAGGTCGTCCAGCACAACGGCCGCGGCACCGTCACCATCGACGGCTTCACCGTCGTCACCGCCGGCAAGCTCTACCGCGGCTGCGGCGACTGCACCAACAACGGCGGCCCTCGTAACGTCATCGTCAAGAACGTCAAGGCCAAGAGCGTCAAGGAGCTCGTCGGCATCAACTCCAACTACGGCGATGTTGCCACCATCTCCGGCACCTGCGGTTCCAGCGTCTCCAAGGTCTGCCAGGAGTACAAGGGCGTCAACAAGGGCTCTGGCGAGAGCTCCAAGGTCAGCACCACTGCCAACTGCAAGGGCCAGACCTCTCTGTCTGCCTGCTAAGCGGTCTTTTGGCTGCCTGCCTTCTTATGACTTTCTGCACCATACTTGAGCGTGGAGTTTCGGGGATATACTCCCATCAGCGTGTATTTACTTCTTCGTCATGGTCTGATGGGTTTGGCCTGTCGACTGGATGAGCTTTCCTGTACATAGTAGCTTTAGCCTTGAGAGCTTATACATACATACTGTCGCATCAATGTCATGCTCCTGGTTATCTGATTTATCAAGGTTGTTTTCTGAAAGCGCCGTTTTGGTGAGAGCCCAGCGCATGCATGCACCACGCCTCGGTACGTTGAGCTTGTCGAATGAGATGGAGCCGCATAAGAGAAAGCATCCGGCGTGGCGTCGCAGCCACACTCAAATATCTAGGTTTGGGCTTCTTTCGGAGATCTAATTACTCCATAAATCCAGGCACACAACGCCACCTGCAAATGCCGGTATCATGCCCTCCCGCATAGACAACATCTCGTACAGCTCGCAATTGCTTAGGAGCAATTGCGGTTTCGCCTTCGCGTAAAACACAACGATTGTCGATCAATCTGTTTGACGGACGCAAAGCTCCGATGTGGAGATCTAATCGAGATCCGGTGAGGCTCCAAAGCTGATCCAAGACAAATGCTTCCCGTTTGTCCACATTTAGACCCATAAGTCGACGTCAGTGGAAACACACGATACCCATCGCATCGCAGCATCAGATGACGTTTGTACTCACGCAGCTTTGCGTCATCCCGATTTCTTCACAGATATTGTGTGTCAAGTCAGGGAGAAGTTGACTATTTTAAGAGCGTAAGTTCCCAAGTATTCGCTGTCTTTTTTTCTTCGTCACTATCATACGGCGAAGAAAGAAATACGCAACTCCTACACAAGACAACTACACACGGATTCATCGTCATAAAGAAGCAAAGTTTCCAAGATGCCTCAATACCAGCCTCAAGCCGACACCTACAGTAAGAGCCTATCTCGTCCTTCAAGACGCCATCGTGATGCTAATCTCTTGACAGAGGATCCCTCTAGCAAGCACGAGGCAAAGGAGATGATGGCTCAGCAGCAAAAGGAGGAGAGGACAGAGCACTCCAAGAGCGGCGCAAACACTGGCAAGCCTCCCGGCGTCCCTGAATACGTCGCTCGCAAAGAGCATGCCGCCGATATTCAGCACTAAGGAGCCGTTGAACGAATGTGTTATGAGAAATGAAAGCCGTTCTTTTACAGCATGGATAGGGATTTACTTGGTCTATTGGATCGGTATTCAACGGCTCAAGCTGATTGTCTCAGCCGTATCCCTTTTTGAAGAAATAAAACGAAATCTCGAAGTTCCCAAGCAAATAGCCCGCCGTGAGGCCTGGACAGCATATCCTACCTTCTCCTATTGACCTATTTGCTTTTATCATTCTACCAATACGTATCCTTGTATAAGAGGTACCTCAGATATTCCATCGAGTGCCGACCAAATTAAAAAAAAAAACCTCATCCTGAGCTTCAGCCCAAAAAGCAGGCTTGCGAAATTTTCTGATGGGATGAAAAACGGTCTTCCAAGTGAATGTGCTAGCTTACTTCGTTTAGACGTATCTTTTGGCTTTGGTTGACACTTAATGGCATAATCAATTGGAAAAATGGAACAATGTCTGCTTTGTGGACTTCCGATCGTGTCTACTGTGTCATTACAGCAATTAGAATTCAGTCCTTCGTTGGCCAACCTTTATGGGCGCCCAGACACCCTCTCTATTCGGTCTCCTTTGTGATCCTATTGTCTCTGGTCTGCATGGTGCGAACACCGAGACTATTTCAAAGACCGGGGGATCGAAGTTGCGTCGATACTTGGGCACATGTCTTTCTCCCTTGGCCAACATACATATTCCTGGAAAGCCTTCAACTCCCAACTTCCCAAGATTGGTTTGGCGGGATAGAGAGCTTGTCTTTCACGATCTCTCGAGTGACCACCGGGGAACTAGCGATGTTCCCGACCACCGGGAGATTTACGTTGCTTCGATTATGGACGCTTCTCTTTCCCTGATGTCTAAACCGTCCACGTCTGCTCAACGTGGAAAATCTGATGTCTTCAAGTCCCACTTACACAGATGATGACTTGGAGATTATAACTCCATGTCTAGGCCGGCCAGGAGGGCGATGGCATCTGACGACCGGGACGATTAAGCTTACTTGACCTTTGGGTCTGATTTTTTCACCAATGGATGCCTACTTTCGTGTACTGCCACCGACCCATCGTTACAAGCTTTCCTGTCCATGTTGGGCTGTCGGAGATAGGTGATATTCCCTCAAACTTTGGTTCTAGAATAGCCACTTTCCATGACCGGGAACCTTGATCACGAGTGGCTCAATGTTCGCAAGTTTGGCCCTCTACCATTCTCACCTTCGGTTTGATCCGGTGAGATGGAAGAGATTTCTGTCAGAAAAGCTTGATTTAATAAAGTTCAGCAGACGGGGACGCGTCCTCTGCCTTCTTCCGTCGCGTCTTAATTTACGAATGGCCGGGAGATAGGGTCAGGCGTAGTCCGAATTCGGAAGTTTCTACTTTTCTGCAGTCGTTGCCTGGACGGATATGGATTCGACCGATGTCGAAGCCATGAAGCCTTTGCGGTCCATCGCGAGATTGTTTTTGTCGCTACCACTGCGTGGGATGCAGTTCTCGACACAACGTTGCTCTCAACGGCCAATGCTATCTTGACAAGCAAAGCTGTCCCAATAAATAGTAATGGACGCGTTCCAGTCGTCGTTTTCCCATGAGAGGAGAGTCGGGCCCGATTCAGACATCAGGAAGACAGCCTCAGGAGTCAGGACTGCTGGCCCGGTGCCCGGCAACCACACACCCCAGCGATCCGGGTGAAACCTTCGTGAGGATTGGTAAATTTTTATGGCCGGTCGACTTTTACACTTTAAAGGAGATGGGAACTCATGTGTCGTCTGAGTGCAGCCAGCCGTTCGTCTGGTCCCGGGCTGATCCCCAAGGTCTGCCAGTCCCGGCGTATGTAAGCTACTGATTCCGTTTATTGCAAAAGGGTCTGGATTGGTATATAAGTCCCCCTTCTCCCCCGGGACACTGATTTTTGGAATCCATCCGCACACCCTCACACACACACACACACGAACACGAACACCTTTACAAGTACACCCTCACACCAAATCTCGGTCTTCGTAAGCCTCTACCCCTTTCCGCTCTACCTCTGTACTAATTGAGTAGAGACTATCATTTACCTCTCTCTCCTGTATCACAAATCATCCTGTTCCGGCACAAAGAAATGTCTTCCACCACTGTTGCAGTCTCATCCGCGGCCTCGCCCTCCGTGAGAGACCACATGCACAACGGAGGTATCGCAGCGTACCTCAGAGGCTGCATCGTGTTGTACTCAGAGGGAGCAGGAGTTTTCCACGTCCACACCAACGCCAAGAAATATGGACAGCAGTCTGTTTTCTATCTGAGAGGATCTCCGAACGACATCACGGACAACGACATCAGCAGAATGCTGGCCGAGACAGGCTTGGGAATTCGAGAGATCATCTTTGACGCGGACGGCGCTTACATCATACTACATGGCGTTCGTCAAGCCGCCGAAGTTCGGCAAGCGTTCAGCATCCATGGAGATGTCAACACTGAAGAGGTTCCTATCTTGGACTTGTCGGAGTTGCACGGAGTCCAGTCAGATCCGACCTCAACACTGGTCTTGCTCTCCTGGACGAGACCAACGCGGAACTTCTTCATCACCGCCTTGGACGACTCCTCCGCCGACACAGTCAGAAGCATGGCGGACACGCTCGAGGCAGGAGGCTTCCCAAGGAGCTCCCGCGTCCTGGGGCCCGCTGCCACACACAAAATCGTCACTGGTCATCTCGGTCAAAAGATACTGCAGATCAGCGACGCTACCGGGACTGCCTCGGAAGGCGAGCTTTCCAGGGTGCTCTTTGGCACAAACAACTACGACAAGACCCGCTTCGCCCTGGGGACCGGTCGAAGCTGGTCGGACGACATCGACGACCAAGTCGACTACGTCAACAACATGCTGAATCACTTCGGCGACTTGGAGATGCCCGTCACAAGCATTCGCCCCATGGTCAACAGCACACACGTGGGAGCCGCCGCAACCTTCGCGACCTCAGAAGCCGCAGCGAAGGCGACGGCAAAGCTCATGGGCAAAAGGCTTCCCTTCGCCAATGACAGCCGCCTGGAGATCCAACAAGTCCACGAGTACGACATCAACTTCCCCAACGAAAGCTCCTGGAGACGGGCGTCCGACTTCTGCAGCTCCGACGAATGCTTGGAGTTCATGAAGACGGAAAACTGCGGCATTTGCGACCAAGGCAACACAGACAATTTGCAGATCGCTTGGCAATGTCCCAACAGGAGAGCGGCCGTACATATGCGCCGGATGCTTTCCCGGTTCGCTCAGCCGACAACACCCGAAAAGCCTACCAGAAATGGCAGCACCGACACGCGCACTTGTATCATCTGCTACGAGGACGAGTGCGATTCAGACTCCACGGTTACCGGAGCGTGCGGTCACTCCTATTGCCTCGACTGCTTCACCAACTTCATCGGCGCCGGTGCATGGACCAAAGACAAGGGCATGTGCTGTGTGGGAACCGACGGCAAGGGCACGATTTGCGGCAGCACTCTCACTTTCGATATCATTGCCGACCAAGTCCCTCGCGGGTTGGTTGCCGAAATCCTCACGAAGTCCTTGGACGCCCAGGTCGCCAAGAACCCCGACTGGCTCCAACGATGCTCGGACCCGGATTGCTCCCACGTGTACGAACCCGCACCGAAGGGCACGTACACGGCCGACCGACTCTGCGGCGACTGCGGAGTTCTGCTCTGCAGAGTCTGTGGAGAGGGACATCCCCAGAGCGACTACTGCCCAGACTCCGGCAACGAAGAACTCCAGCAGGCTCTCGACGAACTGGACGCGCGCGGATGTCCCAACTGCAAGGTGCCGATCGAGAAGAACGAGGGTTGCAACCACATGACCTGTCCGTTTTGCGACGTGCATATCTGCTGGTGGTGTATGGCGACGTTTCGAAACGGACCCTCCGTCTATCAACACATGACGGCGAAACACGGTCGCATCGGCGAGGGAGAGGAGTATATGGCCGTCGCAGCCGATGGCGCTCCCATCGCCGACGAGCAAATGCTCGCGGAGCAGAGGCAGGTGGAGGCAATGGCCCGAGGGGCTGGCAGGAATGACGCGGATGACGAGGGATTATGAAGGAGCTTGTTTGGGACTTGGAAAGAACTGTATTGAGGCGCTGACATGAATGATGTGGGTGACAATTGGAAAGAAGCTTATTTGGGATCTGGATAGACTTCTTACTGTTGCTGTAATGGGGATTTCTTGTTGTTGGTCTCACTGGCATCCTCAGTGTCCCATGTCGCTATTGCTGTTGTGAGTGCTGTCCTTCGTCATCGTCGTTGTCTTCGTTGTCTTCATTGTCTTCATTGTCTTCATTGTCTTCGTTGTCTTTGTCGTCGTCGTCGTCGTCGTCTTCGTCGTCGTCGTCGTCGTATTCAGTCATCGTATTCAGTCTCTATACACTTAGTCTCTATGAAATATCTAGCATTATGAACTGGGGTCTTAGATAGGTGTGAATAATTCCGTCCACATTATCTTCAGCTTTAGTATTTGTCACCTCAGCATTGGCTCTATTAATACCCAGCTCACATTTCAGATGCCTTAACACTAACTCACACTCCTTCCAACCAATATCAAACATAACCTCATCATCATCCCTCATGAAGCAGTAGGATTGAATCCACTTTTCAGAATCAGCCTCAAGTTGTTGCAGCACATGGCGTTGTTGCCTAGTCGTCGACACATCCAGGTCGTTGGATCATACCCTATCGATAAGATCAACCCTATCGATAAAACCTGATAAGCAAGATTCCAAACCAGTCACGTGAAGAGCTCAAGTGGGTCATCAGAGTCCGAGCTCCCGAAGCTCCAGAAACAGCCCCTCCCGACACTGGACTCGCCACCAAAAACGAAACCGCAGCCCAAAAAAAAATACCAACGCCTCGTGGGAATCAGATCTCCGAATCCCGGCCCCGATTTGTCATGCACTCCACGTCGCGCCACAAGGGACAGCCTGGCGAATGAGGAAACGAAGTGGTGACTTCAACACTTTTTGCTGCCGCTGGTGCTCCTTTTGCTGCTGCTGTTGCAGAAGGGGGCGGTGACAGAAGGTTCCGGGCGTTTGGAATCAGGATGACGCAGGTTTGCTTTATATAACAATACAGAACCACATCAACGTCTACAACTTCATCGCAATCGTACCTCAATTGAAGCAACCGCTTGGAAATCAGTATCAAAACCGATCAGTCAACACCTTCCAATTCAATCAAAGCGGCAATCCCGCCTCGCAATCCCCCCCAAAAATCACGATTCCGCACCAACCCCACCACAACCCGCCCCTCCGGTCCCTGGCCCTCACCATCTCCATCACCCTCTCCGTCCTCGCGACCGCAATCCTCCTACAACAAACAATGCCCTTCCCCTCCTTCCTCACCCGCCTCGTACGCCCCTTCACATCCTCCACCACGATGTCCATCGCAGGCCAACAATCCTCCGGCGGCGCAGCCTCCCCCGCGCTCCCGCCCGGCGCCCAAAAGGCCACCATCGCAGCCGGCTGCTTCTGGGGCGTCGAGCACCTCTACCGCAAACACTTCGCCTCCAAGGGCCTCCTCGACGCCCGCGTCGGCTACATCGGCGGCGACCTCGCGAACCCCTCCTACCGCGCCGTCTGCGGCGGGCAGACCGGCCACGCGGAAGCCCTGCAGGTCGTCTTCGACCCCGCGGCCGTGTCCTACCGCCAGCTCCTCGAGTTTTTTTACAGGATGCACGACCCCACCACCGCGAACCGCCAGGGCCCGGACACGGGGCCGCAGTACCGCTCCGCCATCTTCTTCCACGACGCGGAGCAGGAGAAGATCGCGGGGGAGGTGACCAGGCTGGCGAACGAGCAGTGGTACAAGGGCAAGATCGTCACCGAGGTGATTCCCGCCGGACAGTGGTGGGATGCGGAGACGTATCACCAGTTGTATCTGCAGAATAACCCGTCCGGGTACGAGTGTCCCAGTCACTTTTTGAGGACGTTCCCCGAGCTGCAGGGGTGACTAGAGGGAAGAGAGAAGGGGAGGTTGTAATGATAGGGTGATGGGATGAATTTCTGCGTGGCTGGGATTGGGTCTTTCTTTAACATTTGGGATCATGATATCAAGATGGGGGACATGATGCCTTCGGCTGAGGAACAGTCGGGGCGATGATAGCGTTCAACCGCTTTATACAGAGTTAAACAAACGAATTTTCACTCTCAAGCCCATGAGTTATTGTGAATGTGTTGCTGTTGAAGATGGTCGGGTGGGAGATCTGGTGCGGTTGGAAATGCATGGACGTTTCGCCTATCATGTCGAGTTCGCATGCTGGAAGCTGACGGGTTGCAATAAAACAAGTCACGGTGATAATCATCCCCACTGGCAGTAACTGACAGACGACCTCCTATCACGTCAAAAAGGGGAACAACTAGGCTTGGTTTGTAGTCATCTTTTGAATTTTTACTGATTTGAGGTATTGTACAAAGCAAACGCCAACTCCATGCCCGCAGGCTTCTTCGAGTTGTTCTTTCTTAATCATGAGAGGGGTTTCTTTAAAAAAACGAAGTCCTCTGTCCCGAAACCCTGCGCAAACGGCCAGAGATGATATGTTCTGCGTTTGCGGGTGATGATAAATCCCGTTCCGTCCCACTACATCTTACACACCCCTCTTCCTCTCTCTCCCGCATCATCGTCTACTTACGACGGTTGTTCTGCATCATCAGGATCTGCACCATCCGCACAAAGATGTTGATGAAGTCCAGCTCGAGCGCGATGCTCTCGTTGACGGCGTCCTTGCGGATGACGCCGCGCTCGGCGAGGCGGGCGTGGTGCAGGATCTTCTGGACGTCGTAGAGCGTGAAGCCGCCGAAGACGGCGAGGCCGCCGTAGAGCGAGATGCTCTCCGTCAGGGCGAGGGTGCGGACGGCGGTGACGGGGAGGAGCATGGGCGCGAAGCTGGAGGCGATGACGACGCCGAGGCCGGCGAGGAGCGGGCCGCCGATGTAGAGGTACTTGTCCTGCTTGGCGGTGGCGCCGACGATGGAGAGGGAGCCCATCATGGCGACGGTGTAGAGGCCGGCGCGGGCGAGGAGGGCGCCGGGGACCATCGTGAGCAGGGGCGCGATCATGGCGGCCTGGGTCGCGTTGAAGGCCGTCCAGAGGGCGTACTTGGGGATGTAGCTGGGTTGTGAGGGTTAGCGGCTGTTCGGTGCGTGTCGCCGGAGGATGTAGACTTACTTGTCAGGAGAAATGGCGCGGGTGCCGTACATGGTGCCGAAGCTCAGCGCCAGACCACCGATACCGACGACCCACGGGTTGGTGACCATGAGGCGGTACACGAACCCGCTCTGGACCATCTGCCTGGCCGTCAGGGCGATGATGCCCACACCCAGACCGGTGTGGAGGAAGGTGTCGTTGAGGTACTCGCGCTCGTAGGCGGGCATGCCGCCGTCGGTCCTGGTTTCGCGGTTGAAGACGACGTTGATGGCGACGAGGGTGCCGCCGAAGATGGCGCCGCCGACGGCGAGGCGGCGCAGCGTCGAGCCCTGGCCCTGCTGGCCCTGGTAGGGCGTGGCCTGCTGCATGTAGAACCTCTTGGAGGAGGCGTTGCGGAAGGCATTGTTGCGCGCGGTGAAGAAGGCCGTCGTGGTCGTCGTCTTTGGTGTTGTGCGGGCGCCGTTGTGGAAGCTTCGGGTGAGCTGGGGGATGCGTTGCGCCAGGCGCGTGGGCGCTTGGCGGAGGGTGATGCTGAAGGACATCTTTGGTTCAACCTTGAAGGTTTGTATGTATGTGTTTAAGGTGTGGCTTGTGTGTCGTGACGAGAGGATTTTTCGTCGAGGGACGCAAGGGTTAAAAAGGTGGTGATGTTTGATGGCCCGCTGGAGGCAATGGCGAATGACGTTTCTATTTCCTCGCGGGATTTCGATGGAAAAGCTCGGGTGCTCTCCCGGGATAGTTGCTTGCTTAGCTAAACCTTTTTGGAGTCATGTGAGTGGTTGGAGAGAAGCTGGTGGAATTTCCCGCAGCTTCCATTTCCGCGGCGGTGTTTTTCGGCGGCCTTAAGTCCGACCGGCCCCAAGCGGATTTTGGAGATTGGCAGACAACTGGTGGCAGCTGCTGCACTATTGTTCTGCCAGCTGGCGAGATTTCTAGAATCGTGAATCTAGACTCCTCCACCCACCTCCTGAAAATAGCAACAGCAGGAAAGTCTGGCCGATGATGGGATCACTCTCCCGTAAACCAATGGCAGATGCTTGCTGTGTTCCTTACTGCAGGGCTGCATGATAAGATTGTAAGTATAGCAAGCAGGTCGAGCATTGACGACTGACTGACTGTACCCCATCCGAACCTCATTTTTACCTCATGACTCACTTCCGTTGCCTTTGAGATGCGACTTACTTTCACCTCACCTCCAAGTCCATCTCACTCATTACTCACTGAGAAGAATGAAATGCGGTTTGCGAAGTGAAGCAACCGCCATATGCCATCCCTCGACTTATATCAGCCATCAACGTCGGTCGGCCATGCTCCCCCGCTCGTGCGTCCTGCCATCTAATCAGGCGTTATAAACCGCAGATTTGAGATGCTCAACATCGCCGACCGAATTGACTGGTTACGAATGTCGTCACCCTCCAGAACACAAATACAGGAAGCCCACAATCCCAGCAAAAGAATTCCATTCTTCCAATCTCTCGAAACCACTTGTTTCAAACCATTCTCTAACAAAAGAATCAAAATGGCACTACGCCTCGGAAGCCTCGAGTCAAAGGGGCCGGCATTGACACCCGCCAACCGTTGTAAAAAAGCCACAGGGCCAGCCGCGCCAATCCGAAAGACAATCATCTCCCCTAACCAACGCTGCCACTGCAATCAAAGCGCGGTCGAATAACGGCACGTTGGCTATTTCATTTGGCCCCCAAAATGTGCCCCCAAAATGTGCCGACCGAGCCTTTTCTTGCCTTTTCGTCTCGGTGGTCCGAAGTAAAATGCTGTGAGTGAGTAATTCGATATCCGATTTAGCACCTACATCGGACGACGAGGTTCTTGTGCGACGCCAATTTGGGTCTTCACCAGCTGCCACGAACCCAGCCTCACATCCTTTCCAATTTGGCTCGGTCCCATTCCCGGCACCTTACTCCGGACAAGAGGATTGTAGTAGAGAACAGAGACGCACTCGGACTACTAAGCAGTCAGCACCCAAATGCCAAAGCCGTGATCATCAACGTCATCCTCCCGCCTCCATCCTCAATCGGAAAGGTCAAACTATTCCGGTCCTGCACCCCACAAGAGGCTAAGTTAAGGTGCTGCCAGGGCCGACGTGCTAGCTGCCATCCAGCCAAAACTGTTCTGTTTGGGGTCGTCTGTCTGCGACACATGATCGCCTCGGTCCAGTGCGGCCGGGGGCGGGAAGTGGGCTTTTCAGGTCCCAGATGCAGTCTCGTTGCAGTCAGAGACTTGAACCACTCTGACGTGCGCGGGACATTGCAGTCCGGTTTTTCCTCCTCTGTCTTTGTTCGAATCTGTCTCTTGTCCGTGGGGGAGAAATGACCTCACATTCCCGTACCTGACTCGACATGTCGTTGGGCGTATTGCCAGTGTCCGCTGGGAAAAGACGGGCCGATCTGCAGAGCTCTAACTGGCCCTGCATCGGGTTCCTTTCAGCGCCGCTGGCTTGGATCTTGAGAACGCGCCAACAAGCTGCAAGAATTCGCACCAACACTTGCGGCGACCTGCATGAATCTCGGGGGTTGAACTTGGGTTATCGCGGGTCAACCCAAAAAATCCCCCCCGCACGGGTCGCAGCATCAAACGAACGACCATAGTAAAGCTCGTGCCAGGTGTCGTCTCGTTTTTCTCTTCTTCGGATGTTTTTGTTCTGCGATCCCAGCGTCGCAATTTGTCTTTGGCGCCGGGTGCGACGTAACGATATCAGTAAGACCAGCCTGCAGATTCGCATCTTCCCTGATTTGACGTCGTCACGGGTAGACATGGGTTGGCGGAGAGGGGCCTCTTTGCTTGTCCAACGCGATCCGTATTAATTGACCTGATACCCTCCTCGCCTTGAGGAACAAAAGCCACTTGTGTCTGCACCAGTCGTCCTCTTTAACCACCTTTGTGTGCGCACCTGTTTCACGCTTTGGTTGTGGCTTTTTTGGCGACCCCTTGATTCAGCCAAACGCAAACGGCGCTCGTTAGATCATTGGCCCTTCTTTGCTGCATGCAAGTCGACTTTGTATCAGGATTCGACCAAGTCCGGCTCATTGTCCGTCCGACGATCGATTCACAATTATATATCTGCAGTGGTCCCGCCGCCATACAGTCAGTTTGTACCATTCGAAGACGACTCACCACGCTCTACATTGAACATCAGTAATCACCGCCCTCAATACCACTCACCTTCTATTCGTCAACACGTCCGTCGCTCCTCAAGATGAAGATCGCTGCTCAAGTCACTATCGCCTTCTTGGCTGCTGCGACGTTGGCTCTGCCTGTCGACACGGAACAGCGCCCCATGATCGGCGAAGTCGGCTCTCAAGCCCATCCAGCGGTGGCGAGTGGAACGCCTGTTTCTCAGTCTTCGTCGCCGAATCAGGCTTCTCCTTCCAAGTCCAACGATGACCTGATAGCGGCTCTGAAGTCCATATTCAACGACAAGGAAATGTCGCAAGTGGGCCTAGGAAAGGGCTGCTTCTGCGCCAACGGCTCCATCTGCTGCAATACCGCGAAAGGACTCGACTGTACACAAGGCTTGTGTGGTATCTGAGCTGAGCGCCTCGATGAAGCCAGGCACAACCTCGGCCGGTGCGTGCCGCCCTATTGCATCCGGGTACCCACCTGCGCCGGACCGGCAGCGTGGACCCGATGCGGCCTTTTGCCTCCGTTTTCCGACACTTCAACGCCGCAGTGGACCTGCTGTGCTGACCAGACACCGACAAACTGCCATGCGTTCGGAGAGGGCATGGATCTTCCGAGCCAATGCAGCTTCGCACCCAAACGGCGCATTCGGACTTCCCGGCCGTGAATCTTCGGCCCCGGCAGCGCCATTGGTCGTGAGAGCTTGGATTCCATTGGTACCCTCAACCTCAGTATCAATACTGCGAATGAATCCTACGGGCGTCCACGGAACACGCCAAGTACACGGTGGAGTGCGTGTGAACCGCGGAGATGGTGTCGAGACAGCTGCCCCAATTGGACGGGGGAGCTATTGGCGGTTGCGCAAGGAACTTTGCCAAAGTAGGACGCATGTTGCATCACGGAACCATAACTCTGGCCACCAGATGAATAGGAGACCTTCGGCCTGGACTGGTTCGTGTGAACCACGGCACGTTGCCGCAATTGTTGGTGCCGAGACTGAAAGGGTGTGATGAAGTGGTAGAGAGTAGAAAATTCATTTTGAATTCGTTGCGCATCCTGAAGCGTATGCTGGCTTCGCCGTTAATCAGTGAGCTTGCAGCATCGGCGTTTGGGGTTCGTAATCGTATCTCATGAGCGAGAGACGAGAAAGATACTTCGTGATCTGGCGCTAACCACCAACAAGTACCACAAGTGGCTGTTTGTCTAGCCTTCAGTAGACAAAACCGAGCTGCCCGAGCAGAAATATCTAGACTCGCTTTGAATCCAAAGGATGCCTCGAATGATAAAAGCCGACATGCAATTTGACGACGATGATGACTTGCGGCATACCACGTGCGCGACATCGGCCACGGGGAAAGCTTCTCGAAGACCCTGCTCCGGGGTCTCTGGAGGCAGGTATTGGGGGCGTCAATGAAAAAGATGCAACTTGCGCTCTGTTGCGAAGACACCTGGCAGTCGCGAAGTAGCCCAAAAATGTCGCGACACCGGCGAAATCCTCAGCAGAGTACTGTTCAGCCATGATATCGTTGGACGGCGCAGGTAGCAAGTACAGCCGGGAAGCATGGACCGCAAATCCAGTCTTGAAACACTGCTCCGCTCAAGTAAGACCTTCTGTGCCGCTTAGTACTATGTCGAACAGTAGGGATGTTGCTGCTAGCAAACACAGCAAACACGTGAAAATCAGGGATTCCCCATTCCCTGAAAGCTTGCTCTGGCGACTTGTTTTGGGCGTCGGATTGACGATGTTGGAGATCAGGACAAACGGCGCAGTCGCCTGTCTAGTTTGCTGACAGAGTGCAATCAAGAGCTTCGGTACATGCCGGGCAAGGTCCAATTGACGGCTGTCACTATTATTAGTGCTTGGGACGTAAAGGGAAACAAACGCGACGACGGTCAAGGTGTAAGGTGAGACCACACGCGAGGACGTGAATTCGTTCTGTGCGTGCTTCTAGAAGGGCGATCGAATCTCGTCGACACGTGGTATGCTGCAGAGTTCACGATGGCGTTGAGCTTATGACCGTTGGGCTGACCCTACGAGTAGGAGCCGCAGCGGCCAATGGAGTATCGGGCTGCGAGACTCGACCGGCCACCGACGGGTAGTTATGCCGGATGAGCGAATGGATGAATGCTGCTGAAAGCGTGCAGTCGGTTCATGCGTCCAGTGATGTCTGGTTGGAAGATACGGGTGGTAGCTGTTGGTGCTGGAGAGGCGTTCCTTGTCTCTGTTCCCAGGGCCTGGGAGATGTGTTTCACCAGGTAGAAGTCTAAGCAGGGACTCTTTGTGTTTGCGGCAGCGAGGGCGGTGGGTGATCTGACCATTGGGCTGAGAACAGATTGCGGCGACTTGGACGCTGCTTCAAGTTCGTCCTCTCTAAGTAAAGTCTGGCCCGTGAAGCCGCGTGGTAAAGGTACAGTGGTGGAATGTAGTTGCGCCGAAAGTGCGAGCGACGAGAGCTGACTCGTGAGAGGGATCCTAGATCGGATTCGAGCACAAAACGATACTTGAGAGATTCGCAAGCGACGGCGGAGTCGGGACGTAGCGAAATACGAGACCGTTGGGAATTTTCGTGTTGGTTGTGCAGAGTTTGGCTGAAGGTGGAATCGTGCCAACTCAGATCCATCATGTCGCAGGGACCTCGACGTTTGCCTCTTCGGCCCGGTGATGGTGTCGACGGCTTCTCGGTACCAAGTGATAAGATGATGGTGTGGAGGGCACATGTTTGACAGGAAAGGAAGCAAGACAAAACATGAAGAAAAGACGAGAAAAAACCACAGTCCGCAGTCCGACGGCATGATGGTGGCAGAAGTTGGCGATCCAGGATGAAGGAGGAAGACAAAATCAGAGCAGAACCTAGGTATGGAAGGCGGTCGGGAAGCGTTTTGCCAAGACCCACATGAGAAAGGCACGGCACCTTCCTCAGGTCCCTCCTCATCAGGCGGAAGGTGCCTTAAATTTGCATTGTACCTACCTAAGGCGGTGGTACCTGCCAATGGAAGGTATGAAAAAACATCGAGAGCAGGAAGGAGCAACGGGAATTGAAGAAATCACAAGCAGGTGCTCTTTCCCCACCTCATCGGCAATCTGCAAGGTGGAAGGCAGGTGCTTCCCCTAATTATCATGAAGGCAGTCGGGGAAGGAAGGCAAGTGGCAGGTGCATATGATTATTAATATTATCATGGCAATTGCCGCTCGGTATCAGGCAATTTGCAACTTTCCCTCCACCAACTACCGAAATCTCGATGCAGAACTTTTCCCTGCGTGTGGTCAAAAAGCATTAGGGAAAATGGTGGCAGCGGCACAGCACCGTTGACTTGGGCATTCCCAGCCGTGGAATCCTTCTAGAAGGCTTCCATGCCCCTTCCACGCATCCCTCCCTCACCTCACCCGCTCATCGACCGGTCCCTTCTTGGCCGCCATCCCCCAGCTTCATCGCCGGGTGCACCCTCCTCTCCAGCCGCTGTGGACTCAATGGGCCGTCGCCTTTCCCAGGACCGTTTCGTGCCCTGTGCTTCTGATTCCGGACGGGATCAGCCAGGGGCCCCAGCCTGCAGGTTTGAGACACGCCGTGAGATGGCGGTCCACTCGCGCACGCGGTTTGATCCGGGATTTTCTGTCAGCGAGCTGGGCGTCCCTGGGAAAGTCGAGGGGAGATGAGGTAAGAATGGCGCCTGAAAAAGTCCGAATTGGCATACATGGAAGAAGCTGAGGCGAGGGACCGGAGAGTCGTTTTGGTACGAAACACTAACAGATGGCAGTTTGTCGCCGTTACCATCGTTTTCGCTATCCGCCGCCGCACGCTCCTTGGCCACGCTACATCGAGTCCGCGCCCGACGCCTCAGGGTTGGGCATTCGCTGTGACCAGCCATCTCAATCCCTGAAGCGCGGCGACCAGATGAAGGAGACACGACGCTCTAATCTTGAAGAGAAGATTCGTTTCCACGCAGTACAACTCAACCCTGCTTCAAATCATCACGCCGCCCTACCACCCCGGCACCCCGACTCTACCATGTGTCGTGGCAAGGGTCGACAGCTTTCGGCAATGGCCGCTGCTGCAAGCTTCTAGAAGATCCTCGACCGGCCTCCGCCACGGATAGCATGTGTGTGCGAGAAAGATTTGAGATGTTGGACGTGGGATGGGAAGCAGACGAACCTGTGGGAGGGAAGTCTAAGGTTGAGTTTTGGTACGACCTTGCGGAGTGGCGGAGTCAGACGCAAAGCAAGGGCAGAGGCAGAGGCGCAGAAACGAACGAAGAAGTTTTCCATGCGTCTGGCATCCTGTCACACTGCGTACGAAGCACAGGGAAACGGAAGTCAAGGTGGAAGTGGAAGTGGAAGTGGAAGCAAGCATGGAAGCCGCAGAGAACAAAGAAACGGACGGTTAGCCGTTTGATTTCTTCCTTTTCTCGAGCTACCCTGCCCTGCCGCCAGGCCAGGTCATCAACACTAACCAGGGGTCCAGGAGTTCTGGATTCGCTTTCTAGGTAGGTTGGATTCCTACTTTGAGATAGCTTGCGCTACCTTGTTCATGTCCTCACGTCACACGAGCGACCGGAGCAGTGCACAGATTCAGGTAGCATCTTCGCTGTCAGAAAACCGCCAGCCCTAAGCTAACGTCTCACGAGGTTGGGCTACGATGTCTCGTAATCTGCTGCCGCCCTGGACCGTATCCAGTCTTGAGATATCCACCAGCTTGGAACCCCTTAAAGTTCCTGGCTAGTAAAGTAAGGTATGGAGGGCGAACAAATGATGGCGGAGGAGCGTCACCATCCGGCAAGCTTCAGTCCTGCATAAGTTAGGTTCCCCTCCACCAGCAACATATGGAGACATGGCCCTGTCTGTTTGTCACCGTAGCCCGCCCGCAAGAGGAAGTAAATGCTGCAGTTTGTCCGTTGCTGCACATCTCTCCCCAGACGAGATACCAGGTCGTGGTAAGGGTAAATGACGTACAGTGTGGCGGGCGTACGTGTACCAAAGACATGTCGATACAAAGCAAAGCAAACCAAACCTGGTCTTCGAGGAGGTTTATTACAATAAGCTGACTTGACAGAAACCACCAACGAAAAAGATTTCGTCCACATGGCAAGGTACCTCATTCTTTTAGCAATTACCACCATATGGCGACTTTTGTTTTTTCACACCGGCCCGCCATCAAACCTCCTTCTCAAGTTTAAGCTTCGGCGTCCAGTCTCTCGCAAGTCCTCTTTCCCTGCCAAATACGCACGCTTGACCCCCTGATAGTACGTCCCCGAGAGGCCGTGCGCCGGTACCTCGGTACATGGTCGATACATTTTCCCCCCGTCGACCGAGCCCCACCTGCCGAGCGTCATTGTGCGAGTGGGAAAGAGCAAGAGAGCGTTGCCAATACCACCAAAACGTGAAGGAGGTGACCCTTAGACTGCCAGCCCGGCCCCTACCTCCTGCCTTCCTCAGCTAATTAGGTAGGAAGTGCCTGCCTTTGCAGCTGCTACTTGTGTGAAGATAACTAATGGAAGGCACATTGCGTCAGCCAGGGAAGGTGCCATCTCCACCTCTGCTGCATCGTTGCTGCCCCTTCTGGCGGTTGCTCTTGCTTGCTCCAGGTGCTAATGCCGCCTCTCTTGCCGCTGCTAAGGTAAGGAAGGTACCTTACCTGGTACCGTGGAAAGTACCTGTCGCTGTTTCCTTCCCTTCCTTCCCTCCTTCCTTCCCCCCCTTCTGGAACTCTGCTAGACCTTGCGCCGCACCTGCTGCTCCTGCACCTGCACCTGCCGCACTTGCACCTGCTGCAGCACTGGCACTGGCACTTGCAAAGAGAAACATGAGGAAAGTCCCTTTCCCCACATCCACGTCCCCGTCCCACGTTTGAAAGCCCGCCCACGCCTTCGCCCACCCGACGTCCACGTCCACGCCCGGCTCACACGTCCCACCACCACCACCACCACCACCTTTCCTCGTCCTGGTCGCCGTCGCCCCAGATCTTTCCTCGTCACGGTCGCCTCCACGTCTTTTATCCATCACGACCTCTTCCTCTCCTAACCTCCATCCTACGGCTCCTTTGTCGCCGCGCTCCCTGCTGTCCCAATTGCATCCTTCCCGCCGCCTTCGACAAGGCCCGGCGTTGTGATCGACACCGACCGTTTCCGCAGCGCCTCTGTTTGCTTTCTCCCATTCCGCGGTAGTCATCCTGGCACTCGCACTGCCAGCATTTGTTCCACCGCTTTCGCCATTCCTTTTCCGCTCATTGCGGCCAACCACACAACTTGCCTAAACATCTCGGTCATCCGCAGGTCATTGGACGTCATACTCGGTTTGCTGTCCATTCAATCTCGAACTGCGTGAGTTGGAATTGCCTCTGCACCGTTGCGAATCCGCCGGGCAAGCTGACCGTGTACCCTCTCTTTTCCGCAGACGGAACATCGCCGCTCAAGCAAGCTCCCAGCGAATCCGGCGCTACCTCTCGACAATTCCTTCAATCCTGTCCGGACAACAAGCCTGCGACACTACCATCGACAGCCAGACGCCATTGCCGAGTCGTTCGTGAATTCATTCGTACCCGAGTTATACTTTCTTCCAGCGGCGGTATCGCGTGATACGATCTGCGACACTCTGTGTCGTCACCTCCCCCGACCCTCAGATCTAGAGCTCCAGAACGCCCCGCCGCAAGCCACGGCCGACGTGTGCTCCCCGCACTGCACGCGACGAGAAACGAGAAACGCCGACGAGAAACGCCCGAAAACGAAACATACATCAGTTTCCCGTGTAACCACATCCCCGAAATCATCAATACTCCCGCTGTATCTCCTCGTGGAGGACTTCGCCTTCAATTCGCCAGGCCGTAGTATGAACCATTGTCATCGGCTCTACATCTCCACGATTGGCCTCTCAACCATCTAGCGACGGCGGCGACATCATACACGGGCAGGAGAGGACGTCTCCCTCCGACCGCCTTGCGAAACACAGGCTATAGCTTGGGTGTGCATTGGCGAAGCCCTGTGGAAAGCTTTGGCCCTCTACCCTGCTTTTGGGGTGGAGAGCTTAGCCGGTAAGGCACATCGGAAATCTGGCGTCGACACGACCGCGCACGCGGCATCCCTCCCGGACCATGAGGCGGAATCGCTCTCCGACATCACCTTCGCCCTACCGGGCCCTGGCTCATGGAGCCGGTGCCGCGGGTCCCGGCGGGGTTCCCGATTCCATCTCCCTCCTCAGGTCCTTCAACTCTGATACGAATCCCACCCGCCCTATGCGGCCTTCACCACTGACCGCCTCGACCATTCGGGATATGCCGCTCGACTTGGTCGACCGCATCAGGTCTTTCCCCCTATTCGCCTCCGCACCCGAAGAGTTCTTGGCTGCCATTGGAAACCATCTACGGCCCCAAGTCCACGCAGCCCAAGATCACATCCTCACAGAAGGCGATGACGCTCGGGCAATGTACTGGTTGGTGCGAGGGGTCGTGGCGGTGACGTCTCGGGACGGCGAGGCCATTTATGCAGAACTCAAACCTGGTGCGTTCTTCGGAGAGATCGGCGTTCTCATGAACATCCCTCGCACTGCCACCATCATTGCCCGCACCAAGTGTCTTCTCGTGGTCCTTAAGAAGGAGGATCTGCAGGCAGAGTTGCCCAAGTTTCCAGATATGGAGAAGGCCATTCGCCAGGAAGCCCAAGAACGGTTGAACATTCTTAAGCAGAAACGGCAAGAGGGCGGGCAGCCTCTGAAACCCCCGTCGACACACATCAACGGACTCAGAGAACCAGCTCCAGGTGAGGTTTCGACCGGCGAGATAGGCACCATCAAGGAGGGGACGGTTGTAAACTCCAAAAAGAGAAAATCACCAAGTCCGGGAGCCATCGAGGATCCTGCCGCAGGAAGCGCCCTCGGGAGCGGTTTCGTCAACGTCCGTAAAACACTAAAAGAGCTGCCGCTTTTCTCTACATTACCCCCCGACATCCTCCATTTCCTCGGCCTGAGCGCGCAGCCCAAAACCTATGCGCCCTTCACAGACATTATCCAGCAAGGCTCAGCCGGCAACGAGATCTTTTTCATCGTTCGAGGGGAGGCCGAAGTAGTACACGAAGCATCGAATCCGCAGGAACCATTCAAAAAAGACCTTCGTGCTTCTTACATCCGCCCGAGGCTGAAGGCTGGCCAGTATTTCGGAGAAGTTGCGAGTTTGGGTTTGTCAGAAGGTCGAACGGCGACAGTTCGGGCTATCACAACGGTGGAATGCCTGATGATTCCAGGTGACGCACTAGATAAGCTGTGGACCAGATGCCCACCCGACATCAAGTCACAAGTGGAAGAGACGGCAAGGAAAAGATACAAGAAGTCGGACGAGGATGTTGAGATGGCGGATGTGGACGTCAGAGAACGCGCCAGCAAGTCAGATCCTCCAACACCGACAACGCCCAAGTCTCTGCCGCATGTCACGTTCACAACTCCATCGAAGCCGACGTCACCCACGAAAGACGACAACGACACAATGGAACCGAAGGATCCCGACCCCTTCTTGAGTGTGGACATGGAGAATATGCGGAATAGGAGACGCAACTCCTTGGCCCCTCCTACCCCGCAATCCGACACCTCTTCGCCGACAGGGATGAACGGCTTCCGAATGCACCAGATCGAATCAACTCCCCTACGCTTCTCTGTCCCCCAGTCCCCTCCTGACTCCGAAGCACCGGTTAAGCGAGCGAGAACGTTACCTCGCCGCCCGCATCCCGCTCTCGTCCCTGCATTGCCGGATGACGAGCTGATTAAGGTCTTTCAGTTTTTGGATATCGCGGAGCTCATGCGGGCGAGACTCATTTGTAGCCACTGGCGCAAATTACTAACCACGCACCCGATGGTGTGTCGGGATCTGGACCTTTCAGAGTACAATAGGAGAGTCACAGACATGGCCATCAAGAACGTTATCGGGCCTTTTGCTGGAGAACGACCCCGTACCGTCGATATCAGCAATTGTTTTCACATCACGGATGACGGCTTCCGCGCTCTATGGGAAAGCTGTGGCCGGAACGTGAAGCGCTGGAGGATGCGGTCCGTCTGGGATGTGTCTGCGAATCAGATCCTGGACATGGCCGAACACGCCAGAAACTTGGAAGAGGTCGATTGGAGCAACTGTCGTAAGGTTGGCGATAACCTTCTCGCCCGTGTTGTTGGCTGGGTAGTTCCTGAACCACCACCTCCGCAACCTGCGAGCAAACAGGTCGTCATCTCGAGCTCTGCCGCGAAGACCAAATCCCAGAAGGCTAGCGCGCAGCAGGTGCAGCAGGCACAGCAGGCGCAGCAACGAGCAGCTAACATTCCGAAACCCGGCACAATCATTGGGTGCCCCCGTCTGAAGCACCTCAACCTATCATACTGCAAGCATATCACCGATAGGTCAATGGCTCATTTGGCAGTCCATGCATCCAATCGCCTCGAGATCCTGTCCCTCACGCGTTGCACGTCAATTACCGACGCCGGTTTTCAGCACTGGGCTCCTTACAGATTCTTGAATCTTTCTCAGTTGTGTCTGGCCGATTGTACCTACCTTTCCGACAATGCGATTGTCGCTCTCGTGGGCGCGGCCAAGAACCTAACGCATCTGGATCTCTCCTTCTGCTGCGCACTTTCCGACACCGCCACAGAAGTCGTGGCACTGGGCCTGCCCCAGCTTCGCGAACTCCGTCTGGCATTCTGCGGTAGTGCGGTCTCGGACGCCAGTCTTCAGTCTGTCGCATTGCACTTGAACGAGTTGGAGGGCATCTCGGTTCGGGGCTGCGTCCGTGTGACCGGCGCTGGTGTCGAGAATCTCCTTGAGGGCTGTGGACGAATTCAATGGGTTGATGTCAGTCAATGCCGGAATCTCGAAAGCTGGATTCGGAGCGGTGGTATCATGCGATGGGGGTTTGACGAACGTGGAGGCAATGGCCTGTCGCCGGGTCAAGTGCCGCTGCCGTTGCCACATCCCAGTCCAACCACCAATCACGTCGGCTTGCGCGGGAGGCCACATGCACTCAGTTTCCGCCGCCGCGCTAGGAAACCCGTGCGCTTTATTGTCGAGAAAGGGGCGTTCGGCTTGCGATGAAGGGATGAATCCGCCATAATGATTTATGAGAGATGTTTGTACGATGTGGTTGGTGTATTAAAGCTGTAGTTGGATAGCATAGAAGGCAGATAACAGGCACCTGCCTAATCACGAGTTTGCGATGGACTGCGGACGGCACCTAGGGGTATCACATTGGATCACGAGGAGATAACGGCTACTGCTGCCGAGGATAGACTGGATAAGGTGATACCCTGTTCATTAACTCTCAAAATAAAAGCACCTGATGCAACTTAGCGTAAAATCCACGTGGACAGACGGCAGCCTTACGCTCTCTTAGACCTTCGTTCCTGACCGAAACCCACCCCCATCAAGAAACAAAGCCTCGCCAGCCCGGCCAACATCGTAATCGACACGGCGCCCCAGTCCTCGATCCTCCACGTCGCCAACGGATTCAGCCGTCCCTGCATCGCATACGACGCGAACGTCCCGTACAACAGAAACAGATCCACCACGAGCAGCGAGAGCTGGTACACCCTCCATACCTTGACCTCCTCGGTCGCGCGGAGGAGGACGGCGGACAGAAGCGCGTTGGAAAGAAGGTGGCCGGCGATCTGCGCGTGCAGGGGGACGGAGTACTCGGCGAAGGAGGTCGCGAGGGCGGAGGAGAGGGCGGCGGCTGGGTGGGCGAGGGAGGGGTCGACGGGAGGGGTGTAGGTGGGCGGGAGGTAGGAGGACGTGACGGTCTGCGGGGAGAGGAGGAATAGGGAGGCGCCCCAGAGGGCGATGAGGGGGTCGAGGAGGGTGAAGAGGGTTTTGTATGGTTTTGGGATTGTGGTTGACATTTTGGGGGTTGGTGAAGGGGGTAGTAGTGTGGTGAGTTGAGATGCTTGGATGTGGGGTTTTGGAGGTTGTGGGATGAGTGTCTTTTTGTCTTCTTTGTTTTGGTTGCTTGGAGGGAAGATGTGATGATTTAAGTGGGATGGAAGTGTGAGGTTGATGAGATGTTTTGGAATGTGTTATTCTACGTCGCCACATGATTTAACGACCTTAGCGGGAGGACCGTGTTGATGTCATCGCGCCAGCCGGGAATCCGCGGGGCCGGCAGTGGAAAGTTTTGGCGGAGGTGTCTCCGGGGTGGTCGGTGCGTTTAAGGTTGTGGGGTAGCGCGGGAGGCGAGGGAGCTTGGGCCACCTTCTATTGAGCAGCTCAGCTGCTCCTGCGAGCTGAGCCGGGGAGTGACATGTTCGGGGGATTGTTGTTGGAGGGTGACTGGAGTTGAGGAGGTTTGGGCTTTGAACGGGTTGTGTAGGGAAAAATGATGGAGGTTGTTTGGTGGTTTGCGGCTCGTGGTGTGTTGGGTGATGCTTGGCGTGATTTGTTGGTCACGGGGTTGTTGGTGCGGTTGGCTTGTTCAGTCCTTCACCCTAAGGCCATAACTTTAGAACGCAGTTGCTTCATTTGTTCGCTGCGGCAGCGTGGCTGAATAGCTCATTCGTCGTATTACCTATTGGGCCTTTACTACGAGGCGTTGTTGTGTCCGTTGAATAGATGGATCATGGATTTTAAGAAGATGAGCTGATTTCTTTATTAAAATATAATTCTTAAGATTTATCCCTAGACATATATAGTAGAGTCTTCTAGGGATAATGCAAGAGCTGGGTCTTATTCCGAGATTCCTCAATTTTAGCAGAACTAGGAAGAATCTATCCGGTAAGACTACGTGATTTCACTATCGCCATTGCTTAGAATAGGTTCAAGCAGTCTCATCAATTCTATCCTACAGATGCTTATGGATATCAACAGCTGTAAAACCCGTACTAGTGCCCTCGACCTTTTAGCAACACTATGTATCTCTAAAGTCGGGAATTCTGCAAGAGAAATACTACTTTTCGATAAGCTCGAGACTAGTAAATGCGGTCATAGGCAGGATGCAATTTAAGTCCTCGTTGACGAAGTGAATGTACTCGTCCAGCCTAATCTTCTTCTATAGATTTTACTTAGAAATAGTTAAAGAAGACCTATGCCCAGGCACTAGAAATAGATGGACTGAGTGTTTCAGCTTGGCATTAAATTCTTCATCCATGATCTAATTCAAAACATTTGATCGTGCTCAATAATAGCCGTTTGTTTATATCTAATCAGCTGAGTGAACAGTAAATATACTGCGCAATACAATGCAGTCACCCTTATTCTATTTAATTGTTTGCTTCATTCGACATCTCGACAGCATCAGCTGAGGAAACCATCTGCAGGCCGAGCGGGCCCTGCTGAAAGTGCGGTGTAGGCCTTCCTGCCTCCCGAACAACTTCAAAACGATGGACCCGGCGAGAGACAACCTGAGGAAGGGACAACTGCGGATACATCCATCGACTACCTGAAGTGCTGTCGCTTATTTCAAGGTGCCTTGATCTTGCTCGAATCGGGCCATGCGACATGGGGTGGTGTCCTGCAAGATAGGAATGTGGCAACGCCGTGCATGCAGGTTTGCGGCGCTTACGCCGCAACAGCTAGCCCCACAACTTCATTCCATGGACAACGCAGAATCCAGCCTCGTGAATTGCTGACTGCGATTTCTTCACTTTTCATATCCTCAACCGTAATTCGCGCAATGCGGCTCTTGGACACCTCGACGCTCCAACTCAAAGAGTTCGTCGGGAAGGCGCCCCCGTATGCCATCTTGTCACATACGTGGGGCGACGACGAGGTTCTCTTCCAGGATTTCCGCGAAGACCCGACGACGAAAGCGGGATGGGGCAAAGTCAAGGCCTCGTGTGACGTGGCTAGAGACCTGCACCACGAATGGATCTGGATCGATACCTGCTGCATCGACAAAAGCAGTAGCGCTGAGCTTTCGGAGGCGATCAATTCTATGTTTAAGTGGTACGAGAAGGCCGTCGTCTGCTTGGCGTACCTGTCCGACATTCAGTTCTCAGATCCGGAGACAGATCCGGAGACAGATCCGGAGACAGATACGTTCGCTGAGGTACTCACCGGAAGCCGGTGGTTCACCCGCGGGTGGACTCTACAGGAGCTCCTGGCCCCGAGGCACCTCGACTTCTACTCGTCCGAATGGAAGCTTCTTGGGTCTCGGTCCAAGTTCGCCGATGCCGTTTCACGTAAGACCGGGATAGAGAACAAATTTCTATGCGGCAGGGCCGGCGACCGCACGCGCTTGTCAAACGCGAGCGTGGCCGCCCGGATGTGCTGGGCGTCCGGGCGAAGGACAACGCGCATCGAGGACATGGCGTACTGCCTTCTGGGACTCTTCGATATCAACATGCCGCTCATCTACGGAGAGGGAAATAAGGCTTTCAAGAGGCTTCAGGAGATCATTATCCGCGAAATAGACGACCAGTCGATTTTTGCTTGGGGACAAGGGAGCAATGGTCATCCTTCTGCGGACATGAATTTGTGGGGTTCTCCTCTTCTAGCCGGACATCCTTCGTGGTTCAAGGACTCGGGAGACATCGTTCCCTTCTCCCCGACAGATCTTACAGCTCCGATAAACGTCGAGGTCGACGGTATCACTCTATCTACACCTCTGTGGATGCGCAAGCCGACACTCTCCAATTCACAGTCCCTGCCACGTGGTACGAAGACCAACGGCGTCGACCGTTATTCGAATATGTCGGTGAGACTAGAGTCGTGGCCTGAAGAAAGAGCCGAACATGGCAATATACTTGTAGCGCCTTTGAAATGCAGACGAGACCGCGACTTCTTCAACTGCATCGCGATAACGCTTCGCGAGATCCAACAGCACCGTTCGTCAAACCGGAACAACCCTTCCTGTCACAGGGTCTCGCACATGACTTACTCTGCGCCCAGAAGCACGTGGAACAGTGAAAGTATCTGCAGGCCTTTTATATTCTTTCAGAGCTGCTACGAACGGCAGTCGTCAACTCCCAGCCCAGAGGCGGGCTGCGTCATCCGAAGCCTCCCTCAAGATTACAGGGTTCATCGTCGATCAACGAATCCCATCATCAGTTGCGACCTCAACGACAAACGGTTTCCCACGGTTGTGCCTATAGCAGGACCGGTGGGAGAACTTGTGCTCGTGTTGCAGAGCTGTGCAAAAAGGCAAGGATTGTCGTATGCGTCGATGAGCGCGAACATCTTCATCAAACCCAACCATGTACAATGGCGGGATGTTCCCAAGGTCATTTCTAGCAGCTATGCCTTCTACGGAATTGCGCAACCACACGGCGCGCTGTTAACTTCTGGATCTGTTGCTCAGTCTGAGCTCCAGCCCTTCGAAGACTTCATCGTAAAGATTTCGAAAGAGTCTGCGTACGGTCCTTACATATTCATCATCGATATAGAGGACCCGTTTGGCAAAACCGTGACCTGTGAGACGAATCAGCTCGGCTGCTTCACTCCCGTCAGACAGTGTTCCTTCGGAAGCATATCTGATCGACCAGAAAGTAGCTTGAGCGAGACCTCGCGTACACCATTTGAAAAACCCAACATACGAGGCTTCCAATTCGGTGGAATCAATGAGCACAACTAAAAGCGGACGATGATCGATCTGATATTGATGAGTAGGCTGGCAGTTAGTACGAAGTCGGCTTACACAAAATACGAGGGATTTATTAATGGATTGAAATCCACAGTTCCGTAGGAATGAAAGTTGGTTTCGTCCTTTGTAACGCCACTTAGAAGATACCTAGAGACCTCTAACCTTTTGTTTTCTTTATTTTTTTCCCAAACTTTGTAACCCAAGGGAGCTGCAACCGGAGACACTGGGAAGCACTGATTGACGGCGATTTATTGCCACGGCAATTTGAGATGTAAATCATGTTTCAAAACTATCGAAACAAGTCAGAGACATTGTTTTGCAGCCAGAACCAGTCAAGCTGGGCGGCTGAGCGAAGAGCCTCATCCGCAGTACCGCTTCTTCAGCCCCTTGCTTGCGAGACAACGGGCCAGAGCGCCACGTGGATGTCCCGGTGTCACGTTTGAAATTTCAGTCATCGACTCAGCTTCGTGTCGAGAAATAGCATCGTGTGACGACGCAAACTAGCAGCAAATCAGCGAAGTCGCGTAGGACAGCAAACAGCGCGACAACATTGGAAAAGACGCCACGCATCGCGCCCAAGGAGGGACCAACTCGGTGATTTCCGGGGATGACAATGATATTGTCACAAGAACAAAAGATCTCTCCAGAGTTGAAACGCCCAAAAAGCCATGGCAAGTTAAAAAACTGCAAGGGACGAAGAGGATTACCGGCGTCTTACCTCAAGAACCGACCAAGCTGGAAAGCTGTTTCACATTATAGGCTGACTTTTACATGCGCCGGCGATCTGGACCTCGTTTCTTGAAGCAGAATGGAAGAAATAAGCCGTGGTCAAATTTCCGTGCTGACGAGCTGGATATCGACTAAGTCACAGGTGGTTCGAGGTGTTTTAGACTGCTACAACGGTGTAGGGCATCAACATCCTGACTGGTTTTGCAACCCTCCCAGAAACATAAAAAGGCGTTGACTCTCCGGTCTTACAACGAGTTCCATCTGTTCCATTCCCCTCACACACAAGCTTTCTGGTCCTTTCAGATCTCATTCCACTCGTTTACCTTTCGAGGTCCGTTCATTCGTTATCCCCTGCCATTCATTCAACATGCGTACTACTCTCGCTATTGCCTTCATGGCCCCGGCCGTAATGGCCCAGTCCGCTCTTTCATCTGGCGTCTTGTCTTCCGCTACTCCCATTAATTCGGGCACCGGCGTCACTTCTCGGCCGGCGAACTCAACCGGTATCTGGGGCACAGGCGGTCCCGTGACCCCTCCAGCTACCATTACGGCGACGTACACGGCCACTATCACTCATACCGTCACTTCCTGCCCTCCGGGCGTCAAGCCATGCGCCGTTGGCTCCATCACCACGGTTGTCACAACGGTCACCACGACCTACTGCCCCGAGACACCCGCCCCGAGTCCTTGCCCTGGCGGCAAATGTCCCGGCAAGCCCTGCCACGGCGAGAACTGCGGCAACAAGTGGGTTTGCTACGGCAACTACTGCGCCTGGGACTCTCCTTGCCACGGCGACGACTGTAACCGTTGCCTCCTCTGCGCAGACGGGAAGTGCCAACCCAAGCCCTGCACCGGAGACGACTGCGGCAAGATCATCATCTGCAAGGGTGACTCCTGCAGATACCGCAAGTGCCACGGCGAAGACTGCAACAAAGACAAGATCGTCTGCCACGGCGACGAGTGCAAGTCTGAGAAGTGTCACGGAAACGAGTGCGACAAGAAGTACGTCTGCAAGGACGGTAGCTGCAAGCACGAGGACTGTCCTCCTGAGGAGAACAACACGCACCACGACTGCAAGGGTGACAAGTGTGAGGTCATTCACGAGTGCGAGGGTGAGGATTGTCCCAAGCCTCATCCTCCTCCGGTCAACCCTCCCCATCCTACGCCATCTGGTGCTGTGCCTCCTCATCAACCGCCTGCCAGCAACCCGCCTCACCAACCTCCCGTCAAGCCGTCTGAGCCTCCCGCTCACCCGCCTCAAGAGACTCAGTCTCAAGGTGTCCCGCCTCATGTTCCCGAACATACCTCCTCGAGCCCACCGGAGCACACTCCCGTCCAGCCTCCTCATGAGTCGCCTGCCGAGCCTTCTCAGAAGCCGTCTCGCGACTCGCCCCAGCAACCTTCTCACACTCCCATCGCACCCAGCCAGCACCCGACGCCTGCCGGGCCTTCGGAACCCGGACGTCCCTCGCACTCTGTTGTCGTTGCTGGGTCTGGCAAGTCGGCATCCACTTCTGGGTTTGCCATGTTGGCTATTAGTGCCGTGGTCGCTGCAGCTCTCCTTTGAGAGAAACCTAGTGGTTGAAGCCTCCTGATGTTTCTATTAGATGCAAATATTTGGAAGCATCTAACCTGTACTTTATTTTCTTGTATCTGTTGATGACTGTGAGGTCATTTACAAGATGTGTGTATCTTTGGCGTTGTAATAGATAATGACCCGTCGAGACAGTACAATAATAAAACACTGCCACATTACAAGGCTCCGTCCATAAACTTCAACGTGACTCCGCGAATGCCACATTTGGTAGAACTCGCTTTGAGAAGAATCTATTGGATTACATCGTTTGTTGTCTCTTGTTCCCCTCGCCAGGTTTTATCAACCTCGTCAACCGAGCAAAGCCTTCCTCGCAATTTCGACTTCTTCTGCAGTTCCGCAGATCAAGCCTGCTCTCCCGTCACAATCCACTGACACCTTGTCTAAGAGCGGCTTTCCATCCTCGGGATCAATAGCCTTTCCCCCAGCGCACTCCAAAATGAGAGCGATAGGGTAAAGCTCGTACAAGAACCTCAGCTTTGGCAGTGTCCCCGGAGTCACGGGCATCACGTACACGCCGTGACCCTTGACAAGCGTGTGCACGATATCCGGAACAAGGCCGCCGCAGTATCTCAGCGTGTACTTCTCCCGGATGAAGCGCGTGATGAGCGCACTGTACTTCTCGTCATCCGCCGCGTGGCGCAGGTTCGCCGGCGCGAAGTACCGCGTCTTGAAAGGGCCCTCCGCCAGCTTCACGACCGACCGGATGATCTCACACCCAGAAACCCCATCGTCGCCACCAAGTCCGACCTCGAAGCACGCCGGCTCGGAGCCGGGGATGCGCAGCGCCACGAAGGCCGTCGTCCGGGGGCCGATGACGCCCATGACAGCAGCGACCTGCTTTTCCGCCGGCGACTGCCCCACGGCCGTGCGTCCGTCCCAGATCCCGACGATGGTGCCCACGGTCCAGTTCGGCGCGATGATGGAGCTGCCGTCCAGAGGGTCGAATGCGACGGTGTACTCCTCTGAAGTTGTCGCGGCGGAGTCACTTGCGGCTGCTGCCCTCGCAGGCTTTTCCACGGGGTCCTCCTCGCTGCTGGCGGTGTGGATAGAAGGGCACGTGGCGATGGCGGCGCGCATGACGTTCTCAGTCGCGACGTCGACGTTGAGCTGGTCGTCGCCGAAGGAGTTTGCAGTGCCGGCCAGGGAGACGTGGTGAGATGTCTGGAGCGTCTTGGCGATGTCTGAGACGGCGCCGAGGATTGTCGGGATCACTTCATCGCGGAGGGATTTGCGGTCGTTTTGCGGAATGACGCTCTGCAGAAGTTGCAGCAGGGCTGTTGACGGGGCCATCGTGGGAGACGTGGTGGTTGATGTGAGATAAAGGTGACGGAAGCTTGTTGAGTCAGGGCGGGCTGAGCTGTGAGCTATTTTAGTATGAGAGTTGAGACTGTGGTTGAGAGATTTTCGAGGTATGCGGGGTTCCACAAATTGTCAAACTGTTTCCCTTCATCCACCAGTTAAGAGCCTCTGAACTCTAGATATCCATCTTGCAGGTCTTATCCCACGTGGCTGTCGATCACGAAACTGGGGAGAACCTGGTGTCTGAACGGTGTTTATTTTTAGATACTTCGACTTTCGTCTTCCGTTCTTCTGTTGCCTGAATGCGCCGATACCAAACCTGATTTCCACAGGTCTTTGAATGTTCTACTTTGCTACTTTGGCCGGCATGTCTTATCTAAGGAAATCCATGTGTGGCTTTGTCTCGCCCCCGATAGGCGTGCTTGGTTGAGTGGAACGCCACATGAAAGGTAAGACTGTCAGACCTGAGAGCTCCCCTGGCTGTCATTTCTTCCGCTGCGTTTGATCCCATCGTAAAAGCGTCTCTCCTCAAAGACACGAATATCATCGTCGAAATTCACCTTTCCAAGCTTCCGCGCCTTGAGAATCTTCCTCCTCACTCTCAGGACATCGTACTCGGTGTTCCGGGTCAACCACCAAGTCCAGAGATTACCTATGAAGGACGCGATTGTGGTCGCGGCCGCGATCGCGAAGCTTGTCTTGTACCCGTTGTAGGCGAATCTGGACTGGAACAGCTGCGGCCCGATGACACCGCCAAGCTGCGCAACGCCTGACTGCAGCCCGAGAGTAAACGCCGTGCCTGTTGAGCCGGAGAGCGTGGCTGACCTCCAGGCCCAGAAGGGAATGAAATACGACTGGTAGAAGAGCGTGCCCAAAATGCAGCTGATATAAATACCATACCGGTTGCTGATGGTGAAGAAGAGCACAAAACACACGACCATGCCAGACATGAGGATCCTGAATTGGATGCGAGATTAGCGTTGTGATTGATTCGAGCTTAAGAAAGCAGAGCACTGACATGATGTACGCGGGGCGAACGATGTACGCTTTTGCCATGAACCATGCCGAGAATATGAGACCTAGAATGGCGGCAGCAGCAGGCGGGATATTAAGAAGTTGGTTCTTCGGCAATCTCACGAAACCGAGATTAGTGACGATTGTCGGCAAATACCACGTCAGGGCATATCCGCCGATGTTAATGAGCGTCTGCGACAACATGAAGGACCAAATGAGAGGGGTCTTCAGGACAGCGAAGATCTCCTCCTTTGCGAAGTCGGGATCGTTCGTAAGAGGCGCATTCTCGGGGAGGCGCGCTTCGATGAATTCCTGCTCTCGCTTCGTGAACCACCGGTCACTCCGAGGTGATTTGGGGTAGTCTGGTAGGAACCAGAACACGGCTCCTGAAAATACGATAGTCGCCAGTCCCTCGAGGAGGTATACCCATCTCCACGCACTGAGACCGCGGACGCCGTTCATGTAGCTGATGCCGTAGCAAAGTAAAGAGCCAACGATACCGGCAAGATTTGATGTTGCTATGGTGTCAGTTAGCAAAACGGATTACATAGACGCTCTGGTCTGGCGACGACTTACCAAAGAACCACGTCACAGGCTTGCCTATCTCGTCGGTTCGGTACCAACTTGATAATTGGGCGATGACACCTGGGAACATGCCAGCCTCGAATACCCCGAGCAGAAAACGCATTGCGTAGAGTTGATGACGGTTCTGCGCCGCTGCGTGGCATGCGGTGATGATTCCCCAGGTGAGGAAAATCCGAGACTGCCACAGATGCGGACTCATGCGTTTCAGTAAGAGGTTACTGGGTGCTTCAAACACGATGTATGCGATCTTGACTAAGGGTTAGACATGTGATGTTCAGGCGCAGTCTCTGCTAAGGCACTCACTCCGTAAATCGAGCCAACCCAGTTGTACTGGTCTGAAGTCATATCAAGCTCTTTCATGATATTGCGGGACTCCCCGACCTGAAGAACTCTGACATTTGCTGCGTTGCTTTGATCAATCTGCCATTAAATCAGTACCTCAATCGATCTTACGGAGAGGGCAAAACATACTTGTTTGATCATGTACATCAGTCCTATGATGATCAGAAACCTCTTGTCGATCTTGTTCAAGACATTGCGCTCTTCTTCGGCCGAGAATGTTGACAAAAATGCTGCTCGTGCTTCGGGATCATCCCGAAGATTTTCGACATTTGAACGAGCCACGGTGGAACTGGCCTGCTTGCGAGTTGTAGTTCCGACATCGTGGTCCTCGCTGGCTTCATCAGGGTGGACCTTTGAACTCATCTTGCCGCTATGGTGTTATCTTCAAATTCGCACGACTTGCTACGGCGACTTCATCATTTACACTTCGAAAGGAAGTCATTTTTATGTTGGTTTCGGCAAATAAGCTCGTCGGACAATTCAAACCAACCGATGCCGGGCAGAAAACCGTCATCTTCAGCACCCTATCGACGCGCCAAATGCTTATCAGCGGGGGCTTCGAGATTGCATGCATGATGTGCTCTATGTTAGTATGGCGATATGTTCCCTGCAAACCGGGACTTGGTGCAACATATAAGCAATAAGGTAGGCGTATTGGACTTTATTCGTTGACCTCTGCCGAGAGATGATGGCGAAATCACGGCCCACCATTCCACCATCCTCTCAACAACAACCCCAAGACTTTGATCCGGCTAAAATCCGCAGGCTCTCCTTCATGCTTCGTTAATGTCTCTAGAATAATATCTGAAGGCAACCAATATGATGGCTACCCTCCTCCGATAAAGGACCAGACAAGAGGCCATACGAAAGGACATGACAAACTCGGTCACAAGCCCGTAGGATTCGTTTGCGAAAACTGCGGGTAACATGACGCGAAGCTGGAGGCATTGAAATTCGAAGCCCATTATAAGTACTTACATGTACTAGCTCAAATGAGAGCAGGGGATGCTACTAGCTGCGGAAGATAATGCTCCTCATTGTTATTGACAAGAGATACATGAAGCGACTACACGTAATCAACGCCCGCATTATACGCTCTTCTCCTCCACCGAATAGACCTAACCATTATGGCGTCCTCAGAAGCGCAGAATGGTCCCTCGGCTGACGCCCCAAAGAAGCAAATCCTTCTCAATGCGTTTGACATGTTTACTGTCGGCCACCTGTCTTTCGGTCAGTGGCGAAACCCGAAAGACAGAGCCAAGGACAAGCGCCGGGACCTCACTTACTGGACCGACCTGGCCAAACTTCTCGACAAGGGCGGTTTTGTTGGACTGTTTCTTGCAGACACGTTCGGACCATATGACACGTAAACACCAGTCCCAAGCCATCAGGCGTTACCTTCTTTAACACATGTTCAGCTTCAAGGGCAGTGCCGAACCCTCGGTGAGAACTGGTGCACAATGGCCGATGGCCGATCCTGTTATTGTGAGTCTCTGTGAGAGCGGAAGACCAGTTCCTGTTTCCATCTAACACTCATCCTAGCCTGTTTCTGCCATGGCAGCGGTGACCAAGAACCTGGGATTCGCGATCACTACGTCGACCTCATATGAGCAGGCTTACGTCGTCGCAAAGCGATTCAGTACTCTAGACCATCTGACGAAAGGCCGTTTTGGCTGGAACATCGTCACTAGTTGGAAAGAGTCTGCTTCAAAAGCGGTAACAATACTATTTCCGATACCACTTGGAGCGCTCCAGACTAATCCTCTGATTAGGTTGGGTTGCCATTAGTTGAGCATGACACGCGCTATTCTAATGCGGACGAGTATCTTCGTGTTTTATATAAGTAAGGCCTTCGAAAGTGAAACTGGCGTGATCTCTCGACTCACATTACCGCTTTACAGACTTTGGGAGGGTTCATGGTCAGACACTGCTCTCAAACAAGATGCAGAGAACGGAATCTACTCGGATTACTCACAAATTCGGCCAATTCACCACCACGGAAAGTTTCACGTCGATGCGCCTTTCCTGACCGACCCGTCTCCTCAACGCACGCCAGTCTTGTTCCAAGCTGGAACATCTCCGTAGGTCACCCCGAAATACTTTTCAATGATGATTAAAGCTGATGCGTTGAAGTGCTGGCATCAAGTTCGGCTCAACCCACGCCGAGGGCATTTTCGTGGCTGGTCTCTCCCCCCACGTAGTTGCTCCCAGAGTGAAGGCTATCCGCGAAGGAGCCATCGCCGCTGGCCGCGACCCGTACTCTGTCAAAGTGTTCGCAATGATCACGCCAATCATTGGAAAAGATGAAGAAGATGCCAAACGCAAGTACGAAGAAGCGCTCAAGTATGTTCTCATCGAGGGCGGCCTCGCGCAATTCTCAGCCAGCACGGGCATCGACGTTTCCAAGTTTGACCTGGACCACGAGCTCACCGAGAAAGATGTCGCAAGCCATCTTCAAAGAATTCATTCATCGCTTTACAACCTGCGCTATCGAGGAGGGGATGTTCCCAAGCTAACGCCGCGCAACCTCGGAACTGTGACTGCGATCGGCGGCAATGGTGCGATGCCTGTTGGAATGGCCAGCCAGGTTGCTGATGTCTTCCAAGAATGGGTTGATATTGCGGATGTCGATGGCTTCAACATTGGCTATGTGATTACGCCGGGTAGCTTCGAAGATGCTGTGGAATATCTTGTTCCTGAGTTGAGGCGCCGGGGCTTACTTCCGGACGCGATCCCCGAGGACGCACCTGCACCAACCTTCAGAGAGCAGATTTATGGTCTGGGGCAAAAGGGGTTGAGATCTGATCATCCCGGCTACAAGTACAAGTATGACACATATGAAAAGACGATTGCCGAGGAAGAGGCAGCAGCACTTGCAGCAAAGAATCAGCACGTCTGAATGAGCGCGAGGGTTGGGATCAGGGAATTGAAATGAGACACCAGCTACCAGTAAGCGTCACCAATATACTCCTGAAATCCTGTGTTACTCTGTGGAAATACCTCGAAATAAGAACATGAGAAACACTTTTTCTTTCATAAGTTGTGAGATTCTGAAGCGAGGTCTTCTTTGACGGCGGCTCTTGTGAGCTCATTCAAGAGTTTGAGACGTACCTGGTAACCCAGATCTTATCTGCCTACCTGGGCCCAACACCTTGCATGTCAGTCTTGGCATTGGGGATTCCCATTTAGCCTAATTGTCTGAAAGCCGGAATCTGCCGGCGAACTCCTTACCGGATCTCTATCTCAGGTCCACGAAGATTGGATTTTGCCAGTCTCCCCCGCTGTTTCCCCGCAGAGACTTCGAAATGCCAAGCGTCGTGTATCTGCGCCGTTGCGGAGTCGCTCTTATGAGCTGGGTTCGGGCTTTGATTTTCCACAACTCGGGGAAATTCGTTACATGAAGACCGTGTGGATAAAGAAGAAAGTATCGATGTTTAGGGGCAAAATCTATATTTCCAAGCCAATTTGCTAGCCTCTGCATATCAGCCACTCCGTATAATGGGCTTTTCAGTAGTGATTGACGAGTCTGCATGAGCTTTAGACAGAGCACACTAGCCTCCTTTGCTTAAAGGATAACCAAGGGAGCCCGAGGAGCTTTCATTATATGTATAATCGGTCTGCTCGTCACAAACCTGTTGACTTCACCCCTTTAGATCGCCGAATTGAAGGGCATGCCAATACGGTCAAACCAATTGCATTGTTCTCCAAGATGAGGTCCATCAGGTCTTCCATCATGTTATTGGCGGCTGCCGGCATGTCATCTGCGGCGCCGACATGCAATAAGCCATTGTTCTCTGAGTGGATGACAGACTCCATGATTCGTTTTGGCGTTGAGCCTAGCTTTCACTACGACCAGGCAACGTTGTACACGTCCTTCGAAGACCTCTACGAGTACAGAAAGAACCAAACGCTCTACGACTATTACAAAGCACAGGTTGACGCTGTGGTGCTTCCAGACGGCACCATCGACGGTTTCAACTACTCAAAACACAGCTTGGACCCATACCGCTTCGGCAACAACGTCTTGTTTTGGTACGAGCAGACAGGGGACGAGAAGTACCGCATCGCCGCCGACGGGATCAAGGGGACACTCGACAGCCATCCGCGCACACCAACGGGGGGCTTCTGGCATCGCGAGGTCGTGTACCCGAACCAGATGTGGCTCGATGGCATCTACATGGCAGACAGCTTCTACGCGAAGTATGTCTCTTTGTTCCAACCCGATAACCAGACTGCTTGGGACGATGTTGTGTTGCAGTTCGACAACATCGACGCGCGGACGCGTCGTGATGACAACTTGCTGGTGCACGGTTACGACGAGAGCAAACAGGCCGTGTGGGCGGACCCGGAGACCGGCGCCGCGCCGCTGGTGTGGGGCCGGGCCGTGGGATGGTACTTTATGGCGCTTCTTGAGGTGATCGACCTGCTTCCTGAGGAACATCCTGGCCGAGAGAGACTTTTGGGATATTTCACTGGCCTCGCAGAGGGCCTCAAGGGTGCGCAGGATGAGACTGGGGGCTGGTGGAATATCATGGAAAAGCGATATGAGGACGTGGAGGGCAACTACATCGAGAGCAGCGCAAGCGCCATGTTCACGTTTGGTTGGCTCAAGGGTTTGAACTTGGGGTACTTGACGGAAGCGGACTACCTTGAGGTTGCAAAGAAGGCTTGGAACGGCCTGAAAGACAGGTTTGTCACTTACAACGACAACGGCACAATCAACTTCGAGGGTACCGTTATGGTCGGGAGCCTCGGCAGTAATGCAACCTTTGAAGTAAGTCATTTTCCATCATTCACCATCTCAGAGCTAGCATTACTAACACACGTATTCAGTATTACGCGAGTATTGGTCTCCGACAGAATGACCTTCGCGGTGCTGGCGTGTTTATCATCGCGGCGTTGGAGTGGGAGAAACGCTCCGCGTAATGTCGTTCTTTCAAATAGTAACCTCGGTGATGAGGCCTATCCTGTTATAGTACTATGTGCTTGTCAAAACTCTGATATTACTGGTAATGCAATGAATGTCAGGAAGTCTAGTCCATTAAACGTGTCTAAGGCCTCCATGGCACGGCAGTGAATTGGGACAACACAGCCATTCAATGTTGCTCCATGAAAGCATGACAGTGAATGTACGTTTTCCTTGGCTTTCATTTCTGATTGACCGCAGTTGGTATTCTGTTAGCGCCGTATATATGCTGCTTGATACACAGGTCCTGAGCTACTGCAACCTTCAAGAGTCTAAACAGCCGAGCTCTTGATACTCAGACCCAATTCAATCTCACGCCTTAGAACAAAATTACTGGAGTCACGGCACTTATAGCACAATGTCTGAGCCTCTTGCAGACCCTCACAGCTTTCACGACGGCGTGTCCTATCCGACCACCCAAGGCGACTTCACCAAGGCATTGGATCGCTGTGCGAAAGCATGCGAAGAATTCAACCAGCTCGGCGCTACAGCAACCTCAGCTCAGAGATCCGATGCCTGGCGCAGGTAGTGACCCCAGAATCTACGATTCTCTATCCCTGTTACGAATTTCGGCTAACTGCCTTTTCAGAATCGTCTGTCACAATGTCGAGGGCGACGGGACACCTTACATCAAGAGCCCTATCACCATGGAATACGAACTTCGCGTTTACATTGCCCCTGGCACCTTCATCAACCACAATTGTACCATTCTGGACACGCCTGTTGCGGACATACGCATCGGAACGAAGTGCACAATCGGTCCTCATGTCAGCATCTATGGCGTATCACACAGTCTGAACCCAGATGAAACAGGACGCCGAGCCATCTTCGGGAAGCCCGTCACCATAGGTGACGCTGTTTGGATCGGTGGAAGAGCCATCATCTTGTAAGTCGTGATTCCTTTGTCCCCGGTCCACATCAATTCGTCGCTCGTAGCCTTGGCATCGAAGTCCCAAGAGTGATGCACATCGCACTCCTGGTTCAAGCCCCGAGATTCACTCTCTAACTTTCAGCAGAGCTGGAGTTCAAATCGGCTCACGCTCGACAATTGCTGCGGGCAGCGTGGTTCGTAGCGACATTCCTTCCGACTGCATCGCTGCTGGAGTTCCTGCGAAAGTCATACGCTTCATCCGACCTGATGAAACGCACGACGCACTGTATGCAGGGTCACTTGAGGAAGCTCTGGAGATTCGCTTTACACACGATGCTGATCGCGTTGCTCACATACGCTGAGCTGGACAGACAGGAAGCTTAGACGGTCTTATGCAAGCATCATCAGGGTCGTTTGCAGACTGGAGCACTTGATGACTGGCTGTGGGTTGAAAAAGCCAGGAGGCAAATAAAATACCCATTTCAAGTAGACAGCAGTATAATACAGAATTAGCCACTCATTATGAAACTGCTGATCGAGGTGGAATCGCATTCGTAGCTCCGGGACATCACAGGACTTCCTGCGACAAACAAAAAATACAGACGTCATCAAGATTTCATATCAGCCATCAGCAAGTCCTATTCATTTGCGTTCTACTACTCAGCCGATTAGAGATGCGAGCCTTTGACCGGTAATTCCACTTCGATGACACCTTGAACCGCCGAGGCAGTTCTCCAAATCTTGACAATTCTGAGACCAGCTGCGTCCATCAACGATCTCCATTGCTTCTCCGTTCTCTCTTGGGCAGATCCAAGTACCATCATAAGTATGTCGTAGCCAGCGGCGTGCGGATGAGGCGGCTTGTCGTCATCGATAATGTGGTCGTGAATGAGAAGTTTGCTGTAGCCAGGCTTCATGGCACTTTTCTGCATCTCGAGAATCTTCAGCACCGTCTGGTCCGGCCAGTCATGAAGAATGTGATGCATGTAGTATGCACGCGCGTCTTAGGACTTTGTCAGCTTACTGCTCCATCAGTCGAGGTAGGAAGTCGGAAGACTCACGCTTGATTGGTTGAGGCTTGAAGAAGTTGTATGTCAGCTTATTTATTCCCTTCACAACGGAAGAGTTCTCGTCGGCAATCACGGAAGGAATATCCTCCAGATACAATCTTGAAGCAGTCTCGGGGTGCTTCTCGTAGAAGGCCTGGATGTCCTGTCCGATACTTCCTCCCACGTCAACGAGGAGCGGAAGTGTTGGGTCTGAGTCCAAGAGAATGTGAGGAGGAAAGATTTCAGTCCAACGAGTGTGGCTAGATGTCGAGGTCTTCTGGAGAATGTTGAATGCTTGTCCTTTCTCGGGGTTCTCTTGGAGATACTTGAAGAGACCGCCTTCATATCCGAAAGCCGAGTCGAACATGGTTTTGCGGCCGTTTCGAGGGTTCAAGTAGTGGGTTTTCGCTAGGTACTTGGGCATGTGGCTTAGAGTAGGCACCATGTAGTCAAAACTCCGAAAGTTAGTATATCTGCATCAGTAGAGAATTGGTGCTGGAGGCAATACTAGAAGTGCGCCGTTGTTCCAAAGTCTGTGTCCGCCAAGCGAACACAAAACTTGTCCGGCTTGAATTTACCGTCGGGCATCATATCGACCAGGTTGTTGGATGCTAGAAGACGGAGTAATCGGTCTGTTCCCGTCAGTTCTTCTCTGCGCGCCAAGAAGACAATCAACTGCTCACGAAGTAGAGCTGCATCGCAACTGCCTCCGGCGAGCTCAGCGAGCTCGATTTCTGACATTGCCACGTTGCCCTTTGCTTGCCATTTCTCTAGAAGTCTCAGATCGTTGAGGACTTTGAGCGCAGCAATCGTAGCAGGCTATTCTTCCAGTCAACCTACATTCCCAAAGATGAAAAGACGACTTCTTTATTCACTTGACTCAGGTATAGCCGAACGAACGTGTCCCACGGGGACTCGACTTTGGTGGTGGTCTCATACAGCTTTTGCAGCACTCTTGCCCGATCATCTTCGTTCATGTTCTCGATTGAGGCCGTCAGGTCTTCGGCAGACCGAATGAAATTCTCAACGGGATCGGTCATCTTTTTTTCTGGGGCCATATTTAATTGGAAGTCGAGAGAAATTCGCAGATATTGGATAGACACTCTAAAGTATTGGAAAAAAGCAGTCCAGAGCGCGGAAGATAGATGAATTTCCCAAGCACAGCTTTCTCCTCACGGCCAGGTAAGAACACTTTCATCGCCGGAGACTTTCATCCATTTTGAGCAGCCAGAAAGGTACTACCCGCCTTTAGGTATTTAAACGCTACAGTCAAAGCGGCAGAAAGCCTCATTTGTCTCGAACCTACAACTGCGAAACTTCCCGGGCTACCCGGAACTCGGATAGCTACATCCACGACGAAACACATAGGATAGCTACAGGTCGTACAACCAGTCTACTCACCTGCTACTGGTCAAAATTACGGTGGTGTGTCGTGAACTCTATTGAACAATAGGCAGGAAGCCTTCAAGGCAACTGGCTACATGCTGGACAGTCGGAATCGGAGCTGGCCAAGTACTTCCGACGGGGAGTGGGGACTCAAACGCATGCCGGACGTCGGAGGAGGTTCATTTCAAAGCAGCTTCTGGTCACCATCGGCCACCGGCATTCAACGGCATGACCGCTTGCGCCGGGCCGTCCCCTACATAAATACTCGTGAGCACACATGATTGTGGCGGCACAAGACTGAGTAGACATTGCCGAGCACATGAAGAACCCCATGCCGCTGATGTGTATCCTTTTCAAGCCCGTACATTGAGTGTTACGTCATCGGGAATAACTGCGCAAATGTTGGCGGGAAGGGCGCTAGAGGAAACCTAACATGTTCCTCGCTTGTCCAGTCCTTGCCATAGGATTCCTTCGCATATTACGTCTCAGTTCATTCTTCCAGAGTCCAAATAGGAAGACGCACATACATGAGCAGACAACAATGGCTAAAGCTCGGTCATTTGTCCTTGAGGTGTTTATTGTTCATCCGCGATCTAACCCGACTTCGACGGGGTGGGGCCGATCCCCCACCGGGAAGAACAAGAAAGAATCAATACCGCGGTCACGAATGGTGAGAATAATGATCAAGCGGTGAAAAGAATTGGAGATGCCAAGCTTATAACATGTGCCGAACGTGGAGCCGTCCAAGTGAGGTGGACGGGTGACCACCAACCTGGTTGAACGGAGAGAGCAAATAATCCCCGCTTCCCCGCAACATCCACCACTGCGCAGCCCGCGGGGTGGCCCAAATGCTCGGTCATGACTGTCATTTCACTTGCCGGAGCCGGGATCTTTCGGTCCACGCAGAGACTCTGGGTGCTGAATCGAGAGAGGATGCCAAAAGAACTTGCTTGAGGCCCCGCTTGATTGAAAGGTAGGGCCGATTAACAGACCGAACTCAGCAATCCGAAGCACCAAATTGGTGAACACCTCATCGTCACACGACTTGGTAGCCCGTATTGATGGAGATGTTGATGGAGATGTTTACGCGCGAGCGTGCAGCGCCTGGAGATTCTGGGGTCCCCGCATTGGTTCCGTCCAATTGGTGACCCGAACATATACCGACAGCTCCGGCCGATAGAGGACATCCTTGTTGTTAGTAATGCTTGTAGGATATTGCTCGTAATCAGTAACTCACTCAAGCTGATGGGACAAACATGATCCAACTCTCCATTCAGAAAGAAAAGAGTCCGCCTGATTGGCTCCTTGGGGAAGCCATACTACAAGAATCCTCAGTAGACTGCCGGCGCATACGTCTCAGGGAGGACGTCAAGGGCGCAGAAGAATACAAGAACAACACACAAGGACAGTTGACATCATCGAGGAATTGACAGAGACGTGTCACGGAATTAGAGAAGCGTTGACTTATTCCAAGTTCCAAGACTCCCCAGAGAAATGCCAGCCCGATAGTGCTTGTGAAAGATGCATACTAATTACAATTGTCGGCTCGGCATCTCGTCATGTCTACTTCGGCAAGCCCCCATATTCCGAAGAGCCCCCCTCATGACGGTGCTGATGAAGGCGTAACCACGCCCTACTTGTTCGAGCCCCTCTCCAGCCACCGAAGCGTCTCCATCATTACTATTATTTCGACCGATGCAAGGCCGTAAAGCATGTTGCCAAGAACAACCTTTCCCATTTCTTCCATTGTTCCCACACTGGGTAATTCAAGGTGGCATCTATCACCAGTTCAGGACAGAAGAGGTGCAAGATGGATGAGCATGTGTGCCCATAAATACCCCTCTGTTTCTTCTGTTGACATGTGGAATAATGCACCAAGTTTCTAGACCAATTCTATAGCGCTTCATTCGAGTCTACAAGCAAGATTTCTTTGAGTCCTCTTTCATATCATGAGGACCGACCTAACACCACTCGCCCTGGCGATCTTGCCAGTGGTCACTAGCACTCCAACAGCCACATATCCTTGGCTCAACCGTCGCGATGACTCCTTACCAATCTACAAGAACGCATCATACTGCGTCGACGCGCGCGTGGAAGACCTACTTCAGCGCATGACGGTGGAAGAGAAAGCCGGCCAGATGTTCCAAACCATGCTCTATCAGGCGCCCCTCAATGTGAGCACGGGTCTTAACAGCACAGACAACATGATTGGAGAGAAGCACATGACGCACTTCAACCTCGTCGGCGACATCACCGACGCCAAGGAGGTGGCAGACTTCGTCAACCTCGTTCAGCAGCGTGCTTTGGATACCCGTCTCGGTATCCCCGTTACTCTCTCGACGGATCCAAGGCACCACTTCACCGAGAACATCGGGACAGGTTTCCAGGCCGGTGTCTTCTCTCAGTGGCCCGAGACCCTCGGACTTGCTGCTCTACGGGACGCAGACTTGGTCAAGAAATTCGCCGAGATCGCTCGCGAGGAGTACATCGCTGTCGGCATCCGTGCCGCCTTGCATCCCCAGGTCGACCTGGCTACCGAGCCCCGATGGTCTCGTCTCGGGAACACTTGGGGAGAGAACGCGACTCTTACCAGCGAGCTTCTCGTGGCTTATATCAAGGGCTTCCAGGGAGAGAAGCTGGGTCCCCACTCTGTCACCACGGTCACGAAGCACTTCCCAGGTGGCGGCCCGATGGAGAATGGCGAGGATTCCCACTTCACCTACGGCAAGAACCAGACATATCCGGGAAACAACTTCGACTACCACCTCATTCCCTTCAAGGCGGCCATCGCTGCTGGCGCGAGGCAGATGATGCCGTACTATTCGCGACCAATCGGCACCGAATACGATCCTGTCGGCTTCTCCTTCAACAAGCAGATCGTCACTGATCTCCTGAGAAATGAGTTAGGCTTTGAAGGCATCGTCGTTACTGACTGGGGTCTGATCACCGACACCATCATTTCGGGCCAGGACATGCCAGCTCGTGCCTGGGGTCTTGAGAACACCACGGAGCTCGAGCGTGCCGCCCGCATCATCAACGCTGGCTGTGACCAATTTGGCGGCGAGCAGCGCCCCGAACTCATCGTTCAGCTGGTTGACGAGGGCATTATCGCGGAAGAGCGGCTCGACATCTCCGTTCGCCGCCTCCTGCGGGAGAAGTTCATTCTCGGCCTCTTCGACAACCCCTTTGTTGATTCCGAGGCTGCCACCAGAGTTGTCGGCAACGACTACTTCGCGCGTCTCGGCAACGATGCTCAGCGCCGCGCTTACACCCTCCTTACCAACAAGGGCGACATCCTGCCGCTGAAGCACGTCAGCACCGAGACCAAGTTCTACATTGAGGGTTTCAACGCGACGTTCCTTGAAGCACGTAACTTGACCGTCGTCACGACGCCGGAGGAGGCAGACTACGCTCTTCTCCGACTGCAAGCACCCTACGAACCGCGTCCCGGCGGCTTCGAGGCTAATTATCACGCTGGCTCTCTCGAGTTCAACGCCACGGAGAAGGCACGTCAAGCTGAAATCTACTCGACTGTTCCGACAATTGTGGATATCATCTTGGACCGCCCGGCAGCTATCCTCGAGGTGGTCGACTCTGCTGCGGCGGTTTTGGGCAGCTTCGGAAGTGGGAGCGAGGCTTTCCTGGATGTGTTGTTTGGCATCAGCTCCCCTGAAGGAAAGTTGCCTTTTGATCTGCCGCGGTCTATGGAGGCCGTTGAGGCATCATTCGAGGATGTGCCGTTCGACACAAAGGATCCGGTTTTCAAGTTCGACCATGGGCTGAGGTATGCGGACAAGTGTGCTGCCTGAGCCACAGATGGATATCTTTTGTTTCTAAAATAACGAGCATACGACCTTGCAACTTGCATTCTCTTTACGTCTAGTATTCATACAATTAATGATTAAACTGTCACACTGAAACTCATAGATCCAAAGAGTAATCATCGGTGTGAAGTCACCACTCCACAGATGGTGATGGGTGCATTCTCCAATCATTTTGACGTCATGGCATCACCTAATCTTGGCCTTTAGAAAGCCATAACTCCATTAAAATATATCAGCCATAATTTAGACACCTCATAGCAAGTTCATGCCCAAATCCGTCATCCCACCCGAGAAACAGTTGTTGAAAATGGCATCCGCTATCGTAACAGGAGCAACCGGTAAGTATCATGGACACACGCCATGGTCGGTTGAAAACTTAACAGACATCTCAGGTATCCTCGGCCGTGAGATCGTTTCCCGCCTGGGCCGGCACCCGGACCAGTGGAAGACCGTCTACGCCATATCTCGTAGCAAGAAGGATGACTATCCTGCCAATGTGAAGCACAGCTTCATCGACCTCACTGGCTCTGCCGGCGAAATGACCAAGAATCTTCAGGGTATCGAGGCAGAGTACGTCTTCTTTTCGGCATATTTGCAGAAGGATTCGGAGCAGGAGAACTGGGACGTTAATGGTAAGATCTTCTTCGCCCCGTCGGTGAATGGCACGACTTACACACGCAGGTGACATGCTGCAAAACTTCCTCTCTGCTCTGTCTCAAACCGGCGCTTCTCAGAGCATCAAACGCATTCTCTTAGTCACGGGCGCCAAACAGTATGGAGTTCATCTTGGTGCCGTCAAGAACCCGATGGAGGAATCCGACCCTTGGCTACGCGACCCACCGTTCCCTCCCAACTTCTACTACCGCCAACAAGACATCCTTCATGACTTCTGTGAAAAGAACCCTCACATCTCCTGGACAGTGACGTATCCCAACGATGTGATCGGGTTCGCCAAAGGAAACTTCATGAACTTGGCCACCTCACTGGGAATCTATGCCGCGGTTTCCAAGGAACTCGGTCGCGACCTAGAGTTCCCCGGTTCAGAGGCATTCTATACCAAGTTCGACTCTTTCACTTCTGCCAAGCTGCACGCCGAGTTTTGCGAGTGGGCTATTAAGGAGCCGAAGGCTGCCAACGAGGCTTTTAACGTTGTCAATGGCGACGTGGAGAGTTGGCAGAACCTGTGGCCGAAGGTGGCGCGTCGTCTTTCAATGAAGGTTAAGGCAGATCAATTCGCCTCCAGGTCCGAGTTGGCCAGCGAGACGCAGCTGTGTGAGAAACCGCCTCGGAGCGTTCTTGAAGAGAGGATTGGGCTGAAGGGCAAGACGGCGCCGAGTAAGCTGGAGCAGAGGATTGACATGGTCAAGTGGAGCCAGCAGGACGATGTCAAGAAGGCGTGGGATCGTCTCGCAGAGCGCGAAGGACTTGAGAAAGATGCGTTCGAGAAGGCCACTTGGGCTTTCCTTGGATTTGTGCTGGGACGGAACTATGACTTGGTCATCAGCATGAGCAAGGCGAGGGAGATGGGCTGGACAGGGTGAGTGATCGTACCTAGAGGTGTTGAGCCTGTTTGAACAGATAACTAACCCAGTACTAGGTATGCCGATACTTGGTTGAGTCTCTCGAATACTTTCAGAGAGTTGGAGGCACAGAACATCCTCCCTCGTACCCACTTACTTACTGCTACGAGCTCGAGGCACACCATGGGATGAGGATCAAAGGACAGGGGGTTGACGAAGTGAAAGAACGAAAGGGAATCTCTAGTTTCTATACCAACTCCAGAAGCACATCTACATCCTGGGCGGTCTCTATACTCATTGCTAGCACATTCTTCTCGTGCTCCAGCAGCTCACGGGTGTTGGTGCCAACCATGCAACTCATATCCTTCTTTTTTGCGCCCTTGACCCATTGCTGATCGATCATCCAGTGCGTCGGTACCTCAAACTCCGTTGCGTTGCCCATCTTGTTCTTCAACAGCCCGCCATTATACCACAGTAGCGTGTCCAACTCGTCAACGTGCGCGATCACAAAGCTGCAAACCTGGGTCATATCCGTCTGAACCCCTTGAATCGGATACCTCCATCCAACCATGCCACCGTAGTGCCGCGAGAAGGAATATGTTGACCCTGTGACTTCGAGGCCAATCCACCACGTCTCCTTGTCGCCGTATCCTATTCTGTATGTCCATGAGTTTCTTACTGAGTAGGTGTTCTGCCATGCAGTGTGCAGAAGACCCAGAAGCACGTCCAGCCGTCCCTTATTGAGCACGACGATGCCCGAGTCTTCTTCTTCGGCGTATCTCTCGGTCCACACCAGCGACTTTTGCATCTCCTCGCTCGGATGCTTGATCATCTCGTGGTACCATTCGTGCCGTTCGGGAAACTGGTCTTTCCAGAGTAGCCGGTCGTGGAAGAGCAGTGCGCCCTTTTCGCGATAGCTCCGTTGTTGGAGGAGTTGCTCAGGGGGTTGTATGAGGACCACATCGGCATCCAGCACGATTACCTCTTCAAAACGGCTGCCGAGCGCCGCAAACGGTTTGATCGCCCATCCTCCCTCGGCCAATCTGAGCGTCGTGTCATTGAACACCGTCATGATATCCAAGAACTCAATATGGCCATCGTCGCCCTCGCCCGCCGCCTGGACAAGAGCATCGCGGTCTTCCTCGGTCAAGTCTTCTTCGCCAGCATACACAATCTGGATCGGTAGGGTGGTTCGATGGACACGCGTCAGCGACGCAACCAAGTGGCACGCGAATCGTAGCGTGCCTGAGCCGGTGGGGATCACGATTCCCGCATTTTTCGGCTTAGTGAAGCCGTCGCCCGGTCGCTTGTCGGTGATGGCGTCCGCAGCCACGGCTGCGGCTGCGGCTGCTGCGCCGCCGATGTGGCCGCTCTCGACGCCCTCGACCACCCGCTGGGTCTTTCGAACATGGGTGTCCGCACTTCGAAAGCTTCGCCGGAGATCCGCGAGGGGTGACTGGCTGTGAGGGTCTCTTGGCGGAGATTGCAGGTAGGGGTACAGGGATGCCGCGACTCGTTCGACTCGGTCGGCTAAGAAGTCCCTCTCGGTACCCACAAGCCGGCGTCCTTTGGGGGTCTCTTCCTCCAGTGCCTCGATCCAGGAACGCAGGACTTTTGTTCGTTCGCCGAGCTCCCCAAAGATCTTCTTGTATGGCGGTCCGAGAGGGTAGTCGATGAAGTACTGGGCTGTTGTGTTGATCGCATCGAGGTTGAGGCCTGACACCGTCGACGTTCGGAAGCTGAAGGACGCGGAGGTGAAGGGTGTAATATGGCCCCTATATCGAAGGAGATAGATGACGGTGAGTGTGATGAATGCCGCCGCGGCCAGGACGGGTGTCGACTGAGCGCCGAATCGCGGTGGGAAAAGTAGTCGAACCATCCTCCATCGCATGTGTTGAACAAGATGTTGTGTTTTGGTGCAAAACAACACGCAAGTGAACTCGCGATTCTGGAGCTGGGCGGGCAGTCCTTTAAGAAGCCAAGACCTGCGAACCAGTGCTTCCAATTTTTGGAGATTGACATTTGTTAGTGAAAGCTTATCACGCAGGTATCCCTTCGATTGCGTCAAGAATTAATCTATCTGACTGACGGCTCTTGCGTGGTGCGGCTCGAATACAATCGAAAGGTCTGCAGACTTGATGCCAGGCCATCCCGTTTGACGTTAGAAAGGCCGCGCCAGCAGGCTCAGTCGTGGCGTCTTTTTCTTTGCGAAGTCTTTAGTCCAGGATGCCCCCCTCGATTCCGAGCTGCCGGGACGAACACGCGTCTTGGATATAGCGCTGACCCACGTCAACTCAGGGTCCAGGCCACTGCCTCCCCCGCATTCCGAAAATGATGCTCCTTTTTTCGAGGTTGAGAGCAAGATGTCATGGATAAAGATGACATGTTTGACAGTCGAAGATTCGGTTAGATGCCTGCCGAAATTCTGCAGACATCGGAGAGAACGAAGGGCAGTGCCAGGTTCATCCTTTGCTCTTCGGTCTCGTTGTTTTGGATTACATAGCCAATGGTGTTCTGGGGTTAATGAGGCGAGAGCTGCGGGATGGCTTGGCTGCAACGCCGAAGTCTGGAGTTTCGGGGATGCTGCCAAGTCTGCTTTTGACAATGCGAGATGTCTGTAAGATCGACAGGCATGTCAAGAGGCGCGAATGAGAGTCAACTTCAATACGGGATGGGTCATTTCGCTCACCGTCCCTACAAATGTCGCCATGCTCTTTCAAGAGTAGCATGTCTGCGATTGAAAGATTCGAGGGTTAGTCGGCACGACCCGGCTTCTCAGCTTCTGAAAAGGGGTTTAGTTAGAGCATGGTGCCATGTCACTGTGAATGACTCGGGCGATGAGCACCCAGCAGTGTAATCAACCACCGGCGGCGCAGTGGCGCTAGACAGCAAGGATACGAGCTTTGCAATGTTTCCATGTAAATAAGAATGAGATTGCCCCATCTTCTTCTTGATAGCTTAATTACAAGATCGACAAGTGCCTTAAAACCTGCTGCGGTCTTCATGTTCAATCGCGGGCCGCGGGATGCGGCCGAAATCAAACAAATGGACATGAGACCGAGCTATTTCACTGAGAAACCAGCCTGTGGCACTAAAGCCCTCTTCACGGGAAAACGGTATTTTAGAGACGAGCAGCGCCTCGAACATGAAGGAACCGCAACAAGCCAGTACCGGATAGCAAAATGAACTATGTGACATGATCTGAATTCAGCCCTGATATTCCACCTTGAATTTGTGTTCCGCTTTTTTCGATCCTACTCGGATCTGCCATTTAGGCTCGCCCTCCAGGCCCATGGTCAACTCCAGGTCCTCGTGCTTCCTCCACCCCGCGAACGGATTGCCCACAGCCTTCCATTGCTCTATAGGCTTGTCCCAATCGCAATCAATGTGGCAGAGATCCTGTACTTTGGAGCCAGGTCTTTTAGGTGCCACCTCCTCCGCGCTGTACATGATGTTGAACGTGCATTTGGGTGGTAGAGGCGCTTGAAAGAATTGGACGTATGATACGGGTATTCGTGATGCTTTGTCAACCTTGTCGCCCTGTTTGGTCGTTAGCGAAGTCTCTGGAGGTTTATTTAGGTTTGAATACCTTGTTTAGGTACCACTCCATCCGAGTGACCCTCATCACCCCTTCCGGATCTTCGTGTTGCTCATCCTCGGGCTCGAGAACAACACTTTTTACTCTCTTGTCCACAACAATACCATAATGGTATCTGGATCTGCGGGAGGTTACGTTTGGTATTGCGCTCAAAGCAATCTGCTGTACAGGCGAGAGAGTGGTTTGCGCCGAGATGTTCTCCTGCAAGAGCCGAAGGATGGCCCCGCGGGCAACAGCCGACCACCTGTGTGACTCATATCAGCAACTGTAAACTACTAATAAGCACCTCTAGAAGCTATATAGTCTGAAAATGATCTAAAGAACCAAAAACTGCCATGCTTACCCGTCACTTGGTCGGAGGACCCTGTTCTCGAACTGGTCATTCAACACATCGTAAACATACTCAGAGCTACCCAGGCCTCCGACAAGAAGGATCTTCTGTAAAAGCGATTATAAGTAGGCTGAACTTGACGCAGGCTTCCCTCGAAGAGGATGCGGGCCGACTAACCTTGGGCGGCTTTCCAGTTGCTGCTTTTATCTTAGTGTACTGGTTGTTGACAAGGCTTCGAATGCCAGTCAGAGACTTGCTGAAGAAGCCCTTCATCTCCTCCCTGTTTACTTCTCATGAGCCTTTTTCCTCATACGGATGAATCGCCATGACCCACTTGTTGATTGCTAGTGTCTCTTTGTTTCGCAACCTGGCCATCTTCCCGTAGGCTCTGCTAGGTGGGTGTAGGTTGAAGAATCTCGGCTCATTGGCATTACTGAAAGTTCGCTTGGCACCCAATTCCCACTCCTTCTGTATGAACTGATTGTACTCAGATGCACTGAGTGAGTTGATTTTGAGTTTAGCCTTTCCATGGAGATGAGCCTCGAAGGCTTGATCGATTTGGAAAGCGCCTGAAAGTTTTCCTTGAATGATTGAAGTCAGCGCTGTTCGTGACTTTGCCTCGTCAATGATCGTACCATCACCTGTTACACATTCCTCTAGCTTGAATGGGCGCTCGGATGTGACTGTGTAGCTTATTACATCCTGATGAAATTAGTGAGAGGAAGTCAAGCATTGAAAGGAGGTGAGAAACTCACGACAGTGCCGCCACCAGCGTCGCAGACTATGAACGACTCATTCTTCTTGAATATAAGTTAGACAATTACTCAACAAGAGGTAGGTGCTACGAGTGAAATCGGTACCTTAATTTCTGGGAACGAGCTATGTTGAAACAGACTTGCCAAGGCCGCAGCTTCGGGTTCTTGGACCAGCATTAGGGTGGTCTCGCCAATGTCGCGCTTTTCTAGAATACCAGCCATTCTTGCAGCCTCTCTCATGAGGCCCTGGGCGTAGGCGGGCCAAATCGCCGGGATCGTGATAGCTACGCGAAGCGGTAGGTTCTCGACATCCATCATAGTCTCAAGACTGGAATACGTGTGATCCCAGACCTTTTTGAGATAAGCGCCGACAATGTCTACTGGTTTCATCCTGTTTATGGACTGAGACAGTAATCTACGGGCTTCCTGTAGCTGAATGGAGTTGCGAATCTCCTCTTTCTGGATGTCATCTTCGTTCAGAAGTAGCAGCTTGAACCATCTCATGGGCTCCATCTCTGGCGTGATCTCGTAGCCCCATTTTCCCGTATCGATATCGTAGAGGGTTGGAACTTGGGTTTCGCGCTTGTTTCTCGGGTTTTCTGAGGACCAGCCGATGATTTCGTGGATTTCTTTTGGACAGGTTGATCGCGCCCAAGAGACACCAGAGTACCTGCAACACATTACTAGTTAGTCAACTATAAAGGCAACATTATTTGCTTGAAAACCATCCTTGGGATACTCACGTTGTTCCGAAATCAATACCAATAGCCACGAATGTCTCGGTGATTTCGTCGTCTGCTACGGTGAATGGCCCATGGAGGGGGCGAACTGGGAGTGAGTATTGAAACATGGCTGAATGCACCAGCGGAACAAACGGCGAAGGGCTTTGAGGCATTAAGAGAGATAATCGTGTTTGGTCTTCGGGAAAACAAAAGTCACACAGCTCATTACATTACTGAATCATGGGAATTTACCTCCGCATTATTAGTGAGGCGAATGCAGAGTATGGAGGGCTCCTGTCTGCTTGCCAGCCTGCCTGCGCGCCTGCGCGCTCAGCCGAGAATGAGGCTGGCGGGATCGGTCACACCTCCCAGAGACGGTAAGGCGCCCGCGAGGCGTTCAATACTACTGCAGATAAGCAGTCATTATCACCTTCTATCACAAATATTCGGGCTAGGAACGTATTTCTACAAGCTAGTGGTTGCCTTGCATCCAGGCTCCAGTGAACATCGAAGTCGCCTCAGTGGTGGCTCACAAAAACAGCCCGTCCCATCTTTTCAGGAGCAAAGCTTGCGCAAAATGATTTGAATAAACACCAACAAGAACTGTGCTGTCTTCTTCGCCGCTAGTAATATCAACCAGATCATGGACGATTCAAACGAGGGCGTCATTTTGGTGATGGGAGTAACTGGGGCGGGGAAAAGCTACTTTCTCAACCAGCTCAAGAGCCAATGTGTCAAGGAGGGCCACTCGTTGTCTTCAGGTATGTTCAGCACGCATTGGATTAACAGTATGACGTCGAAATAACACGTTTGTAGAAACTCAGGGCTGCCAAGCTGTTCAGATATACCTCGATGGAGACGAGTCGCGCAGCATCACCGTTGTTGACACCCCTGGGTTTGACGACACGGAGCGTTCTTCGGACGAGATCCTAGTCGAAATCACCAACTATCTAGCGGCGCAGCATGCCTCGGGCCTCCCTTTGCGAGGAATCCTGTATCTGCACAGGATCACGGACAATCGAATGACAAACACATCAAAATCTTACCTGCGGCTTCTTGAGAGCTTGGTCGGAGATGATGCACTGAGAAATGTCATTCTGGTGACCACCATGTGGAACATGCTCCGCCCGGAGGACCGCAGGCGTGGTCTTCAACGAGAGCAAGAGCTACTCGACAATTTCTGGAGTTCCATGGAGCAAAAGGGATCCTACGTCGCTCAGTTCGATGGCACGGCTGACTCTGCCTACGCACTCGTCTTCCAGCTCGCAGGCAAGGACAGCGTGGTGCTTGATATCCAGAAGGAGACCGTGGAGCAAGATAGATCTATCCTGGAGACAACGGCGGGTATGAACCTGATTCATCAGCTGAAGAAAGATAGCGAAAGTTATCAGCTGCAGATGTCTAACGTCGAGAAGCAGCTGGAGCTGGAAATGAGGGAAGAACCTCGTGACAAAGACAAGATAAGACAGCTCAAAACAAAAAAGCAGGAGATAGAGAAGATCTTGCGGCTCATGAACGGCTCTGTGGAGCGAATGAAGGTTCATCCGGGTTCCCCTATGCGGGACCGTATGAAGGACGCCATGAAAAAGCATGGGATGGACGCAGTTGCGGCGCTGAGCGCTGTTCTGAATGTAACATACTTCGTGGTTCGTCTGGTCTTAGGAGCGTAGAGTATGGTTCGTACATAGATAGGCATTTACTGTTTTCAATAAAACATCTCCGATTGGGACTACAGCTGCATCGCCTGGGGTGATGTGGGAAGCAGGCCGTGGTGCAGCCTGATTGATCCCTAGTCACCGCTATCGAACTTCTTCGGTCTCCGGCGTACCCCGCATACATTCACTCAGCCGCTCTATCCGCCTGTAGTGTAAACATTGGCTCTCAGGCTGCGGCTGAACGGGTTGTGGATGGTAAGAAATGTGATCATGTTCTGACACTCGCAGTTCGAGGCCTCCCTCATGCAAGCCTCGGCCAATTGTATGATTCTCTTAGAAAATCAGGCTGTGAGCGGCCGACATTCTTACCGAAAAGATGACTAGGTCCGCGCAGGGATGATTAAGATGATTCCTTTTCTTTCCATGTTCGTTATCTACCGCTTCTAATAGTGCCAGCCTGATTCTAGGAAATGCGAACCATCTTAGCGTTGCCGCCGTACACCCAGACAGATTGGCATGTGGCCATTGCATCACTCAATTTCAGAACCTCCACTTCTTGACCAAATCTTCACCTCTTATTGTGCTACTAGCTTCGTGTTTCTCCTCTCTACTTACAAGATCAAGTCCGCACAGTCAAGTCTTTCGACACGTACCAAGCATGGCCGCCAACGGTCATCACAAAGCGCAAAGTGGCAGTCGAAAACCGCCGCTGGCCCATAGCTCACAACCTTCCTTTTCTCCCGGCCGACCATCCAGCTCTTATGAGAAATCCGAAAGAGATCAGCGTGATCGATCGAATCACTCATCCGCATTCCGCTCCCGAAGCCATCAAAGACGTGAAAATCACACCCTTCCGACGACACTAAGAAAGGAAGACGGCAAGTTGAAACTGTCCTGGTTTGATAGGGGGTTGCAATATCTGCGTCAAGACAATGGAGGCAAGAACCAGGACAATTCTCAGAATCTAGGAGGTCCTGTCTCCAAACAACTTACTCGACAAGAAGCGAATCGTATCCCGAAACCTGTCACTGAACATTTGAGTCCTCCTATTTCGACTTTGGAACAGAACACGGCCATGGTTCCTCAAACGACCAACGAGCACAATCTCCTTGCTACCAATGGCAATCATAGATATGGAGTCCAGCAAACGAACCATGAATTGGCGCAGAGGCCTGCACTGCCACCCCGTGATCCCGCAAATTGCACGTCTCCGAAGCCGCCTAGTCCTCCACCAAAGGAAACACATGTTCCTCAGGAGGCTGACATGGTCGAAAACGCTTCAGAGGAGCATAGAAACCTGGAGATCAAGTTGGACGAACAGTCCAACACTATCACTCAGTTTACGAAGGTCTTTGATGATCAAAACAAAGTCATTGACGACCTAACCGACGAAAACAACAGTCTCCTCGAACAGGTTGCCAATTTGCGTGACCAACTCAGCCGTGAAATTGACGAGCGAGAACAAACCATTACGAGTTTGAGAAAAAAGCTCAGCAACGCTGCAGACAAGAGTGCCAAGGTACCGGCCCATGCACCCCTTAGCCGACCGGAAAGTGAGCTAGTCAAGGACTGGGGAGCGCTTGCGTACGACATCCGCAATCTTGTCGACAATCACCTTGTCGGTGGCCGGTTCGAGAACAGAATCTCAGCATGGGCACAGAGCAGAGGAGCTCATCTCCGTGATATAACACCGAATCCTCTCGAGGTAGCGTCCAACAGAAAACCAGGCGCTGCTCTCATAGAAGCCGCTATCTGGAGGGCTCTTATTGAGTCTATCTTTGGATCATACGACGGTGTTGGTCTCATGTGTTGGGCAGGAAGATATAAGGAGAGGTTGCAAAGATTGAGTAAGTCTTTTATTCAAACAATCTCCGGCGCTTTTCTTACTAAGGATTTGCAGGTTCCAGCTTCCAAAACAGCCTAGCAGAAGTAGGCAATCTCGATGCTTCATATCAGCAATGGAAAGCCCTCACAGCTAGCATCGTTTCAACCATTCAATTACCACATGACCAAGAAGATGAAGTCGGCGGCATTCTTGAAAATCTAGAAAGCCTCCTTGAACCCTGTCGATCTAAGATGGGTAACTCCAGAGCCTATCACCACGAACTGCAGTCTCTAGTGGTCAAGGCCATTGGGCTTGATCTGAAATTTGCAGGCCAGCGTGCCTGTTATCAAGTTCATTGGCCAACACAGCCACATTTCAACGTTAGCTTTGACGAGAGGTCTATGAAACCAGCGAATGAAGGCTCTCAAACGCCAGAAAAGGTCAAATTCATGATTCAGCCTTGTCTGTTGAGGTCTGAGGCGCCAGGCGACTTCAACAACTTGACCGTCGTCGACCAATGCACCGTCTGGTTGTACTGAAATGTTCGTGGGTATATACCACGGCACGTAGGGCAAAGATAGAAATACGAACGAATGAAAACTTGGTAAATGTCATGCCACAGGAGATGGAACGATCGCGGGCATCATGGTCAAAGTTGTGGGTGAGGAGAGTCACCTGTAGCGGGGTTTCATGTAAGAGAAAGTGCAACACAAGGGGTTTCCTACGGGCATTTCTTCTCCTCAAGTACCTAAGCCTATTGTCCACGACGGTTCTGATGGCGAGCCAAAAAGATTCTAGAGCCGTTGAAAAATGACGAAGAAAGGAGCCCGTGATAATTGATTAACAACGAGTCATGTCGCCGCACGAGAAATTAGCACCCACGATGTGGTGGGATTTCTGTAAACCTAAATTTAAGCTTGTTTGGAATAGAGTGATACAGCCCTATTTTCTTTCTAAGCGTAATTGAAACATGACACCTCAGAACCCAAAGATGATTATTCAGATAAGTTACATTCGTGCATGCAGCAGGTCAAGCAGTTGGGTTGAGGTGGCGGAAACTCCAAGCATCAATAGCTGGAGAGCAAAAGTCGCAACTGCAGCTCTAGAAGTCAAACCTTGCAAGCTGCTGTTCTTCAGGTCTTCACCGACGTGCTGACAACTTGAAGTTCGGAGACAAACTCAGGTGTGAGCTCGGAAGGTCCGGCTGTTGAGGATTGAATGAGCGGATTTCTCCCGCCGGTAAACTATAAGAGGTAGCGAAGGACTTGACTCTATCAGCATCTTGGCATAGTGCCATGCTTCAGCACTCATATTTAAGTCTGGTAAGGGTAATCCCTACCCAATTCAACAACGAGCAACCGAAAGAGCTAGACCGAACTCTCCGAAGGTGGTCGTGTGGTGGACCATGAACGATAGTACTGCAATTCACGATGACCTCATTTCAACTAGCAAACTATCTTAAAGATAATGAAGGCGCTTGTGGTCTCCAACCAAAATGCCAAGATGGTTTTATTCTTTAGATAGAAATTGGGTGTGATGGGTCAGGAAGAGCCATTGCTATAAATGCTGTACTGCTTCTCTGGCGGAAGATTGAATAGCTAATCATCAGCTTTGGAACCAACTTGTACACTCTTTCAAATTGTTTGGCAGTTTTACCATGTTGCTGTTACCGACACTCATTTCTTGTCTGCCTTTGGGACTGGCGGCTAACATTTATGTGGCACCGACGGGAGGCTCCAACCCAGAAGGCAGCCAGCAGAACCCCTTTGGCGAAATCCAAGCCGCAGTCAATATTTCTCGACCTGGGGATGTCATCATACTACGCGGAGGAACATACGAACTCCTCAAGAACATCAACATCACGGTTAATGGAACCGCACAAGCCCCGATCTCGATGAGAGCCGCCAAAGATGAAGAAGTTATCATTGATGGCGAGGGCCTCCCGAGCACCCCAGCCCCTGTTGGTGCTTCGGTGCCGGGCAGGGAGCGCGGTGTTCTTCATGTCGAGCGCATTCACTTCTGGAACTTTTCTCGCCTGACTTTCACTCACGGCCCATACGGCGTCTACGTAAAGGATTGCAGCAGCCTGCGGTTTAATCAGATTGTCACCAGGGACAACTACGAGAGTGGTTTTCACATGCAGGGTGCCCTTTCCAATAACGTCATCTCTTACTTGGACTCCTACGGCAACCGCGATCCTAGAAATAATGGCGAAAACGCTGATGGTATTGCTATCAAAGAGGGCAAGGGAGAAGGCAATATCATCATAGGCTCTAGGTTCTGGGACAACTCGGATGATGGACTGGACTTCTGGTATGTCAAGTCTCTTGATTTGGATTGTGCCTTTTCTAATCATGTACAGGGAGTTCCATTCCAAGTTGATCGTCAAGGACAGCATTGCTTGGGGTAATGGATACAATCGATGGGTAAGTGGCAGGGTTCTGTCGTTGTTTTCTGACTGTAAGACTGATCCATCACGACAGAACCTGCCTGATTTCACTGGTAATGGGAATGGCTTCAAGCTTGGGGGCGGCAGTGCTGGCGACATCCTCCCGGCAGGTCGCGAAATCATCAACTGCATCGCATTTGGCAACAAGGCCAATGGCTTCACCGACAACTCGCAGACCGGCGACTTTCTTTTCGAAGAAAACACCTCAGTTTGGAATGGAGCCGTTGGTTTCCGCAGCGTCAACGCAACCGGCGTCCTCGAGCGCAACATTGCCGCCGTCAACCGTCCTGGCTCTCCGACGAACGTCACTTACGGCGGCCAAGTGACCCTACGAGGAGCGCAGATCTCGAGGGAAAACTCTTGGGACAACGAACTTCCTCTGCTCACTAACCAGAGTTTCAAGAGCATTGACATCGGACTCGTCACCGGGGCTCGTGGGAAGAATGGAAAGATCGCGGCTAGCGACTTCTTGTTGCCTATTGATGGCGCCAAGATGGGTGCTACCACTCAGTGGAAATAAGCTTAGATTGGTCTGGAAATTTCCAAAAGCTCATCCTCCCAGTCAAAATAGTGGATATCCATCAGACTTTTCTTCTCCTTTCGCAGATCGTGTGTGATTTGCCGCCCGCCGCCGTAAGCGCCGATCAAATCCGGGCGCGAGGCGGGGCCGAAACGCAGGGACGCCGGTGATCGGCGATCTAGAACAAACGGCCCCGGAATGGACCTGAGATTGACGAGTCGGAGGCAGAAGGGACAAAACGTGCTGGAGAAAATGAGGTTCCATATCGCCTGATTTCGCCTTACATAATGTGTCGTAAGAGGGAACATGCTGGATAACGTCTGTAAATAGTGAAAAGTGACGTAATGTGGGTGTCAATGTGGGCGCCGGTCCCTGTCAACCGAGTTCCAGGTCGTGATGTGATTATGCGCGTCAACGATGATGGACATTTCTCATCTCAACTTATCTCAGTTGAATCCTTGAACGGACACGCTAATCACGACTTGAACACATCAACCGAGTCATCATCTTGAACAAGTACTCATACGATCTGATCAAATGCTCTCCACGATGAAATCCATTGGTATCTTCCCGGCCTCGGGTGGTCTCGGGGGAAGCACTTACGAGTACCTTCGCAAGCTGTTACCCAACGATAGGATCATTCTGGTCAACAGGTTTCCGGAGAAAGTGCCCCAAGAACACCTCGAGGATGGTATCAGAGCACGTCAAGCCTCATATGAGTCAAGTCCTTCGGATTTAGAGGCTGCGTTCGCAGGCATCGATGTGCTCTTCCTTATCTCATACCCTAGTCATGTTCATGACTATCGCCGGAAGGTTAGTTTTACCCCGCCATTTGGGTAAACCGCCATCTCACATGAGAATCACAGGTGCAACTACCAGCCATAGACGCTGCACGGCGCGCCGGCGTCAAGCACATCTTCTACAGCTCCCTCGGCTTTGCTGGGGACTACCAAGATTCATCGCTGGCAGAGGTGATGCAAGCCCATCTCGACTCGGAACGGCACCTCACTGAAGCAGCTGCCTCAGACCCGAGCTTCACCTTCACCTCCGTTCGCGAGGGTCTCTACTCGGAATCGTATCCGATATACACCTCATTCTTCGACATCAACGCACCAGCAGACGAGATTCTCATTCCGCACGACGGCTCCGGGCCCGGCGTTGCGTGGGTCAAGCGCAACGAGCTTGGCGAGGCGACGGCACGGCTCATCGCGAACTACTCATGGGACCCCGACGAGTTTCCATACGTCAACAAAAAGATACTTCTCACGGGCCCGAAAGTCTGGTCTCTAGAAGAGACCGTCCAGGTCCTCGGACAAGTCGTGGGGAAGGACGTTCGCATTCGCCAGATTGATGTGGATGAGTATGTGAAGCTGCCGCAGGTGGTGTCGCGATTCGGGTCGGAGGAGAAGGCTCGAACGTGGGCGACAGCTTGGGATGCGATACGGGCCGGTGAGACTGCTGTTGCGACGGAACACTTGAAAGACATCATCGGAAGGGAGCCGGAGCCGTTTGATGTGACCATCAAGCGGTTGAAGCAGGTTTAAGAGGCGGGCGGAACGGATGACTCATTCTTCTCATATCTTTGAGCGTTGGAACTAAAATAATTCAAAGAAAGATGAGAATTCAGAACAGAAACTCTGTCCGATAGCGAGGGAGGAAAAAGCAGCCGCACTACCTGAAAGCGCCGAATGAGCGGCTGGCTTGCGGGAGGTTCATGAGTTGAACTTTTTGAGGAGATTGACATGAGCGGGCGAATGGTTTAGTGGTATAATACTCGCTTAGCATGTGAGTGGTCCAGGGTTCGATTCCCTGTTCGTCCAATCTTTTTGCTTTTCCGGCTCAGAGCTTGGTCGCACTTTTTGCACTCTAGTAGTCAATTCTTCGTTGCGTGTTCGAACATGCGCATGATTAATAGAAATCGATGCTTGGTTCTTTCTTAATCATTGTCGCACCCTTTGATTTTAATCTAGCAGGTCCAAGCTATAGATGGTATTTTTCTCTTCTGTACAATCGGATCTTATTCCACCGTGTCAGGCTGCGTTCTGCCTATTCGCACCAACTTGCCGCACCTCAGCATCATAGGTCCAACAGCATTACTGCTAGGCGAAGACACCAGACTTAGAGAAATGATTTTCACATCTTTCGTACATTACTGCTGAGTTCATCTGACCTCAACTTGATAATGGTTCCCAGCCAGGGGCATGTTGAGAAGCTCGTGTTGAGCCGGTATCAGCGGATAAGAGCGCAAATGAGGTCTCCATCGTCTGAAACCTAAAATTGACCTTTCAGTGTCGAGTTACTCAGAGAACGCAATGCATAGCAGAAAACTCGCAACTCTCTGTACCATTCTGTCTTCAAACTATCCACCACCTGTTGTAACCTATCGCCAATCAAGCATTTTTTGCAGAAACCTAAGGCGGCTCGTTCATCCGGGCCTAGCCTCCCTTCAACTTGTTTCCAACAAGGCGTGATGATCGATCCCCAAATTCTTGAATCCTTACCGCTGCGCTACCCCAGTTCCGGCAGGTCGGCTGCGCGCAATCCGGCATTTGACCTGCCCAGATCTGCTTAACGACCGCGGGGGTTGGGTGACACCGGCCCACCACCGTTCCTACCGGTCAATTATTGTGATTCTCCCCAACTGCTTAATCAAGCCGTGACGCCGGACGAACGAAAAACAAAAGATCCATGGACGATATGTCTGCGTCTCCAGCCCCAATCATCCCGCCAGCGGTGAACCGAAGCCTGTTCGCTGGGCTGGGTGCCCCTCGTCCGATCAATGTGTTTGCAGGCACCTTATTTGCTTTTCCCCTTGAACCCTGGTCGTTTCCCCCTCAAAACCAGTGCGTCAATGAACACTCAAACTCTCCAACCAGAATGCAGAGTCATTGACCTTCCCCCTCAGTTATGGTCTGGATAACTGGCCTTTTTCTAGCGTCGTAGTCCCCTTTGCAGCTTCTAGACGTGGCCTCGCCTGCTGGACGCGGGAACTTTTGTGTGTTGTCTCCTCGCGCCTTGGTTTGATCAGGCAGGTCTCCTGTCCATCCAGGCCAAGATATCTCAAGACTGAGCGTGCATTCAGCGCGGGTCGCCATGACCTGAAAAGGAAGGTTGCAAAAGCACTTCCCAGGCGATCCCCGACGGTCCGATCCTCGTCACTATCCCTGGTTCGACCGCAGTTTTGGCAGTTCTTATTTTCCCCTCCCTCATCTCATGAGATTTCCATAAAACGGCACCGAAGTCCACGCTGACGGTGCGCAATCCCGTGCACTCTTCACGACTCAACGCGCGGTCGCCTCTTGTCAAGTTTTGAAGCGAGCCTTTCTTAGGATCTGTTAAGATGAGGAGTCTTGCTGCCCTCTCCACCATCGTGGCTGCCGCCTCCGCCGCCTCCGTCGCGGCGGGCAGCGCCAAGCGCGTCAGCTACGATGGCACAAAGGTCTTCCGCGTGTCCGTCGGCGATGAGGTCGACCGAGTCAACGACATCGTCTCCAAGCTTCAGTTGACCACTTGGAAGGGTGCTCCGAGGGCCGGCGCCATGGCCGACATCGTCGTCCCGCCCACTGAGGTTGAAGCCTTCAACGCTGAGATCGCCGGTCTGAACGTTACGACAATGCACGAGGACCTGGTATGTTTCTCGACCTTCTCTAACCGAAATTTCAATCACTAACGTCCACGCAGGGCGCCAGCATTGCTGATGAGTCTGGCTTCCAAGTCTATGCCGGTATGTGTGCCCCTTTATGTGCAATGTGAAGTTCAGCTTGTCGTTGAACTTGTGCTGACTGAAATGTCAGTCGGCTCCGCCAACGCCACGTGGTTCAACTCTTACCACGCATACGCCGACCATCTCCAGTTCCTTAACGACCTGGTCGCGTCGTACCCCAACAACGCCGAGATCGTCACCTCTGGCAAGTCGCTCGAAGGCAGAACCATCACGGGTGTCCACATCTACGGATCTTCCAAGGGCACCAAGCCCGCCGTCGTCTTCCACGGAACCGTCCACGCGCGCGAGTGGATCAGCACCATGACCAACGAGTACATCGCCTGGAACCTCCTGAGCAAGTATTCCTCCAACACCGAGATCAAGGGATTCGTCGACAAGTACGACTTCTACATCTTCCCCGTTGTCAACCCCGAGTAAGTTAACTCCAACCGTTCCACAGCTGTGACTAAACTCTAACGCTGCGAAGTGGCTTCGTCTTCACTCAGACTAGCAACCGTCTGTGGCGCAAGAACCGTCAAACCACTTCCGGAAGCACCTGTCTCGGCCACGACATCAACCGCAACTGGCCTTACCAGTGGTCCGTCACCGGCGGTGCTTCCACCAACCCCTGTGCCGAAGACTTCAAGGGTGCTGCTGCCGGCGACGCCCCCGAGACTGCTGCTCTCTCTGCGTTCCTGGCCAAGACCAAGTCTGCCCAAGGTCTGAAGCTCTTCATCGACTTCCATGCCTACTCCCAGCTTTTCATGACGCCCTACGGTTACTCATGCACCGCCGTTAACGCGAAGAACACCGAGCTGCAGGCTCTGGCCAAGGGCGCCGCCGCCGCCATTAAGGCTGTTTATGGCACCTCGTACCAGTATGGCCCTATCTGCACGACCATCTACAAGGCCACCGGCTCCAGCGTCGACTACGTCGCCGATGTCACCAAGGCCGACTACACCTTCACCCAGGAGCTCCGCGACACTGGCAACTACGGATTCGTCCTGCCCGCCAACCAGATCGTTCCCACGGGTGAGGAGACTTACGCCGGTGTCCGCTACCTGCTTCAGAACATGAAGTAAAGTGATGTGACTCCAGCAAGGAGAACACTCCTACTCTCTGATAGGATACAACACAGCAACGCATAATGAGCATTCATGTATCTATTTCTTAGGCCTCTCTTCTGGGCGCACATAAATAATTACTCCAGATGAATTCGCCAACTGTGTGCATTAGACCAATAGTCCATGTTTTCTCTCCTACCCATCCCAGCTTCACATTGAGGAACCATGGCTAGAACCACCTCGCACGTCATGCGGGGAGATTTGGACTTTTGGAGAACCAGCCGCAATTTGATACACCCGTGACAGGCCACGCTCATAAATCAGACGAAGCTTCGGCGCCACATGCAATTCCTCCCCCAACACAACCTGGAGATCCTGCGGAGAGACGTCCGAGCGGAGCGAAACGGATCGCCGACCTTAACCTTGATTGCTGTGCCAGCTTCGCTGGCATTCCAACAAGGACCCCTTCGACCTACTCGGATTACTTCACTCGTGTCTCAGGTTTTCTTTGACACCCTTTCAACCCCCCAACCTAGCAGACCCCCCAAAAAGTTCCAAAGACAGATCGTTCCCGCAAACTCTGCGTCTCATCTCGGCAGCACACCCGAATTTTTGACTTCCAGCGATTCATTATGCGCCGAAACTCCATCGTCGCAGTGCTTCTCGCCGCGGCGGCAGCTCCGTTCACGGTTGCCTTCGAAGAGCTCCTGCAGCGTCGCGATCTTCGACAACCTCTCCCGCTCTCCGTGGACGGCCGATGGATTCTCGACGCGAAGAATGAGAGCATCGCTCTCGTGGGCGTCAACTGGCCCGGCCACTTAGAGACCATGCTTCCCGAGGGTCTGCAGTACCAGTCGGTTTCCAACATCGTCACCAAGATCGCCGAGATCGGTTTCAACTCCGTCCGTCTCACCTTTGCGTCCGAGATGGTCGATGATATCGTGGAGAGGGGAGGAGATGTCAGCTTGAAGGTCACCTTGGAAAAGGCGCTTGGATCGGAGAACGGCACGAAGGTGATGAAGCAGATCATGAAGAACAACCCGAGCTTCAACGAGAGCACGAAACGTTTGGATATATGGAATGCGGTTGCCGGAGAGCTCGCCAAGCAGGACCTGTTTCTCCATCTTGATAATCACGTCTCCAAGGCTGTATGGTGCTGCGACCCCTTTGACGGCAACAGTTGGTTTGGCGACACCCATTTCAACACCTCCAACTGGGTTCGAAGTCTATCTTTCATGGCTGAGCACGTAAGTTGAGAGCTTCCCCAACTGTTCAATAGCATCACTGACACGCCAAAAGGGCAAAGCCAACTGGAAGTCATTCTCCAGCATGGGTCTCCGCAACGAACTGCGGCCCCCACTGGACAACCCCCAGCCTCCTGCCGAGCTCGACCTCTGGGAAACATGGAAGACTCGCATGCTTCAAGGAGCCAATGCTATCCACAACGCCAACCCTGAAATTCTCATTTTCTTTGGCGGTAGACTCGGTGACAAAGACATTGGTGACCCCGTCAGGGGCTCCTCTTTGGCCGAACCCAATTTCAACTTCTCCATCGCGGAGCAGCCCTTCAAGAACAAATTTGTCTTCGAGCTACACCAGTACGACAGCGACTTGCTCAGACTATACATCGTTGGCGACCAGGGCTCTTTCAACGAGACCTTTGACGTCCTCGGAGGCAACACCACGACCGCCTCTTTGCCTGGTTCGAACAAGGCGCCCTTGGTCATCAGCGAATGGGGTCACGACCAGACTGATAAGAGTGGCGTCTACAAGCAAGAATTCCACAAGTTCCTTTTCGACTACATGATCGGCAGGAGTCTTCACTGGATGGTGTGGACGATTGGAGGGAGCTACTACGTCCGCGAGGGTAAAGCTGATTATGACGAAACCTGGGGTAAGCAGTACTATGATCATCAACTATAACTTGAAGGCTAACATAATTGCAACATCAGGCCTTTTGGATCATAAGTGGGACTCGTTCCAAGGAAAGGATTCTATCAAGGCACTCCAAGCCGAGATGCGGGCGACTTACAAATCCCTCAACCAGAGCATGCCGCCGGCTACGAAAGACGTGGGCAAAGGCTCAGGTGGGGTTCACAGCCCTCAGCTCAGGGGTGCTGCCGCTGGGGTATCAAGCAGCCTGTTTGTGGCGTTCGCCTTCGCACTTGTTGTGGCATTTACGACCGTCCTATGATAGGAGGCAAACGTATGGGTAGAATCTTGGATTGCATACATAATAGAACACCACGCAAACGAGTCATAATGCAAAACACGGTCTCCTTCTTAGCTGCTGAGTGGTAGGAGGTATCTAGAGTCCGGTGGGATGTCTAGCCTTGATGTACAATTATATAACAAATGGATACAGTAATGGCAACATCGTAGTTCACGTGTAACCAATGCTTGCCAGGATCAAGCTTGATCGACGCTAGAATATTGGACAGGTTTTCGACAAATCTACGGACTGGTGAAAAGCCGCCAGCCTCACACCCATACCTAACCGAGTGTGCACGGCCAACTTGGAAGGCGCCGGTTAAGCAAGCAAGCGGTACACCATCGGCGAACGTGAATATGTACATGTATGCTCATGACGAGAAGGTGATACTTTCGATGCTTCCGTCACATATTCGACATCCTCTTTTCGTCTTATCTGAGTGTCCTATGTCGCTTAAACTCAACATCAACACGGCTAACCACGCCGCCGCATCCCTGCATGTACGAGAGGACATATCAAGCGCGAAATGGCTGTTTTGTGTAACACGTATATGCAGGAAGCGGAAAATAGCAACACGCGATTGTCCGACGGGTTGTGAGCCGTTTGGTACTCGACTAAATACTCTGCAGCCAACGGCTGTTTGCTGTTCAAGCGCATATCCTTGTCATCTTCATGTCAACAGGGGGCAAGATCATATTGGCAAAACCAGTTGTGCCTCTTATTCGCTGCTTTAGACAGTTGAATGGGTTTGGAGGCGCGCATCAGACCACCCAGGAACACGATACGTGCTGACCACCAACTCATAGCCAAGGCTCAGCCTGCTTCTCTGCTGATAATTGCCCTTCCGTTTTCCGAAAACTCATTTACCTGCAAGGCTTTTGTCGTAGACAGCATCTATTTATGTAGTTCATTAGAAGGTCTCTATCTTCAGAGAACCGAAAGCCGGATGGAAATTGTCGTGTCCAACAGAATGTACCGCAAAGTCGTTGCCATGGAGCTGAAAGATCGTTCACAGCAAAACCCTCTCGTGCCTACCACACAGACGGAAGTCACAGCACTTCACCGATGCCGCCGGAGCGGTGGACAACGTCGATGGTTTCAGTTGGCTTCCGAGTGGTATCTGCTTTTTTCATACCTACTATTCTCCTTCGTTTTCTCCTTCGGCATGAGGAATTGGCTCCATGGCAAGTCCTTCGCAGTGTCCGGAAGCTCACAACTGCCTGGCCGGTCTTTCCGACTCGCTCAACCCGACGTGGTTACGATCATATCAGCCTGCCTGGTGGCTGGGAGAGCCATCGGTACCGCTTGGCAAGCCCTTGCTGCCTGGCGATGTATTTTCATTCTTCTTGAAAAGACTGGCCTTTCTCTCTCGGATGCCAGCGTCTTGGGGTCCTGGAAGCTGCCGGTGTGGTCAATCCTATGGCCACATTCATCAGTTCGGTCAGGTAAACATACCACCAGACTGATTGCGGTGCTGGTTCTTCTTCTCGCTTGGCCTTCGCAATTCGCTAGCCCCTTGGCAACCGGTTCCGTTTCTTGGTTGCCTATTCGATCTTACACCTTCGGCTCTGCAAAGTCTATCTCGCTGGAATCGCCGTTGGCGGGAAGATTTTGGCTAGCGTACGTGCTGGGCTCCAACATCCGCCAAGCCTTGGTCATTGCATCGGCAGCACGCCCCTACAAATCCAACAATGGGTCTTTGCCAGTTACCCCAGCGCGTCGTATGGCATCGCATCTGAGTTCTTATGCCAACAACACAGTCATAAGGAATGCCACGGTCCCTATATTCGATATTGAGTCCTTCGAATGGATCACCGACGAATCGCAGATACCCGCCGGGATCCTCCTCTCCATTCAGGATTCCAAGAGCGGGTATCTAAATATTTCAAAGCCAGAGACGGGAATGTCAGACGCCTATCCTGGAGCAACAGCTCTTCTAAAGGATCAGCATTGGATTTCACCATCTGCGGAGAGCTTGCCAGAGAGTGTGTCTCATCTGAGTGCTGTCAAATATGCCGCCATATACCTCGTGTCAGGCGAAGGAACCGACGAATACACCTGCGACCCTTCCGATGAAACCACAAGCTTCAGTCCCCTGCCGCTCGGTATCCACCTCGTCAAGCGACTTCAGCTCGATGAACGGTCCGACTGCTTTGCCGTTGCCAAGTTGCAAATCAGCGCAGGAGTGACTGGATGTAACCAACCCAAGCCGACGTCGAGTCCCTCCTGCTTCCTCGCATCCAACATGGTTATTTCTGACAGCAGAGACGTTTTGGCAGACCCTCTCACCGATGAGATATTCGCTATGATGCCGGAGGTTCACGCGATTGGGGCGTCTCTGCAGATGGATGACCCAGCAAGCCTCAAGGGAAACATGGAACGGTATCTTCGCGACTCCCTTATCCAAACTTACCAAGGAACCTGGAGCACGCTCACGGCATACCTTTCCAATAGCACTAATCCCGACAACAAGCTCAGAACCATAGGCTGGGAACCAGAGCAGCTGCTTCAGGCACAGGTTTCTTCTGAAAGAATTCTTTTATGGCTAGGGATGAGCTTGATGCTTGTTGTCTCTGGTCTCCTGCTTCTGACCATCGATTTGAGTTCTGAAGGCAAGACGATAAACGATCCAGTCATTGCAGCTATTATGCTGGATAGCTCTGAAGTCATTAGAACTGATAATTCCGGTCTTTGTAATGCGGTGGATACTGGTAAAGGACAGGGGAATACTCAAATGAGACTGCGGCTAGAGATCAGTAGCAGGTCCACCGTAATGGACGGCTATTATCATCCAAGATTGGTTCCCGAGGGACAAGTAAGGTCGGTAATATAGCTCAAAGTATCACGACCAATCTTGTATTGCCTCTCAGTACTACTTTCTGTTCGTCTAGGGAGGCTGAGATAGAGAAGCACGGCGGCCATGTTCAGGCGGCATATCTTTACATGATATTATCGAAATCACACAATACTCAGGTTATGCTTATTTGTGCTAATGTTCATGAAGGTACCGAGGCTCCTCACGTCGTTCTGGGAGCTTCATTCTGCTTTTAAAAGAGAAGCCGTCTGCTAACGTTTGTTCCGTCTATGCCTCAGTAGAGAAGACCTTCTGTCCCTCGAACCAAGTTTCCACGACCTTTGCTTGAAGCGCCTTTGACGGTTCCCACTCAAGATCCAACACAGCCAAGTCCGCCCTCTTCCCAACGTCCAATGATCCAACGCGGTCATCCAAAAAGCAGCTTCTTGCCGCACCCTCTGTGGCTCCAGCCACCACATCGCACAGAGACAGGGCAAAGTGTGGGTTCACGACCGTCTCCAACTCCGGCTCACGGGCCGATCTTCGCGTGGTTGCAATGTACAGGTTGTTGATGATGTGATGCGGCGCAGTCGGCGCGTCAGAACCGATAGCCACAGGAGCTCCGCCGTCGGCGAACTCGCTGTAGGCAAAGGCGCGGCCACAACGATGTTCACCGATGAGTTTCGGCCAAGCGCGCAGGATGGCAGGGTCAGAGTGAACAGGCTGTACGGAGGCGGTGATACCCAGCTTGCCCAACCTCTTGGCGTCCTCCTCCGTGGTGACCTCGAGATGCTCAATGCGCGGACGGTTCTCGGGGCCGACGTACTTCTCCAACACGTCAATCGCGTTGGCTACTGTGCGGTCACCGATGGCGTGAAGAGCAACTTGCAGACCATGCTTGGTCGCCGCCTCGACGACCGGGCCCATGTGCTCCGGAGACCAAACGGGATCGCAGTTGTCGTTGTTATGACTGTACGGCTCCTTCAGCGACGCAGTGCATCCATCAATGATACCGTCGCACACAAGCTTGATTCCAACAAGTCTGCAATCCGGGTCCGTCTGAAGGTTGAACTCCCTTGCGAGCTCTGCAGCTCTTTCGACTTGCTTGATGTTCTCGGCGTTATCGTCTCTAGGGAGGATCATCCAGTAGGCCGCAAATCGAATGGGAAGTCTCCGGCCAGCTTCCTTCTCCTGTTTACGATAGTCCAAAAACGCGCTCCACCCCTCTTCTTCCATCGCCATATCAACAAGACCCGTGAAACCGGCGCTGCTGTAGTCGTCGATAGCGGTCTTGATGGCAGAGATGCGGTCTTCAGGAGTGGAAACTCTGGCCATGTATAACGGGATGAACTTCATACTCGCCGCCTCGGAAAGCAACCCACTGGGCTTGCCAGTCTTGGGGTCGCGCACGATCTCACCACCAGGAGGGTCCGGCTCGTTGTCCAAGTCCAACTCATTCAAGGCCGCGGTGTTGGCCCAGGTTGAGTGCAGGTCCTTTGCCGTAATGAGAATCGGACGGGGGTCGAGGTCATCAATGAGAGAAGCCAGAGGGCCCTCGGGAGTCATGAAGTGCATCCAACCACTGCAGAAGATGCGTGCCTGATCCGGGTTGGCGACGGCATGGTCTTTGATCGTCTTTCTGATGTCCGCGAGGCTCTTGCAGTCGTCGAGGCGGAGCTTCTGCAGCGTTTGGCCCAGTTGAGTCAGGTGAATATGACCGTCGACAAGACCGGGGAGAACGGTACGGCCGGCAACATCGCGGACCTCGGCACCTGCGTCGATGGCATTCTTGACTTCCGGCGCGGCAGCTTCGCCAACAAAGGTGATTATTCCATCTTGGATCACCAGAGCCTCGGCAAAGTTGGCCTCGGATCTCTGTCCGGGAGGCGCCTTATTCGAGCGAAAGAATCTTCCGTTGCGGAAGACAATAGGTTTCGAGGTCGCCATGGTGAACGGCTTGACGTCTGAATAGTGTTTCCAAGGGTCAGCGCTAGTTCGAGGTCGTGTCAACCATGCAAGTCCCTGAACGACAGACTATTCAGTGGCGCACACCTCACTGATCATGAAATGTGGCAAGATGAGATGGAGGGGTGAGGTTGCATGATGCTGATAGCTTAGATAGCCTAGATACGAGGGGCATTGCGGGGTATCATGTCCGACATCTCGGCCGGCCGCTCGGCGTTGCATCATGACAAGTGTGGGGATCCCAAATGGCATCAGAAACCGCGCAAAAGCTCCGTGATCGGTGAACTGATAATGACGAGGTCTTGGCAAGTTAACTGGTCAGTTGTTTGGCGAGGTTCGAGGCTTGAGGCCCCGGGTTAATCACGTAAGAGGTGGGGGTAGATGTGGGCGCTATTCCCAGACGACTCTTCATGGTCTGAACTGCTCACGTAACTTCAAAGCGGAATTGCGTTGGCAACATGATTGTGAACTGTGAATGTCAGAAGCAATTAGCATCAACTCTTCGAATGAAACTTATATTCACTGATCAAGTTAGTTGCTCATATCTAGTTCTGTCTTGCAGTCACCTTCGTTCCGTTCACGTCTAACATGACTCAGCAAAAGAAAGTAGAACAAAAACAGTAGCACAGAAGACTTCAGAGGTCTCAGCTGTTTCTCATTTACATCAGATCTTTCAGTCTTCATTAGAAAATCAGAATGCTCACGCATTCAACGAAATCCGATTGCGGAATAATGCTGTGTTATTCTTCTCTGAAAAGGACATATGTAGATCGCATGTTACGAGTGTAGCTTCTCCCAGTCCGATATTTGTTGAAAAAGAGGCAGTCGGGTTGTGTAACTACAATGCTCAAAATTTCCACACCGATTGTGGGCAGAACGGCCAATATTTGAAAGTTCCAAGTAATTGCTTTCGGTGGTGTCGTATTTGACGTTGCTTCTGGTTGCCTGGGGGATGAATCCATGAACCCTGACTCTATCGATATCGTATTTCCAAGAAACTCTAGGCAGCCATTTTAACGGAGACCGCGGGTTACTGACAAAGATGCTAAGCAATTGAAGGTAATTGAAAAAAGAAAAAGCAGAGTTCACTATGACTCAAAGATAAAAGGGATTTTTGAATTAGACTGCGAGTCTAATACCAAAGTAACAAGCGATGCGTGAGACAAGTTGCTGGAGTTGCAAACATCTATTTCCTCCGCGATCTCTTGACCCCGGCAATCCTCATCGCAAAACCCAACTGTTGACAAGGGTCTGAGAAAGGACCTAGGACCAAGTTCCATTGTCATGTGACTGCGGAACTTTTTGTCCCGCATTTGCGCCCTTCGCGATTTGCTTTAGTTATTCCGTCAATTTGCTGTAGCTGCCTGATCGCCCAGATCCGAATCGCAAGATGGAGAAAAGCAACGTGAGGAGAATATCGTAAGTGGCCACAAAATCGTTAAAAAGTCCTCTGAAGGTACTAAATGACGATGATTGAAAAAGATGCAAACGGTGCCAACAGAGAAAGGTACGCCGGTATTTATAGTCCACCCTCCTTCCGATATCGCCGCTCCGCGCCGCCGATGGCCGTCGGCCAACGCCGTTCTGGAAGTCGGGTTTCGGCTAACACGGGGCCGCTGCAGATTCGGTGTTCCCGCACCTTTCCATGCGGCAATTGCTCCGCAGCTTCGGCCAAGTGCGAGTTCCGTGAGAGTGATTACAAGCGGCCGCCGGTGTCACGTGAATATGTCACCGCACTGGAGTCCCGCATCGCGTCCCTGGAAGGATTTTTAGCCCGGCTCAAGGAGGCAAACAACGATGAGAGAAATCAGATTCTGGATGAGGTCGAGATAAAAGACTATGTTCCGTCTTTCTCAGGTCTGCCGTTGGAGGATGAGACCACATTGAGCGAAGCGTTGATGAAGGCCTCCTTGCAGGAGACGGTGGATGGTGAGTTGTCCTCGATTGCTAAGACTTCGCGCAGCATTTTGCTGACGTCAAAGGCTCGATGATTTATCATGGACCTACGAGCATTTTCCAAAATGATATCCGTGATGCGAACGCCAGTACATCCACCAGCTCACGGCCGTCTCCTTTCCAGGGTGACAGAAGCAGCCTGACTACGCAGACAATGCGCCTGTGTCTCGGTCTCTTTTTCTACTGGCAGTACCCGCTGTTCATGTTCATCGACAGGGAGGCGTTTGTGGCGGAGTTTGAGGATAATCCTATCGACGGAGATTTCTGCTCAATCCCCCTCATCTACGCAGCAGCAGCGATTGGGGCTCTGATGTCAAAGGATCTGAATATCAGGGGCCGGGCACAGACTTTTGCCGAGATTGCACAGCATATTTTGACAACCGAAGGTCTCAACGCACCCAGGCCAACTTCGGTGCAGGCACTCCTATGCTGTGGATACTATGAGATTGGACAAGGAAACATATCCAGAGGATGGATGTTTGCAGGTAAATCGGGCTACTTGAAATCACCATGGTCTTGTCATTGGCCAGTATCTTACAACAGTACAGGAATGGCCTTCAGGATGGGACAAGACATTGGGTTTCAACGAGATCCGAAACATTGGGACTCAGAAGAAAAGCCCAAGTCCTTATCACCGTTTCCATTCGATAATGAATTCCGTCGGCGCATATACTGGGGCTGTTTCTTAGCGGATAAGTAAGCTTTGCCTTGGTGATCTTGATTTACTCATTCTGACGCGTCTCCTAGAATTTTCAGCCTGTTTCTGGGACGTCCACCCTTCATGTATGAGAACGATGCTGACGTCAACCTGAGTGAGCCTCTGCCGTGAGTTATCTTCTTTTCCCCTCTCTAGAGTCTGACTGACTGCCCCTTCAGTCATGACCCGCCGGTCTGGGAAAACTGGCTCTTCTCACACGACCTCGGGTTTCTCAAAACTGTCCGACCAGCCGGCCCGAAATTGACTTTATTGTTCAACCAGCAAATCGAATTGGCTCGCATCATACATGACATGCTCTCGACGACCTTTGCGCCTAAGAAGAAGAACGATTCTCATGCCAGGAGATGGACTGAGGTGTCGCTTAACAAGCTGAATGCCCGGCTGGTTGCATGGCATGAGGCGCTACCAACGAATATGAGATGGAAGAAGTGGTTTACGAACAAGGATAACCTGCAGCCCAACGTGGCTATTTTGCAGTAAGTCGCCATATAGGGCGATATTATTGGGCTTGCGAAACTGACATGCTGTTGACAGCACTCTTTACCACAGCACTCGTATTTGTCTTAATCTGCCTTTCATAGCTTCCATCGGGTCAACACCTTCTCTATCGGAAGACAAGTCTGAGACCCCAACGAACCCTCTTGCTGTTTCATTTAGGGTCTGCAAGTCCGGAGCGCAAGGCATCGTCGATGTTTTGCAAAGATTCAAAAGCGAGCATACTCTTGGCAACGCCCCTTTTCTACTTATGGGCGGCGCCATTCTTGCCACGAAGGCGGTTCTGGTGACCTCTCGGCATGAAAACAGCACGTCGTCAATGGAGGAGGATTCATTGCTTCCCATTCTCAGAGACGCACTGGAAGAAATGTCTCCATCATGGAATCTCGCGGCGGCGGCCCGGGTCAAGTTCGATACTATGTTTACGTCGAAGCATCAGCAGCATACTAGACCAACAAAAGATGCAGAAGGTTCTCCAGCCGTATCTCAGGCATCACGGCGAAGCCCAGAGACAGCAACGGCATTTGCGTCGACATCAAGACCAGCTCAAAATGAGGCAGCAATTGATCCGAGACTCATTACTCCAGAGACAGCATCCACGGGAAATACGGGGGCCGTGGCATCGGAGCCGACGGTTCGAGATTTGGGGAGTTCAGAGCAACATGTGTGGGAACCAACAGGCGTCCTAGATACAGCGTTCTGGGCGGACATGGGAGACAACCTCCTCTCTGGATCAGATCTGAACTTCTATAACGGTGTGCCGGATTTTGACTGGTCGGATCAGCCGCCAATTCCCTGATACCTTAGTATAGAATCGACAAGTATTGCGTCTTTGACCACAGGTTTCAATGGAAACGCAGTCAACTGACTCATCGCAAAGTTTCCTTTCTTTCGGAGAGAAGATTTGAGTTCATGAGAATACTTAAGTCTTATTGCATCTATGCTTTCTGTCGGAATTCATCGATGACACTGACAGGTTTCGTGTAGCTCAGCTCGGTTTGGTAGTCGTGAGGCAGACCGAATACCTTGGGGCCGGCGATCTCCAGCGCTCGTTCTGTTGCCCAGAGCGGATGTCCAGCCATGATCATAACGGCCACCTTCAATCCATACCTGTACTCCTGAACGCCGATAGCCTCTCCAGTCGAGGTGTCTAGGAGGAAGATCAAATCCGGAACGGTGGCAAGGACCTGTTAAGTATTAGCATAGCTCAGACCGTGTGAAGTCAGATCAGCACTCACCTTCTCAGTGCCATCCTCAAGCTTCCCCAAAACTCCAAGGTTCTCGTTCATGAACGGAACAACAACCTCCTTCAGCCCCTCGCCAATTCTGTCCGTATCGGTCTCCATCTCGCTCTCGCTGAGCCTCTCGACGGTGACCTTACCCAAGCTGTGCGCCGTGGTGGTCAGAGTGCTCTCGACCGCGCGGATCTTGCCCTGGAATAAGACCTTTGCACTACCGGGTCCGCCAGCAGCTTCAATCAAGTCTTTGGTGACCGTTGAGACGGTTCCGGCCTGCTGCGCCAAAGCAACAACACGTCCCAAGCGCCAGGCCAGCGAGTAAGTATTGGGTATGCCGACCTCACGCATTAGCTTTCCGGGGATGGGACGTCCAGCAGCGCCGGCGGCTGAGCCCATGGCAACGCAAGCATCACGAATGGCGATACCTGCCGATGTCTCGTCGGTTTGAGTGGCAGGGATGACGACATTGTGGCCCGTTCCGCTGCAGAGCGTGACTGGAAGTAGCTCGTTGACGGATTTGGCGTGGATGTATTGGGACACCATCTCAAATTGAGGGTAGGCCCGACCTAGAAGTGTTGGTCAGTACCCGTTCAAAGTTAATGAGAGGTTTGGATGAACGTACCCATCATATCGCCGTCTACTGTGGGAATGCCGTAATACTTCGAACTGCCCCAAATCAGAGTCGCAACACCATTTGCTCCGCCAATTTCAGTGGCGATCAACCTCTCAAACTTAGTCTTCATCTCCTTCTCCATCTCTTGCATCGCATGCCACACGCCGTGGCCTCCAGGACGCTCGATGCTGACCGCGGGTGTACCGACGCTAGCAATAGGTGGCATCATCTCATCGTCCTTCAGATCCTCAATCCGGATAATCTTCATCGTCTCGCCTTCTGTCAGAAGTTGCTTCAACTCGAGGTACGGTGCATAAGGAGAGCCACCACCTCCACATCCCAGAATGTAACAGCCGATGGACAGAAATCTGAGGTCGGTCTCGGATAGTGTCCACAATCCGCTGGCGTCAACTTGAGGACGGTAGTTCTTAAGGTCCACAACTTCGTCCTCGTCCGTGCCGTCGGCAGCTGCCTTCTCGTGCTTCTTCGTTTCCTCGAACATCTCCTCGTCGATCAGCTGGTCAGGAGCAGCTGTCTTGCTCATTTCTGAGTACACCCGTTGATGATCCGCAGGCAGCGCCACTTCAATCTTGATAGAAGTTTGGTTCTCCACGTACGGTACTCCAGCGACTTCTTCGTGGAGCACTGTGACAGAACTCGCGTCTCCGCCCTGGGCCACGGCGTTCTCGATGGCTTTTGCTTTGACTTCTGCGATGCCTCCTTGGATATCTGAGCCGTAGACTATCGTCTCAGCCGAGCCGTAAATCTTCGCGATAGCGGCACCGATGGCGTTTGCAACGCCTGCGTGCTCGGGCAGCACGACCTTGCTGACTCCGGTGAGTTCTGAAGGGCACAGAATCGAGCCGCCGCCTACCAGGATGACGGTGCATGGGTCGGCTGAAAGCTTCGCGCGATCGATGACCGACTCGAGCATCTTCCTAAGGCGCTCTTTGCCCTTCTCGACAATATCGCCTGACAACGACACGGCAGTGTTGCCAATGTTTGCGCCGGATGCAACCGCGAGGTCAGTTGCGGTAGCTACGTTCCCCCCAAAGCAGAGTGCCTTGGTCACGAGATCATGGCCGACGCTGTCCGGCCCCACGGCAACAGAGCCATCATCGTTGACGTGCAAGATCGAACCACCACCCAAGCCGATGCTCTCCACAGAGGGCATCTCCAGGTTGACCTTGACACCGGCCAACTCTGTGTAGCTCTTGGACAGCCGAGGGTATCCGTTCTTCAGCAGGTAGCCCACATCGGAAGTAGTGCCACCAATGTCAACAACGATGCTGCCAGACTGGTCGATCTCATCTTTCGAGAGGAAGGCAGCGCCGCGGATGGAGTTGGTGGCTCCGGAGGAGAAGATTTTGATCGGGGCTTGCATCGCCTCGGCAAACGGCAGCAGGTGACCGGAGTTCGAGGTCAAGTACAGAGGGCACTGAAGACCTATGCGACGCATCGCGCCAATGAAGGCTCTGATCGTGCGTTGCGCGAAGTTGAGGATGGACGCGTTCAGGATTGTGGCATTCTCGCGGGCTAGGAGGCCGGGACCGGCGATGTTGTGGGAGAGCACAATGTTGACATCTTCGCCCAACTCAGCCCGAAGGATCTTAGAAACCTCGTCCTCTTGGTGGTAGTCTTTGTCGGTCGAGCAACCGATCCCGATGATGGCGACGTTCTTCAATCCCTTCGACTTGATGATGGCCGCTTGCTCTCTGATAGCGGCTTCATCGATGGGCCCGATGAGCGTCCCATCGATGTTGCAGCCTCCTGGAATAATCGCCGAGTGGCCGTTGATGATTCGCTTCAGGGCCTTGGGCCAGTCGGCGAAGGGCGGCGTTCCCGTGGAGAAATGGTGAGAAGCTAAGCGAAGGACTGCGATCTTCTCCACGCGAGAAGTATCCCTTTCGATGATGGCGTTGAGGAAATGGGTAGTGCCGATAGCAAGAGCTGTGATCTTGGCCGGATCGGCGCTGGACTTGTCCAACAGAGCCTTTAGGGTTGCTTGAACGGAGAGAGTCACGTTGGATGTGGTTGAGGCTTTATGAGAAGCCACGACAGCCTCCGAACTTGTCTTGGAAACATCGAGCAAGACACTGTCGGTATTGGTACCTATGAGAACCAGCTCAGTCAGATCCGAAGATGTAATTCCGCACAAGTGAGTCCGGGGGCCCGGTCTATTGCTCACCTCCGACGTCTACTCCGACGACCAGCGTTCCTTCGGCCGAGCTCATCTTGGCCTTCTTCGTGGGATGATCCATGGTGAGTGTCGCCGTGGCTCTTACGCTCAGCACACTCGAGATCCTTCCGAACCTCAAAGCGCGAAAGCTAAACTTGGCTGAGAAAATTGCGCGTACGGACTTCTCACGCGGCGGCTTTCGATGATGACCTCCGTTGGTGTGTAGTTGTTGCGGCACAATCAGCCGGGAGGTGGGGTTCAAGTAACGGAGGCCAACTCCGTTTATCGGCAGCTCCATTCAGATTGATCGCCCTAAAATTGAGTGGCCCTCTCGCTAATGCACGAAACCATTTTTGCCAGGGCCACACAGATGGAGGGTGACGATGATCTCTAGGCCGACGGTTCGGTGTCTCGGATTTAACTCAACCCATCGAATTGCTACCATTTGATTATCTACGGCAGTTGATTGTGATCTCTTCCTGTCCGCATGATTCACAACAAGAGAAGAAACTTGGAACGTTGGTCACTTTTGTGCGGCAAAAGATTGGCAGTTTAAGAAAGAAACAACGCGCGGTGCTCATATTTAGGCACTGTCTACACCTAACATGACGAACCTCAACTAAACACAGACATAGGAAATTTTCGAACCAAATCACAACACACTAATACATGATTGAAATAGGAAATAAACCCGGTCTAATGCAGCCAGCTCAACAATGCTAGCGGGAACAAATCCTCGCGGAAGCTTAGTTGCCCTTGTTGCCACCGTTGTTGCCTCCACCATTGTTTCCGCCGTTACCTCCACCGTTGTTGAACCCCGGAATGCCGTTGAACTGGCCGTTGCCGGCACCGTTGGGGCAAGCCTTCTGAGCAGCCTGGGCAGCCTTAAGCAGATCGTTTTGGTCCTTGCAGTTGTTGGAGACGCAGGAAACCAGGCTGTTTACATTGGCCTTCTGGCAGTAGCCGCAGTCGCTGATGTTGTCTTGCTGGCAGCCGGCCTTCTGGAGATCGTCGTTCAAGCAGCCCTTGGCGCAGTCGGGGACGTCGATGCTGTCAGCAATCGCAAGGCCGGCGACGGCGGCGAAGATAGCGAGGAAAGAAGTCTTCATGTTGATGGAAGTGATGTGAATGAGTTGAAGTTTGCTTTGTGATTTCGAGGTTGAAAGGTTTTCAGGGTAATCCTGTTTAGCTGGTTTGTAGAGTTTGAGTGTGTTTGATGAGTTGTCAGGGTAGTGGAAAGGGGTTCATTTGTGGGATTTTATATTCTTGATGAAGCGCATACGTCCGTAGAGGGACGTGAACTATTCCTTCATCTCATTGACGTGGGCAACATGACAGTCGAATTTCTTACCCTGCCCAGTGCTATTTTGGCCGATTGGAGGTTATTCTTGTTGTCCGCGCAATTTCGTCAACTAAGTTTGAAGGTCCAGCTGTGCGAGAGCTCGTGAGCGGCAAACTTAGGCCTCTCGGAAGTCCAGCCGGCGCCGAGAGCAATTCCATGACGAAAGGCGATCCCAGACCGTGTACAAGTTCATGATTATTCCATCACCAATCAATACACCCAGTTAATAAGCAACCTGCGTATCCGAGAAGGACACTCGCTCAGGTCAGCATCACGTATCCAATCGCATTAACCGTCCCGTCGGAGCGGCCATGTCATAGAACCTTCGGCAGTGTGGCTCGGGGTCATGAGATGAGTCGTTCTTCGGGAGCACGGACTGAAGTCTGTCAGCTTTGAGCCACAGCGGCGGGCTGTGCGGTTACGTGTTGTTGGCCACATGGGGAATGGAATCGGGCCATAGCCACATGGAACCGACAGAGCGCTCAACGGCGATGCATTCCCGCTTGAAACATCTCGCAGTCTTGGTACGATTATCACCTTAAGGCTCGATCGTTTCTACCTACTTTCCGTCTTGCGACTGACGGCTTGGACAGCGGTCCACGGACTGGTCTCATTAAGAAGACATACGTACGAATACGGCGCCCGATAATAAAGTTCTTCGGGAACTATGGAACACTTCGCATACGCCAGAATCTCGGACAGTATTGTTCGGACGACAACGTCGGCCTTCAGTGAAAAGTTTTCATAGGCTTCCAAAGATAACTGCGAAGAACTCCACGTCCGAACTTCATGTCCGAAATTCAGGTAGGCATTTAACGTACCTGGCGACTTGGAGTGGTTGGGAAATGGCATGCTTAGATTTTTTCAATCAACTACATCACCGATGAACATATTCCAAATGTTCAAACAGCTGCGCCGACCGATTTCATGTTTACGCCGTCAACCACGCTCTGGCCGCTGAAGCTTTGTGAAGTAAGACCGCTTTGCTATGACCGTGTAAAGTCAAGTTGAGGGATATACGCGTCATATCTTCAATCTTCCTCAGCCACACTGCACAGATATTCATTTACTGAAATTCGTGATAGAGCTCTGCAGAATTGTGCCCAGCACAGCTGTTGGCCTTTACTTTGTTGTCATCAAACCCGACTTCATCGATCGTCATTACGCTGAGCGCAGTTAGAACAAACACTCTCGGAAGACGGACTCGCTGTCCAACGTCATCTTTTCACGTAACTTAATTTCAGCTAAAGTTAGAGATACTACTCCCGTACCTTCTTGCTTATCCGTTGCCTCAGCGTCTCTAGACGTCGGTCTTAGTGCCATGGGAACGATGTAATGTCATGTTTCTTTCATGATTGTTGCCATCAAGAAATAGATTTATGAGCAAAATGGACACAACATTGTCTATGGCGAGTGTTTTTGAGATTGCAATACTAATTGTAATACTTCTACGAGAATTCTTCCGGGATGAGCCGCTTTCCCTGCCAGTCGCAGGATGCTCGTAACTCCGGAGTTCAACTCCGTCTGCTGCCTGGGGACAGATGACATACGGCAAAGGCTCGACCCACTAAATGACAAGCTTCAAATGACGCAGAACCATTCGCAGTGAGTTGGATTTGTCCCGAACATACCGAAAAGACGTCCGACATATCCTCAGGATGTCCATCATAAGCGAAAGTAAATTTGGGGTCGAATACATCACGGTCGAATCGACTTTTGGGTCAGTCAAAGGGTTCGTCAACAGAGACTACCCTAACGTCGCCCAGTTTCTAGGCATTCCCTTCGCGGAGCCACCGGTAGGTCCGCGTCGCTGGCTTCCACCTACCCCGAAGCTGCGGCAGGATGAGATCGATGCCACCAGGTTCGGGCTATCTTGTCCCCAGCAAACAACCGGAGGAAGGGCTTCCGTGTACAACACAGATGTGCCTGAACTCCAGATTAAAGACGAGACCTCCGAGGATTGCTTGTCCATATGTATATGGGCGCCCAAAGATACAGTTGAGCGCGCAACAACAACTGCATTGCCCGTGATCGTCTTCATCACTGGCGGAGCGTTTCTTGTTGGTGGCTCGACGGTGCCTTATCAGAACCCAACACCTTGGGTCGAGAACAGCCAACGACACATAGTAGTGACTATCAAGTAAGAGCGCGTCAGCTTCAGCTTCGTTCTTAGTTTAATTTTGAGCCACAGCTACCGTTTGACGATCTTCGGCTTTCCGAATGCAGCAGGCCTCAACCCGCATGAGCGAAACCTGGGGTTTCTTGACCAGCGCCTGGGACTCGAATGGGTACACCAGCACATTGCTTCGTTCGGTGGTGACCCTTTGCGGATGACTCATTTTGGACAATCAGCTGGCGCTCGAAGCATTGATGTCCATTCATTCTTGCATGTCGATAGGCCTCTCGTTCGAAACCTCATCATGAACTCGGGTTGCGCGCTCCCTCCGATGCCAACCAGAGACCCGGAATGCAAGCATTTCAGTTTTCTTGCCAAGTCCTTAGGGTTTCAAGGACAAGACCCGGCCGCCGAGTTGGACTTTATGAGACAGCAACCCGCTAAGAAGCTGATCGATGCGATTCGGGATCATTGGGCAGCAAGCGAGAAACCGTTCCTTAGCTTTCGGCCGATTGTGGATGGCTTTACGATGTTCAACGACTACGAGGAGCGTGCGAAAGCCGGGAATTTCACTAAGCTGGTATGATTTCTGGATGCCCGGTGTTTCTTACGCAACTCGCAATTGCTAATGCCCTATTTCGCCGTGCAGCCTGCTATCTGCGGAACAATGAACGATGAGGGAAACTCGGTAGCTGTGTATCACCCCGACGGGCCTGATCCAGTGTGGGCGGAGAAAATAACGAAAGGCTACTTCCTGGAACCCATGGTGAGAATGGCCAGGTAAGTTTGGAAGTGAAATGCTGCCTGTGAAGGCCGAATCTGACTGTTGATGTAGAGCCCGTTCTGCACACGCACCGACCTTCCGTTTCTTGTTCAAAGACTTTGCCCCTTCAGGGACCAGCTCTTTCCCGAATATCTCACCGCGTCCCTGGCTTCGCGCTTACCACAGCTCTGACATGCCTTTGGTCTTCGGCACGCACTCATGGGCTAGGGGCCCATCGACTGCACTTGAAGAGAGAGTTTCACGAGCTTGGCAGGAGCTTTATGTTGTATTTGCCGAAGATGGTCCTGATGGGCTTAGAAGGCTTGGCTGGAATGATATGAGCCATGGTGAGGGTATCGTGATAGGTTCCGGGGAGAAGGGATGGGAGACAGTCCGTCTTGAAGAGATTGATCGCTGACGAGTTTGCTTGATCTGGGGTTTCAATCATGGCGAGCACATTCACGAGTTACCATGAATCAACGTAACTTATATTAACTTCCATGGTATATTAACACGCTTCAACATCTTCTCCTCTACGTTTCGGAGCCGTCTAAATTCTCTTCTCGATATATACACTATTACACACATCTCTGAATACCTCCATCGTCTGTTGATACCCAGACACCACATCATCAACCCTTTTCGCCATGTCTCTTCCAAGCGGTAGCAGTCTCTCCGCCTCCTTCCCCTCTCCGGTCCCTGTGCCGCAGATGACTTCATGAATCACCCTCGCTGCCTTCAAATGGTCGCCGTCAGCAGGGAACCCGTCAGTCGCTGATGCCGCCATGACTTGGTACACTTTCTCCAGATTACTGCCTTCGTAGTCGGCTGGCATAGCGGCCCCTGAAAACCTCACTGTAGGTCCCATATTGGTGTCGAACGAGCCGAGCGCCACGGTCAAAACACGAACACCAAAAGGGGCCATCTCCTTGGCAAGTACTTTGCTGACGCCTGTGAATCGTGATTGTCAGCCAAGACTCGGTACGAGAAGCATCGTGTGACACCTACCATCCATCGCCGCTTTAGCAGCGGCGTAGATGCCCATCGACTCTCTTCCTTCAATGCCCGCCCCGGAACTAATATTCACGATAATCCCGCTCCTTCGCTCGCGCATGAGGGGAGCAACCGCCCTCATCAGACGATACGGCCCGAAGAAGACCGTGTCCATCTGCGCTCTCGTCTCTTCCTCCGTAAAACTCTCAGCTGCGCCATGGATTGACCAGCCGGCGTTGTTGACCAACACGTCAATCTTGGTGCCGTCTTTCTCCAGGTTTTCGATGAGGTTCGCTGAGTTGAGGTCGTCTACGTCGAGCTTCAACCACTTTCCGCCGGCGCCTTCAACCTCTTGAACCAAGTCGGGAGTTTTCGAGGGATTGCGCGAGGTAGCTATCACATCATGTCCGTCTTTCTGCGCCAGTCGCGTAAGGGCGAGCCCGAACCCTGACGAGCAGCCAGTGATGAGCCATGTGAGGGGCCGATTTGGGACTTTGAGGCTGTGCGCCATCTTGAGGAAACGTGAATATGCATGGATTTGAAAACCTGGGTCCGTGAAATGAAGCCTGCATACGACGCATTCTTATTACAATCACAATCCCGTTTTCTTGCGGCCGTTGGGTCTTATGTCCGCCGGCCGATGTGGGCTTAACTCCCGTCTCACGCCGAACCCGGAACGGCCCCGCGTCGGCCGTCGCTCGGCGGAGTTAAGTCCGGGCCTGGCTTACATCCGGAGATGATGTGAGACTTAAACATACACGGTGACACGGAGCAAAGAATTCCTTTCCATGTGCAATACCTCATGAAGAAACACACAAGTCAACGTGTATGATGTAGAACAGTTAATTACTAACTTGTGATCTCAGCGCGCGGTTGTTTGTGGGTCGCAATTACTTCTTGGTAGACTGACGTTCATTCGTACCCTTTTGAATACTTTTATGTTATATCTCGAATACCATTTGCAAGAATCCCTTTCTAAGCAAATAAAACGGGACAGGCTGCCAAAAAGAGCGAATCCCTTGAGAGCGGTACCGATCTAAAGCCGCCTTGAAAATAGTTCTCATAAGGGTTTTCAGAGGCTATTCGCACAAGATGCCTGGAACATCAGCACCAACTGCATGAACGAGACTGAACATTGCTTTATCTCAGACTGCATTGATGAATTCAACGGAATCATAACCAGAGTTGAAGATCAAGCGACATGTGTTCACATCCAAGAGCAAACGACCAACGACCACAGTTGCCTCGAACGAAACGCCAGAGCCATTTCAATGACTTGATGCCAGTCATACCTCTTGAATGAGAACACGATGTGTTGGGAAAGTTCTGGATGCCTGTAATCTTACCTTGCCCCATGGCATGAGGGCCAAAATCTTGAAGATTTCCCGCCAAGCCGACCTCATTTGATGTCGGCCATCCTGCGGTGAGTGATACGGAGTCAGCTCCGTCTTAGCCAAGACAATCGCAAGTCGGCCCATTTGCGACAGACGGACTTGACTGGGTATATGAGTACGGACTCAAGAGAATCAACCTTTGCAACAACAAGGGACCGTCGGAATGAATGCAAGGGGCAAAGTCAACTTCATTTAGAGTTACGGCTGCCTTTCCATCTTCGGAAGGTTCCTGGGAACCGCACAATTGGTACGAGATTCACGATGTTGAGACCCTTGACTATTATGAAAGCTTAAAGCTTGGTTGTTGCAGAAGACTGTCCTTTTGGGGACTTTTTGGGGGCTATTCAACCCCGTTTTATCCACAACTGATCAGAAATTCTCTCAACTGCAACGTTCAGAGTTCCCGACCGAGCGGTTGGCTTTCTGCAAAAGGCTTGGGTGGTATTCGAGCCCACCTCTTTTACAGAAGAACATGAAAAAGTCTGCCCGGGAAGAATGAAAGGTCGCGTGTGTTGAATGAGAAAACGCGGAGTCGCCGAAGAAATCCATATCAGCAGGCATACCCATCTCGGGGAACCATTTCACACACCCAAACCTTAATGCCCACACCAACGTCACAGCAGCGTTGAAAGGGAAGCCAGCTCCGTTCGCCTGAACTCTCCAGCAGTTCATTCAGCTTCGGGTGTTCGACGAGGACAAGTTCCGCGACCTGTCCACTAACTCGCCCTTAGAACGGCAGGACTTTTAGATCTTAATACCCTCATTCTTGAGGAAGAGCTTAAATTAGTATATATATTACTTAGCTATTATTAAGGGGTTATAGCTATTCTTAAAGTTCTTATAGAAGGTATAAACTACTTCTATTATAGTAATAATAAGTATTATCTTAAAGTAAAGATTAAAGAGGAAGAGGGATAAAGGAGGAAGGGTTTAGCTTACTTCTACTACTTAATAACTCTATTAAATAGAGTATAAAAACCTTAATAGTTAAGGCTATTTATAACTACCTTTTAAGTAAACTCTATACTTAAAGTTTATATTACTTTAAATTTACTTTATAAGTTAAATAGAGTAATTCTATTCTTATATATAGTATTAGGAATAATATTAATCTTATTACTAAATTAGGTTAGAATATTAGTTATATAGTATATAAATGCGCTTTGCTTACGTACCTCAGTTCTATAACCTGTCAAACTGTAAATAAATCCAAGAAATACAGGTGTTACGGCCAGCTAACTGACAGTGGGTTTATATTAGCAGTAAGTTAGGGATTAAGAACTATAAACAGTATCAAGTCGTTCTATAGGGCTATCTAAGTAATTATAGGTCTTCAAAGGTCTTAGTGATCAGTTAAGTCCTCAATAAGAGTTATAGAGTAATCGTCACTTAGGTATAGCTAAAAGTCTCAAGTGAGAATCACAAGTTAATTGCTAAAGAGCTATGGAAGTCTATCCTTGAGCCGGGCTCAAGTCCATCCTATATACAAGTCCCAAGCCGTTCCTCTATACCTCTACCTTAGAGTCGCAGGAGTCAACCATCAACTCTATTGACTTCATCTTAATTAGTATACTTAAGAGTCGCAGGAGTCAACCATCAACTCTATCAACTCTCATCTCATTAGCTGAGGTCACGTAACTTGTTCTATAGTTCTTCCATTCCAAGGTAAGTCCTTTCTATTCCCGTGATCCTATATATAAATGTGACGTTCTAGCCGCCTAGTTATCCTTATGGGGCTTTTTCTCTGCTAAGCATGCCTAACGGGTTGTAACATTAGGTCTCCCCTCAGATGGTCTTATCCCTAAGACCAATATAAGTAGGTAGTGTCTCCTAGGTTGGGGAGTTATTAATTATGCTTCCTGATTTCCTCATGATGCTAACACTATATCAGGTCGCATTCAAAAATCAAAATTGAAAAATCCTATTGCCTATAAAGAGCTAGGTTAACTAGTCTCTCTTTTTAGATATAAGATGCCTTTTCCTTGTTCCTTATGTGCTGCCTTAGGGGTTAACTGTATTGTGTTGGAGGTTAATTTGTTACGGTGTTCCTATTGCGTGGGCCAGAAGAAATCCTGCGACATTTATAGTCCTTTAGCGTCGTTACTAATCCAGGTTTAAAAACAAAAGGTTAAGGTAGATAACAAACTCAACAGGCTAGAGGAAGAGCAGCTCACTCTTATAGCCAAGATACAGCGCCTTCATCATCATCAAAAGGAAATCAACCGTGAGGCCACAGACTTAATCCAGTTAGGTCTTTGGCGTGTGGAGGAGGTTGAGGAGGAGAATTGTGAAGTGACGCTGGGTTTGCAGAGTGCGGAATCTTCAGCTGTTGGGGCCCTGCAGGCTACTGGGGCCTTTGGCGTAGTGGATTGGAACGGCGTTAGCTTGGAGGATTGGTCTCCAGATTTCTTAACGAGCGGTACTAGTGCAGCATCTATTGAGAGTGCTAGAGGTTCTTAATAGGTTCCCACAAGTTGTCCTTATATCTATATCCTTTCCACTTAATGAGATATTCTATATCTCCATTATTATTACAGTAGTTAATAATTTATTTAACTTTATATTCTAGTTTAAGGGGTTCCATAATAATACAGTCTTTTATATATAAACCTACTAGTGCTTTTTTGAGAAGTAAAATATAAAAGACTAGATAGCACTTTATAGTATCTAGTAGTATAAGTTTGAAGTTAACGTTAGATACCTTCTATATAATTTCAAAAGGTCTAAGTTTCTTAAAGTCCAACTTATTACTTAGTCGTTTTATTTTGATGTTTCTATAGAGAAGGTATATACTATCCCCCTCCTATAGAGTTAGTCCCTTAACTCTTAAGGTGTTAGCATATTTATATATCTATTTATGCATAAATTTAAGTTCTTTTAGTAGTTCTTATTGGATTTCCTTAAGTTTATTAATATCTACTATAGCTTTTAGAGCTACTAGGCCTTATTATGGTTCTCCATAGACTATTAGGTTAAATCCATAGTTTAGATAGAATGGGGATTCTTTTATGCTTTCTCCTACTACGCTATTATAGGTAAACTAGGCCATAGGTAGCAATTACACCTAGTTGTCTTGCTTATAGTTGATATAGCAGTATAGATAGGTTTCTATAATCTAATTGATTTGTTCTATTTAGCTATTAGTTTATAGATAAAAAGTAGTAGATATTTTATAATTAGATCTAAGCTATAAGATTAGGGATCTCTAAAACTTAGAAGTAAATAACTTATCTCTATTAGATATAATTTCCTTTAGCATTCTATATTAGCTAATAATTATCTATAGAAACTTATAGGTAAGGTCTTCTATAGTACTAGACTCTATATATAGGATAAAGTATAAATACTTTATAAGTCTATTAATAATAACTAGGATACTATTATAGTAGACCTTAGTTATTAGTTCTTAGGACTTAAGTAACTTAGTGATGAAGTCTAATGAGATAGATTCCTATACGGTTTGTAGCACTAGGAGCGGCTATATCTTACTATATAGCTAATATTAGCTAGGTTTGCTTTTCGCGCAAACCTCATAGTCCCTAATTGCTAAAGATACTTCTTATTATATAGCTATTTTATTATAGTGTTATCTAATGCGTTTCTATATCTTAGTTACGCCTTAGTAGCTATATATAGGAGCAGAGTATATCTCCCTAATAGCTTTAGGAGATATCCTTCTAGTCGTGCTGGTATTATCTCTCCTGGCCATTATTAAGAGTCTAGCTACTAGCATAAGGTCTCCTTCCTTATCTTTCTTGAGGATAACTTGGGTTTCCTCAGGTACCTGGACTTTATAGTCCAGTCTTCTACTGAGAGCGTCTACTCTTCTATTTTCTTTGCCTTTCTAGTAGATAATCTTAAAATTAAATTCTAAGAGGAATTTAGACTATTTAATTTATTATTTATTAAGCTCTTTTAATATTATAAAGTAGGTGAGGTTCTTATAATTAGTATAGACTTTAACTTTATACTTTATTCCTAATAGTTAAGGTCTCTATTCCTTAAATGCTTTAATAATTACTATAAGTTCCTTATTATGAATTTAGTAGTTAAGTTCTAAGCTATATAGCTTATATGAGAAGAAGGCGTATAGGCATAGCTATCCTTTATTATCTCA